TGCTATATTTAAACCAAAGTAAATCATTGCAAAAACAAAAAGAACGTGTATATATATGAAATGTTATTTTCATATAAAAGCATTTAAATTGTCAACAATTATATAATGTAAATGAGCTGGAGGTGCTCTCACTTGGAGAGCGTTTGTGAGCGTGCGTTTCTGTCGCACGCAGCCGTGGGGAGCGGCGCCGGTTATTGCCGATGCAGCAGGAGGGGAGGAGGGGGGAGCCCGGGGCGCCTCTGGGGACGGCTGCCCTCTCGCAGCTCCGGCAAATTGGAAAGAGCCGCTCCTCCCACCGTCCTCCTTCACGTTACCGGCAGCAACGAAGGTCTGACATCATGGAGCTCGGATGAGAACCCCCCCCCTGCCGCCTGCTCGTATTAATTACTAAAACTTAATAAAATTTCAGACAGCTATGCTACTGATTAACATAAAATCGGCCAAATATTTACTATTTTTATTTACCAGGTAAAGCCCACTGAGCTGTGGAGCTCTTTTTTGAGAAGCAACCTGGCCACAAATGACATCCCAACGAAGTGGCTTATCACGTCGAAATGTATCATAGCCAAATACTCTAAATGCATGTTGGTTCGAAATGTGGAGTAAAAAACCAGAGGACCCGGAGAAAAATCAACGCGACAACAGGGAGAACATGCAAACTCCAAATATACAGCAGGCGTCAGGGTCGGGATGGAACCCACCAACTCCTGCATACCAGGCGAGGTCGTTAACATCTCGCCACCGTTGCGCCTCTAATTACGTCTTCTCCGGGAGCGGCGCGAGCGATGCGCTTGATTGGGACTGTGCCTTTGTTCTTTTGTTTGCAGTTTGTACCGAAAAGCAACCGTCGTGGAAAGTATTGTCACGTGACGGAGAAGGCCAGTGAGATGACGGACGACGACGATGATGATGGAGATGAACATCTCACGATTGGGGCTCATAAACGTAAACAACAAAAACACACACGTAGACCCTCGCAAACTCGTTTTGGTATAAATCTAAACCGATCGGGGCAAAGTATAAAACCAATTGGGGCAAATCGTATGTAAATGCCACGTTTTGAATTGTATTACTCGGTGAGACATTCTGGTGCGCGTATTGAACTGCCACAAAAAATATGCATACCAATCTGTTACGCGTAAAAGACGAACTTACTGAACGAAACGTTCACGCTTATCTTGCCACGGTTGCCCACCAGGCTGCGTTCAACACTTCTTTCCTCGTTGTGTCTGTGTTCTCGTCGCATGCTCTACGCTCAGCTGGGGTGGCCTCATGGGGAGAGGACGATGAGGTGGGAGCCGGATCTGCGGACGCGAGTTTAGACATGGCCGAGCTGCTGAGAATCCACAACGAGCTCGAAGAGTACAACGAAGACCGGACGCGACTGCGGTCCGTCCGCTACCTCGTGCTCGCACAACGACCAGTCCACCGCCCTCATTGGGACGTGTGCTCTCACACACACTCAGTCCACGGCTCTCACACACGCTCAGTCCACAGCCCTCATTGGGACGCGTGCTCTCACACACGCTCAGTCCACGGCTCTCACACACGCTCAGTCCACAGCCCTCATTGGGACGCGTGCTCTCACACATGCTCAGTCCACGGCTCTCACACACACTCAGTCCACGGCTCTCACACACACTCAGTCCACGGCTCTCACACGCTCAGTCCACCGCCCTCATTGGGATGCGTACTCTCACACATGCTCAGTCCACGGCTCTCACACACGCTCAGTCCACAGCCCTCATTGGGACGCGTGCTCTCACACACGCTCAGTCCACGACTCTCACACACGCTCAGTACACGGCTCTCACACACGCCCAGTCCACGGCCCTCACGGGACTGGTGCTCTTAGTCTTGCACCGGCCATTGCACTCCATGGTAAAGTGATCGGAAGGTTAGGAGTTCATATCCTGCTGGTTGGGGGGGTTACTCAGCCCATCATCACCATCCCCCCCACCCCCCCTTGTGCTCATTTCCATTAAATGAGTACCGCATTCTGGGGATGTGGTTGTCCTATTTAGGGACTCGACCCCGCCAGAGGAATGTGGAATTTCCACCACTGGCTCATGACTGTAAACAGGAGATGAGTTCCGCCTCAATGTTTATTTAAGCACGAAATGGATTCGACTTTTTTATGCAGACATCTCATGCATATTAGAAAATCGGATATCATTTGCGTTCATTTTTCAGACTGATGTAAACCGCGCGGCATCTTTCACTCTGCGCGCTTGCCTCCAGCTCCCTGCAAAGGCAGGCGACGGTGCTGAGAGGCTGGCTGAGTTCCGTGGAGGCTGTCGAGAGGGAGCGAGGCGGGGGGAGGAGAGAGGAGGAGGTGGCCGCGTCAGCGGCAGGCGAGGAGGAGTCTGTTGGGAGTTCTCATCAAATTCAGCAGGAGCTCGCGGAGGTGCGCAATCGGGGGGGGGGGGGGGGAAACCTCACCGTCTGCACATTTTCTCTCTTATAAAAGCCGTATTCATTACCACGGGCGCGAGTCATGCGGAACATTTTTTGCCGAGCGGTCTTCGGCCCCCCCTTCCCACCAAACCCTCCACCACCCCCACCTTCTCGTGGATAATTTGCATGTTTTGCCCCACGCCGCGGCTTGCGCGCGGCGGTTGCAGGTGACCCACGAGGTGGAGAGGCAGACGGCGCTCGTGGAGAGGAACCGCGCGCGCGTCGAGCGCCTCGTCGCGCGCGTGCGTCAGCTGAGCGCGCCGCTGGGCGTCTGACGCACGGAGCGGCATTTTCACGCCCCCCCCCGCCGCCTCGTTCCGTGACCGCGCGGCGGCTCGGCGTGTGTCGTCCGTGGAGACGGAGAGGTGGAGGAAGAGGAATAAGAAATCAAATGTAACGGCCGCGAGAGAAAAAGTCTGCGGTCGCAGAAGAAGTGCAAATCTTACACGAGCATCGCGTGTGCGTGGTTGCCCAAGGCCCCCGGGCTGTTTATAATGAAGCGGCTTTGTGCTTTCATCGCGCAAAATGCGACGGTGTCCAGAGGATGCGCCGTACGACGGTTGTGGCACATATGGGAGCGTCGTGCCTTAATTGGATTTGTGGTATTTGAGGTGCCTTTTTTAAGTTAAAGAGTGCGGAATATTTAAAATGCATGAACGCACACTCACGTGTGTTAATTGTTGGCGATGCCCTCCTACGTTGCCATAAGTGTTGACTTATCAGTTTTGTTACGAATGGGACTGCTTTTGATTATGTTGGTTCATCGTTGTGCCGTCAAGTGTCTGTATATGTGTTTAATCCTCGCAATGTGTTCAATACTGTTGCGTAAACACGTTTTTGTATTTTTTGTAAATCAACCCACTTTCATATTTTGCAACAACTTACGTGCCTGTATACGTTTTCTCGTTGCTAATAAAATTGACTTAAAACACACGTTTCTGTGAAAGCCTTTCCTCTTAACAAGATTAGTATCTTTATGATGCACAATTCACAGCCCAAATCTCACTGCACTTCGCAATAACAGAGGTGCATTTGTTGGAGCGAGCTCAACTCGTTCTTGTTATCGTCTGCTATGGTCTATCTTCTGTTTGTTGAAGGCCTCTGAGTGGGCCTACAGCAACCACCGTTCCTTCACAGCCCTGCTGTGTGCTATAATCGCCCACCCTCCTGCATACGGACCTGATCTCATCAGCCTGGTTAATTCCTTATAATTTGGCTTTGCTAAAAGCCCACGTTTCATGAACCCACCTCATTTTGTCTGCTCAATTAAACAAATTATTTGGTGATGGTGCTGCTGCTTTCTTGGCAGTGGTGCACAACCACAACACAAAACTCAACATTCGTCAAAAACACGATGGCCTTAAAGGGACAAATTAACAGGCCACTCTTTCAAGCCAACGGCCCTGTGCTGTGTCGCTTTTCAGAAGCGATCTGCCCATAAATGACAGTTCAGCGAAGTGGATTTCGTGGAAATGTATTGCATTAGCTAAATACTCTAAACGCGTGTTGATTCGAAATATGGAGGGGAAAAACCGGAGGACTTCGAAGAAAAAACCCACGCAACCAAAGAGAGACACGCAAACTCCAAATATCGAGGCGTCAGGGTCGGGATCAAACCCCACGACCTTCTGTATACCAGGCGAGGGAGTTAACATCTCGCCACCTTCATAGCACATGTCCAAAGAGCGAGATGTAAGGAGCCCACGAGACCCCCACGAGGGGGTAATAATGGGTGACGAGATGCAATGCAAGTTTGCTCGTGCAGGGGGCGTAAGATGCGTTCATTTCGAAGGAATGCCATGCATCGGAGAAGTTGACATTCGGTGTCTGTGATTCTTGGGAAGTAAATACGCCTGAAATTTACTTTTGATTTGACATTCCTCGTGCCTAACTTAGGAAAAATTGTCACTAATAATCAAGGCAAGTGGAATAAAAAAATCGGTTGGTTCCACTGGGGCTCGAACCCAGGACCTTCTGCGTGTAAAGCAGACGTGATAACCACTACACTATGGAACCAGCTGATGCCTGCATTCGCCAACGTGTCTTATGTAGTAGACGTTGTGGAATTGTGAGCACAGTGATCGGCAAATATTTTTTTCTTAAATTATTACTCTGAGGAAATTGTTAATTCAGAAACAACGCGTGGTGACGTGTTCACATTCGTTCCATTCGCCAGCAGTTTTAACAATGCAGCGTTGCCCCCACCCCCGCTGCTTCTGGGTTGAGGCCATTTGATTGGATCTGCGACGAGGCAAGGGGACTCCCCCCCCGGCTCCCGAGGCTCCGCCTCCCCACAGTGGAGACTCCGCCCCCTTAAATAGACTCCGCCTCCTCTTGCATAACCCCGCCCTCTCACATATAGACTCCGCCCACTCCTCATGAGACTTTCCCTTTGATGAGGACCAGTGGGCGGAGCCTCGTGACCAGTGGGCGGAGCCTCGTGACCAGTGGGCGGAGCCTCGTGACCAGTGGGCGGAGCCTAAGCAGTGACCAGGGGGCGTGGCTTCAGCCAACTTTGTTCCCGCCCCCCCCCATGCCTGCCTCGTTCGCCATCAATGAGCATCATCAGGAAACTCAAAGAGCACTCGCTGGGTGTTTGTCCGTGCGTGTTGTGGCCTCGCAAGGGAAACATAAACAGGCGACGTTTCAGACGTTGGCCCTCCTTCGTGGCAAAGACATGCAATCGCACCGCTGCACGTAAAGGATAACCGATCTCGACCTCCCCAAAGCGCTGCCCGCCCACCGGCACTCGGAACTCGTCCCAGGCAGTGGCACGAGGGGCAAGCCGGGCAAGTGTGGTGGGCATGGCGGGCTCGACTACTGCGGCGGCTTGCGTGCCTGCGCTGCTGCTGCTCTTGTTGTTGGAGCCGGGCCCGTGCCGCGGCGGCTCCGTGAGGCTCGGGGACTCCGAGGGACTCGGCCGCCGATTCGACGGCATCGGAGGTCTGAGTGGCGGCGGGGTGAGACCTTTGTGTGAGAGAGAGAGAGAGAGGGGTCTCCTTGGCCCCTCTCCCCCACCTGTTTTACCTGTGGAGTTCACCACACAGATCCCCTCCTCCTCGTGGGTGGGGGAGGGGAGCAGCACTTGGGCGGTAGTGGCGAGGGGATGAAGTTGGCGAGGGGATGAAGTTGGCGAGGGGATGAAGTTGGCGAGGGGGTGAAGTTGGGGTGATGGTGTTTGAGAATCCGGGAAGGAGGTTGTTTTATTGTTGGTTCTTCCGGCAAAGTGCTCTTCCGGATGAAGACCGATTGTGTTGCGATCGAAACGTCGTGTTTTTATTTTAAAATGTAGTTTTTTTTCTATCTACGTGACTTTACCGAAAAAAACAAGAATATGAATTTCTGCAGTCACGAAAGTTTTAAGTCAAAATTGTGTTGGTGGTGGTTGTTTGTATCGCTCACACTCGGTCAGGTGAGCGCGTCACGTGGCGCGCGTGGGCGTCACGTGGCGCGCGTGGGCTGGCCGAGTCAGCTGCCTCGCTCTCACGTGGCTTGGCTCCCGCCGCTGTGTGCACACGCCTCACCTGGGGAAACAATTCACCAACACATGGGATGGACTTTTTATATATTTTATACTATAATGTCTAATAGTGTATCGTATTACATTGCGCTGTTTTAACTTTTTTTAGCTTCTCTTGTTTCATTGTATGTAATAGCAGAGATTAGGGATGCATAAAGTACAACCATAACCACAATTTCGATTTAAAGCTTTCGTAACTGCAGGGAATAATATTCTTGGTTCTTTCAGTAAAGTCACGTAGAAGGGAAATAATACAAATAAAAAAAATTGTTATTCTTTAATTATTTCCCTTCTACGTGACTTTACCGAAAGAACCAAGAATACATAACCACAATCTTATAAATATAAATCTATGCATTGTTATATGAAGACAAGTCCAGATAGTGTGGCCAAGGTTTAGCAAATTGTTTTGATTTACATAGCATTGCAATTATTATTTTTATAGCAATATATTGGGGGGGGACATTTTGAGCATATTTGAATATTGGGGGGGGGGGGGGGGGGTTTCGGGGATGTGTGTCCCCTCAATATATTATAATTACGGCCTTGGTGTGCACACACCTGAGTGGGTGGGTGGGTTGGTGAATGGGTGGGTGGGTGGGTTGGTGAGTGGGTGGGTGGGTTGGTTGGTGAGTGGGTGGGTGGGTGGTGGGTGGTGGTGAGTGGTTGGGTGGGTTGGTGAGTGGGTGGGTGGTGAGTTGGTGGGTGAGTTGGTGGGTGAGTTGGTGGGTGGGTGGGTGGATGGGTTGGTGAGTGAGTGGGTGGGTGGATGGGTTGGTGAGTGAGTGGGTGGGTGGATGGGTTGGTGAGTGAGTGGGTGGGTGGGTGGATGGGTTGGTGAGTGAGTGGGTGGGTGGGTGGATGGGTTGGTGAGTGAGTGGGTGGGTGGGTGGATGGGTTGGTGAGTGAGTGGGTGGGTGGGTGGGTGGATGGGTTGGTGAGTGAGTGGGTGGGTGGGTGGATGGGTTGGTGAGTGAGTGGGTGGGTGGGTGGATGGGTTGGTGAGTGAGTGGGTGGGTGGGTGGATGGGTTGGTGAGTGAGTGGGTGGGTGGATGGGTTGGTGAGTGAGTGGGTGGGTGGGTGGATGGGTTGGTGAGTGAGTGGGTGGGTGGATGGGTTGGTGAGTGGGTGGGTGGATGGATGGGTTGGTGAGTGGGTGGGTGGGTGGATGGGTTGGTGAGTGAGTGAGTGGGTGGATGGGTGCATCTGCAGTTAAACTCTAATACAAGGAAATTTAATAGCTAAATTACTTACAAGCAAATCTAATAAATGTTGTACATAAGCCATACGAAAGAAGATGTGCTCCAGAAAATGTATTGATGGGTTATTGACTAATTTACTATCCAGTTGTGACTTGGTAAGTGAAATGTATTTTCTTTGGGTTAAAATGTTTTGTGGTCTGATTACATTGATGTAACGAAAATGTAGGTAAACACTGCAGTCTTTTATAATTATAACTTTTGGGGTACACAAACTATAAACAATTTTTATTTTACCAGGTAAGGTCCACTGAGCTATGTAGCTCTGTTTTCAGAAGCGACCTGGACACATGATAGCTCAACGAAGTGTACATGAACTGCCATGTGACTTTAAACATTTGTAAGTAAATAATGCTTCCAATCTCACAGTACAAAAAAACACAACAGCTAAAACTATAGAATTTTCAAAACAAGAAAGTTTGCGAATGAGTGTTTATGAAACGGCTTATTCCAAAATGATGATACCCAGCTACACTTTACTGAATGCCGCCTCACAGACCCCAAGGAGCACATGACGACAGCAGCAGTTTATTCCATCACGCGAACTCAAGCTGTGCAGTAAAATTGCCATGCGTATTGCTACACATAAAATTTGAATATCGTGCATCGGTATGTCTTGAGTTCAATCTGGCATACTCCGTGTCTTTTAACTACCTTGCCTGGTATACAGGAGGTCATGGGTTCGATCTCGACTCTTGACGGCTGTATATTTAGTTTGCATGTTCTCCCCGTGGTCATGTGAATTTTTCTCCAGGTCCTCCGGTTTTTCCCTCCACATTTAGAAACATGCGTTTCGAGTATTTGTCTGTGATAAATTTCCACGTGATCACCACTTCGTTGAGATATCATTTTGTGGCCAGGTTGCTTCTGAAAAAGAGCTATATCGCTCAATGGGTCTTCCCTTGTCAAATAAATAATTGTAAACCAAACCTTTAAAAAAACTGCTCTTGCAGATATGACCTTACTACCAAAGCTGTTCCACGTTTCCCAACACAACTCTTAAAATTCGATGTTGAGGTGGCTCAGCGATGGAGCGGGCTACTTGTGAGCGGAAGGTTTAAAAAGACACAGCAAAATAACTGTAGCTGGAAGGAAGCTTGTGTTGCCTCCGAAACGTCGTGATTTAACTTAGTTTTCATTCATTTTATTTTATTGATTGTTTTACCTACGTGACTTTACCGAAAAAACCAAAGAGTATGAATCCTTGCAGTCACGAAAGCTTCAAATTTAGAGCAGCAGGTTGCAAGTTTGAATGCTTTTTCTGGGTTGACTTAGCTGATAATTCCTCTGGGTCGATACATCAAACACCACTTAATAGGCAAGTCACAGTGGTTGTCGTTTGGATAGCCTCGCCCCCGTCATAGGAATTATGAATCTCCACCACTCGCTCGGAGCTGTAAACGGGAGATGCGCACCACCTCTATGATCATTTGAGCAGGAAAGCAAATTTAATTTGATGAATTGGAAAAAGTACCGTGATCGCGAATGCCAAGAATAAACCAATTTAATCTCTGGGAAAGGAATGGCCACAGGCCTGTCTCTCACTCCGGCCACCAGCCACCAACCACTGCACCATAGAAATGACAGTCGGGTTTTCCGTGCTTGGCTCAAACACGCCGTCTGTACTAAACACGTTTTCTTGCCCAAGTCCTCGGGCTCTCTGTGGCGGCAGGACAAGCGTTGCTCGTGGTCATGCACCACTTTCGCTGCAACTGCGAGATCTGGCATAGGGTAGACAGCTTTGGGTAGCAATCAAAGGCTTTGGCCACGGTGACATCTTGACAATGCTGGAACACAGAGTTGATGTCACTAGTGTGCGGTAACTCTTATGCAAACTTGATTTGGAGATTTTTTGACTGCAGGTATTACTTTTTGGTTCTTTCGGTAAAATCTAATTAAATGTATTTTTCTTTCTACGTGACTACCAAAAGAACCAAAAAGTAACTCTTACGCAACCACACACACAGCCTAAGTGTGTGTAGCTAGCTCCAAGATGAAGAGCCGATTTGTTTTTTTAAGAGGTTGTTTTAAGACGCAGCTTTGTTCGCGGTGAGTTATCCGGATGACCGTCGGCACACTGGGATTGCCGCCCGATCGATCTCACGGCGCGGCGGTTGAAACAGCGGAGTGACTTTCGTACATCCCACCCCACCTCTGTCCACCCAGCAGCATAAATGGGTACACCACAGTCGATCGGCAGATTACATGCGGTGGGGTAAAGTGCGGATGCTCCCAGTGTGGACGTGTAGGCCAAATACCCTCTGGATGGACTCCATTGCATTCCCTAAAATGCAGCTCCTTCTGCCAACAGTTGCATGAATGCGCAGTTGCAGGGCAGTACCTTTGCCTTGTCCAGAAAGTGATAAATTTACCTGTGGACGTGCTGCTTGGATTAGTGGACCTCCTGTCAAATTAAAGTAATCATGGGCCAACAGCGATGTTTACAGCTTACTGCATTTCTAGCATCGATTGTGAAGGAACTGCTCCCCATGATTGATGCGGATTCATAACACCGCAGCTCAATAAGACGCAGCGTGCTGCTCGGGGATTCATTTCTCACTCGGCATGTTCCGGGTCTCCGGCAGACTGGAGTAGGCCAAGAGGCAGGTCCGCAGAGGGGTGTTAAGGTAAAGGTACAGCACTGAAATTAATTCCGCCACTGACCTGGCGGAAGGGCCTCCGCTAGAATTAGTTCTAGAGAGCCTCTCCTCCAGAGGGTACTTTGGCCTACTCTTCCACACTCGCCACAGTACCCACAGTTTAGCCCCACCACCACCACACACGATGGGCTGATTACCGAACTGTGCAGTACCCTTTCATACTGCTGGGTGGACAGAGGCAGGGTGGGTGGATTTCATAAACTAAACTATAAACTAAACTACGTTTTATGTTACCAGATAGGCCCACTAAGCTATGCATCTCTTTTTTCAAAAGCAACCTGGTCAATACTGATAGCTCAACGAAGTGATTCTCATGTGGTAGTCAAATACTGAAAACGCGTGTTTCTGAATGTGGAGGGAAAAGCCGCGGAACCCGGAGAAAAATCCACACGACCACGGGGAGAGGCATGCAAACTCCAAATATACAGGCATCAGGGTGGGGATCGAACCCACAACCTCCTGTATACCAAGCGAGGTAGTTAACATCTCGCCACCGTGGTGACCCAGGAAACTTGCACCATCGCTTCAATAACCGGGCCAAGGAGATGGAGTCGAACTGGCATCCTCTGGATTGCAAGTCCAGTGTGCTAACCATTATTACACCCACGGCGGCACCACCCCCTAAATTCGGAAGTAAAAAAAATGCGCCGACTTGGAGTAATCATCACGCAGTGTAGGTCAAGTGGACACTGGCCGCTTTAGGACGTTCAGCACGAGCTTCGTGTTGCTGTCTTGGTGTTGCTGTGACCAAGAGCCACAGCCGTAGCGAGAGATATCCAGGATGTGGTGTGCCTGGCGCAGAACATTTTTCCGACCCGAATGAAATGATGCCCTGGCGTTTTTCTCGGTTACGTAACTGTGAATTCTCAGTCGTAAACCCAAAAGGGAATAATGTGAGGGATTTCGGAATGCTTTGTGTCCCGTGGCCGAGTATGGAAATGTGAATGTAGGTAGCATCCTGACCAGATTGCCCGGATTGCTACCTATCTTTGTTAGATCTCGCAAGCTAAGCATGTTTTCAGCCTGCATAGTGTGTGAATGGGTAACCTCTCCGCATAGCACAGGCGCTCGCTCTAGGCTGCTGCGGGGTTGCGATGTATGGGCAGCCAAGGGTGGCGCAGCAGCAAAACCCATTGTCGTGCTGTACTTCTGTGCTTCTGTGTTTATGTTCCCCACCTTCACCAACCCACACTGACCAGCTTGATGAAGTATGGTCAAAATAACCCCTCCGTCCCACGTGGATTGGGGAGGCCATCATCCAGCAGTCGAATGATAAAAGGGCCGTACGTGTAGAGCATTGCATGGGATGCAAGATGAAATTCTAAAAGTTCATAATCCTGTTTCGTCCGATCATATACGAACTCGGGCCTCTTTGGCAGTTTGGAGGAACATTCGAGCAGTGTTCCTTTAGTTCCACGGCAATTAATTAGTTTCAGTTATTATTCTGCTCTGTGCGGAACATTTCAGATCTAGGTCAGTTATGAATATAAGTGTAGCGAGTTCAACTGAGTCGCAGACGTACTCTTGGAGGCAACACATTTATTTAACACCAACCCAAGTTGAGGCTGTAGAATGTTGGAGGTCTCGTTAACCAACGTTAGTTTCAGTTGCACCTACAGTGAAACAGATACTTTTATATAAACAATAAATAATAAAGACAATACGCCTACTTCCCGTATCTGTCTCTAACTAAAATACCTGTAAATGTTTTTGGGTTTTTTCTACATCCCATACAAGCAAACCCTGGCCCGGTTTTGACACTCAGCAGAGTCGGCCACGGTTTGGCCACCCCCGATCTGCATGGCTACAAACAGTTGTGTGTGTGTAACGTGTGCTTGTGTGTATGTGTTTGGCGTGTGCATGTGACGTGTGCTTGTGTGTTTATGATGTGTGCTTGTGTGTGTAACGTGTGCTCGCGTGTGTGTGTGACGTGTGCTTTCCCAGGCTACATCCCGGCTTCTCGTGAACTACCCCGAGCCACATCGCAGTGCCATTCTGGACTACCTCTTCAAGGTAGCTGCACATCATGCCCTTCATTTATCCAGGAAAGCCTCACTGAGTCTCAATAACTTTTGTTCAGGAGGATCCTACGTTGAGATTGGAGCGCCGTGGATCAAATGTTTGACTGCTTTAGTCGACTAGACTTAGATAATTACTCCGCAGATTCGAGTAACACTGCACATGTTTTCATCGCCTAGACTATGACGAAAATAAACCAAGCAGACCGCAGTGACACTGGGAATCTGCGAATGCTCGAGTGTCAGGAATACGGGATGGTTTTTGGGCGACGTCAACTCTACTTCGATTGTGTTCTACGGTGGTGAGACGTTAACTCCCTCACCTGGTATACAGGAAGTCGTGGGTTCGATGCCGACCCCCTGATCCCTCTATATTTGGAGTTTGCGTGTCTCTCTCCCAGTGGTCACGTCGATTTTTCTCTGGATCCACCGGTTTTTCCCTCCACATTTAGAAATGTGTGTTTAAGAGTATGTTGCTGCTATAAATGTCCACGTGATTATCCACTTCGTTGAGCTATCATTTGTGGCCAGGTCGCTTCAGGAAAAAATCGTAAAAAAATCTATGTTTGACCGATTTTATGTTAATCAGTGGCATATCTGCTTAGAATTCTGCCAAACACGTGCCTATTCCGCCCTTGGGGGGGACATGCCAACGTGCAGTACGCTGGTGTTCGTGACACCAGCTCACGTATTTGATTGTTTTATAACCATGGCTCAACTCCTTTTTTTCCCCAAAGCCTAACTTTGGCGCCTCTCTACACATCCTAAAAGTTGAGATTGGAGGCGACGCACAGACCACAGGTATGACTGTGCATTCATAACGCACCGTCATCATCATCACCATCATCACTTTTATCAATATAGCCGAGGTTCAGATTCTCCCGCCACCTGTAACTCGCGAGCGCCACGCGACGCTCGCGCTGCCCGGCGCTGGTGGATCGGATGGCGCATCCCCGTGCGACGTCCTGTGCTGTGCTCCTTTCATGCTCCAGATGGCACGGAGCCGTCGCACATGCGGGACCCGGGAGACGAGAACTACTTCCGCGGCTATGAGTGGTGGCTCATGAAGGAGGCCAAGAAGCGCAACCCCAACATCACGCTCGTGGGTGAGGCACTGTCAGTAATATAAAACAAGAAAAACAAACCCCGATTGTGAGAGTTGGACCCTGGGGAGATTGCCTCGCCGATAACACCCGCATTTAAACCCTCGTCGTTCAAGGCGGCCACTGTGGCTCAGTACTAGAGTGAGCGGCTCGCCATCGGAAAGCTTGCGAGGTCAAATCCTGGCTGGTGGTTGACCCCAGCCTGTCATCTCTCCGGAGTTGATAAAATGGGAACCACTTCGTGGAGAAGTTAACCGTGGTTGTCCGAGGCACCGAATCACCGCCACTGGCTCGGGGCTGTAATGAAGAGATGAGTGACACCTCGATGCTCATTTGCATCGGAAATCGGTTTGACTCAAATTTAAGGTTGAGCGGTTGGCGCTAAGAACTTGCCGACCTGAGTTAGATTCCCGCGGTGTGTCGCAGGCTTGCCATGGGCATTTCCGGCGTGGGTCGGCGGCGGCTTCAAATTCCCGTACAAATACCCGGAGGTGACGGCCGGGTACGTGGTTTCCTGGGTGCTGGGTGCCAAGCAGTACCATGGCCTGGACATCGATTACGTCGGGGTGAGTACTGCGGCAGCACAGGCAGCAGAGGGCAGCGGTGCCACGAAATCCATTTGTGTGGTTGTCATGTACTTCTGTGCTGTCACGTCTAAGCAGGATGAAACCTGGATAGCGCTTCGATGTGCGACCACCATTCACAACGCAGGGCAATGCGGCAAAAAGCTCGTTGTACTGTACTCATATGTCTCCTCATCTATGGGGCCCCGGTTTTACCGGCCTGCACTGGCCATTGTGGTGAAGTACGCTCAAATGATCCTCACGACCGTGGGGAGGCCTTCATCCAGCAGTGGATTGACAAAAGGGATGTGCTTGTTTCATTAGCATTCAAAACTATTTGCATTTGTAGAGCATGAATATGTCGTACTGATGAACAGTGGGATATGTGCATCGCAGAAGAATGAAGCTTGCATGTATATTACACATACGATTTATATCTTCGAAAGTGCTGATTGATGCTGCCTGCTAGACGTTTTGGGCCTTGTGGGTCTGTGCTCAACAATTGTGTTAATAAAATAAAGCCTCTCTCTCTCCGCCAGGGTTGCGTTTCTTTAAAACGCTTGCAAATGCAGAATTCACAAATGCAGAAACCTTGCTCCAATGGGAAAAATGGGGTTACGTTCCTGGTACGAGTGAACTTTGCCCGATTGCAATCGCGTTCTTTCTAATGGACCTCACAGTCGACTCGTTTACACCAAAACATATAAACGAGACGACTGTAAGAACACATAAAGTAAACATGCACAATAGCGAGTTTAGAGCGGGATTGCTGCGAGACTTGAGGCCTAAGCGGGCAGCCGTGGGGTCGTGTCTCATCTTCGCAGACAGCTTCACAGAGCATTCTGGGTGCACCTCCCTGGTGTCGGTGGTCTGGCGCTACGCACACTCGCAAATACTGGAGTCCGGCAGATCGCAAATAGCGAATTGGTATACACTCCGTTACTCGCGTAAATGTGAAACTCGCAAATCTAAAACTCGCGCATAGCGAGGGTTTATGTATATATATTACATACAGTAAAACCTTGGTTTGCGAGCATAATTCGTTGCGGAAACGTGTTCGTAATCCAAAGCACTCGTATATCAAAGCGAATTTCCCCATAAGAAATCATGGAAACTCAGATGATTCGTTCCACAACCCAAAAATACTGTATTCATATAAAAATGATTAATACAAAATACCTTTTTATATTTTTATTATAAAAATTTAATTTAATAATGGCTGGTGTGAGGGAGACGAGAAAGAGGAGAGGAGGGTTATTGTGTAGGATGACTTTCACTTGCAGTACAGTTACTAAAGAACAATCACTACACTTGGACACAAAATTTAAAAAATGCTTTACGCACACACTCGTGGTCACAACACTATAGTAAACAGTATACGCTCGCACGAATGTTGACTATACGAGTGAGGCACGCCGACTGAGACCGAGCATGGGAGACGATTACCCACAATCCCGCAGCGAGAGAGAGAACCATCGGCTCAGCTGTGATCACGTGACGCTCGGCAGACAAAGCGTATACTATACTACTACAGTACTCGTATTGCAAGACATCGCTCGTTTATCAAATTAATATTTATTTAAAAAATTTGCTCGTCTTGCAAAACACTTGCAGACCAAATTTCGATTTAAAGCTTTCGTGACTGCAGGGATTCATCTTCTTGGTTCTTTCGGTAAAGTCACGTAGAAGGGAAGTAATAAAATAATAAAAATAAAACATAATAAAACAATTCTCACGACGTTTCGGCCACAACGCAAGCAGCCGTCCTCACCTGAGTGACTTTACCGAAAGAACCAAGAAGACTTGCAGACCAAGTTACTCGCAATCCAAGGTTTTACTGTATGTATATTTGTGTGACTAAAATAAACCGTTATAGACAGGAGAGAAGGTTCTGAAGCTTCATTTTGAACAGTGGCAGGGAGTTGACAGCACTGACGGCTGGGGGAGGCTCTTCCAGGTATCATTGTATGTTTGTATAATTAGCATATACGGGGAGAGCTATAATGATACACGCATGTTCCCGTTCACGTGCCAAGAAGATTGGGACCGATTTTGGTCTACGAGTTGGTGAATTGTGCCGTGACTGCTGCCATGTTTTACAGATCTGGAATGAGAGGAAATACGACATCAATTACATAAAGGTATGCATTTGTTTAAACTTAACTTTAATGTGCGTTTAACGCCAGAGATTTTAAAAATCAAATGAAAACTGTAACAATGAAGATGATAGCAATGATAGTGATGATGATAATAATTTCCATTGCCACCAGTTGCCACTCATGGAGATACTACCACCGGATTTACCAAAAATATTTTTAGTAAAATGAGTGGCTGTCACGTTGGGTACAAGGTCACTTCTGTAACAGACCTATATAGCTCAGTGGGTCTTGCCTGGTAAAATTCTAAGTTTATAGCTATTATTTATATGATATCTCTAGCTGTGGAAAGTCCATCCTGGTGACCTGAGTTCAATTCCCGCTCACAGCTAACATCGGTGTCGATTATCTGTCCCATTCATTTGGCCTCCTAGGTCTACTTCATTAGCCTTAAATGGGCGTCTGGTGCAGTGTGTAAACATCAGCACTTTGGAGACAGAGGCAGCTGGGTGCAGTGTTGGCCACACAACCACCTCGTACGTGCGCCGTGCCGGCCTTAGTAGGTGCTCGCTAACAGCACATTCCCAAAAGATTTGTAGAGGTTGCACAGGGATCTTTGTTGTGCGTGCGTGCGTACTTGCATGGCCAGGTGCTGAGGCAGACCCTGGACAAGGTCGGCCTGGGCTGGATCAAGATCATCGCGGCCGACAACAAATGGGAAATTGCGAGTGACATCCTGCATGACTCGGAGCTGGCAGATGCCATCAGCGTCATCGGGTAAATCTTCATCCACGTGCCTTGGCAGCGGTGGCAGCTGCTGGTCTTCATGACGATTCGTTTCATCCGGAGCGCTGGCAGGCATGCCTCTCGTGCATCGGGAACGCTACGCAGTGACGGAGAAAATTTAACAAAAACTGATGGGCGGCGCAAAGATGCATCGAGAGAGACGCGGAATTACATGGAGAAACAGAAAGAGGAGCACATGGGTTAAAGAATACACGAATGTTAATGAAATCGTTGTAACTGGTAACAAAAGAAAGTGGGTTTGGGAACTTCCAATTACTTTGTTATTATTAATGATCGGTTATCGGGGATGATGACCCGTGGTCAGTAGTAATGACGGAGTGGCAGCTGAGGGATAGAATGCGTTCAAGAGGCTGTCCACTGAGGAGATGGAGCGAATTAATCAGCCCGTGCACAGGTGCCAGGTAGACTACTACTACTCATTGAAGTACTCATAAAGTCCCTCCGGTTAGCCTATACAGCCACACTAGGCGTGATGATGACGACGACGATGATGACGACAACGATGACGACGATGATGGCGATGACACGCACATGCGGCTGAACACGTTCCCGGTGTGGTGTCCCTCGCCCCCGCCCCTCACCCCTCACCTTTCCCATCGCACAGCGCCCACTACCCCGGCACCAACAGCACGGTGGATGCGGTGCGCACAGGCAAGGTGCTCTGGTCCTCGGAGGACTTCAGCACGTTCAACGACGAGACGGGCGCCGGCTGCTGGGCTCGCATCCTTAACCAGAACTACGTCAATGGCAACATGACCTCGTGAGGACACGGGGGAAGGGGGCGTGGGCATCATTGGGGGGGGCGGGCGATACAATTTAAACAAAAAACGTACGATGTTGTGTGACGCCAGCAAGCGCTTGCCCGTGACTCTCATCTTGGGCTTTGCCGAGGTGGGAGCAGTGGCACAGCAGTATGTGCGCTGCTCGAAACCCGGCGGACCCGAGTTGGGTTCCCACTCGTGGTACAACATCGGTGACGAATATCTCAACCGGTTCTAGGCATCCCAACTGTACCTGGTGCGGTGGTGTATAAATATCAGCACTGGGGAGACAAAGGTGGCCAGGCGTGGTACAGGCCGCCCACTCCATCGTATGCTGTGCTGACCTCAATAGGTGCTCGTTAATAGCACTTGCTCCAGCAGTCTGTTAAATGCTACGCGTGGGCATTTTTGTCTTTGTGAACGCATGCAGCACCATCTCGTGGAACCTGGTAGCGAGTTACTACGGGTCGCTTCCGTTCGGGAGGGACGGACTCATGACGGCCGATGAGCCCTGGAGTGGCTTCTACAGCGTCGATGGCCCCATATGGATCTCGGGTAACTGGAGCGTGTGAGAGGGGCACGGGGAGGGAGAGCAAATATCTCCACGTTCAACTCAAACACAAGACATCAGCCACTCGGGCACAAAACGCGGGCATCGTTCCCTCCGGCAATGGTGGAGCAGCAGCAGCAGCAACAGAGGTGGAGCGGCGCTGATTCTGCGATACGTGCATCGAATCACGTGGGTGTTGAGGGTCGATTATTTACATGAACTATGTACGGACTCCGGGCAACAGAGGGAGGTGCAACAATGTAATAATTGTGCCCCCTGACGTCACCAACCCCATACTGACCAGTGTGGTGTAATATGGTCAAATGACCCAAATGACGTGGGTCTAGACCCTGTTCCAGCAGTGGATTGTAAATATGAATAATATATGGAGCGAACAAATACTGTACACACGAGGCACAAAAAACAAGAAATGATACAATTATATGGTAAAATAAGACAATATAAATAGTTTACCCGAATCATGATCCTGAATCACGCGAGTTCATCAAATCGCTGGGGTCGGGACGGTCAAATCGTTGCCTGCTGAATGGTGATGTTCTCATTTTGTGAGCCGTGCCGTCTCCCTGTCCAAGTTGATTCTGTTGAACCAGGCGATGAGAACTCAAGACACCACCATGATAGAGGAGCCTCATTTTCAAGCGTGACCTGGGTCACCAAAATTTCAAAAATCTAAAGAGATTCAATAAAGTACAGCAATGAAGAGAATGGAAATCAGAACTAAAACAATTGTGGCACATGGTAAATTGAAAATATTACACAAACATAAATCGCTGTTAAGATAATAAAGTCCCCTATAGCTAACCCGGCTCGGGCTGATTATGTTTAGATTGATCATAGAAAAATTACAATTCAGTTATGAAACATACAACAGATATAGGGCGACTATTTCGTGTAAATCATTGTTTTTTTTTTGCTGTTGTTTGCACATTCCCTGCGTGCAATGTCCTGTAACTGCCGCTGCTGCCGGCGAACTTGGGCTGTGGTCGTCCTCGTAAAAGAGCTGCTTAGCTCGGTGGGCCCTGCCAAGCTGCACTACAGTCTGAGCCTGACTCTCGTCTCTGTGTCTCCGTGCCAGCGCACACGACCCAGTTCACGAGGCCAGGCTGGCACTACCTCCAAGCGGACGGACACCTCAAGGCGGGTGGCTCCTACGTGGCCCTCACCGACGGCAACGGGAACCTCACCATCGTCATAGAAACCATGGTATCCCTGCTCCTGCTGACCCTTATTTAAAAGTTCAGACACGCTTCTGCGGCTATCTGGAACGCTCTTCCAATATTAGGAATCCACTGGAGCTGTGCACTTTTAAATCATCTAGATTGAAAACTAATTTCTTTAGAACTGCTTTGTGATTAGTTTGTTGTCCTTCCTCCACACCTCCGATTATCACGGATGGCCACGTACGATGTGAAAGAAGTTCAACATACATCTGTAGGCGCTGTTTTTCATATTTCATTTTAAGCAACCAAAATTTTAATGTCTGCCGGTTTTAAATGATAAGCAATTGTTGCGTGCGACTGATGCGTGGTGAAGGTGTGATGCAGTCTTATCTGAGTCCCAAGCTTCCTGCCATCGGTTGGATGAGCCCCTATGCTGAGCGGCAGTTGATAGGATCACCCGGTTTAATCACTGGTGGTTGCTTGGATTCCAGCCCAGGATTTCATCAATGCCAGCTCAGTGGTTTGACAGGGCATTAGCTGCCTGAGCCATGCAGCCGCGTCTCGCAGCCGCGTCTCGCAGCCCAGTCGAATTTACTGATACAGAACTGTCCTATACTTTAATATGACAATCAAAAGGCCGTGAATGAGTCTATAACTGCATGATGAATTTGGAGGAGTAATTAGATCGCATCTGCGACTGCCAGATGCGAGTCTGTATCTCTTTCTTGCAAAATTGTGTGTGATGGGCATTGATGGGCGATGTGAGTGATGGGGATTGCATAATCTCCTTACTGGTTCACTTATGGATGAGAGTCGCATAGAGAGACATAGATTCATGCAGAGACCCATAAACTCAGAGCTGCATATATTCATATAGAACTATTGTCACATAGAGACCCATAGACTCGCATAGAGACCTCTAGACTCACATAGAGACCTCTAGACTCGCGTAGAGACACATACCATGCGATACAATGCGAGTGATGCATTGCACTTCTCACCGCAGTCGCAATTAGGCTGCGTAATTCCCCAGGTGTGGAGGAGGTAACCGCACCTGCCTTGTGTAGCTCTCGCGCAGTTAGGTCGCCAGGTCCAGTGTCTCCGAGATCACGAGAAGCCAGATCGTTGCTGCGTCGGATCTGCGGTACCGCGGTTTGAGCTCGCGCGAGTGTTAATACTGCTTTGTCTTCACAGACACACAACCACTCGGTGTGCATCCGCCCGCCGCTGCCACCCTTCACCGTCTCGCCGCAGAACGTCACCTTCAGGCTCACCGGCTCCTTCGTGAGTCGCCGCACATCTGTCGTCTTATCAGCTAAAGGACCGCCCGGCCTCAGTAGTCTTTTGTCAAGGGGGTCTCGCGTTTGTTTGGCCTGTTTTATATTCAGAGGAGCATTTCGTGTGCGGGAGAAAACTCACCATTTGCACAAGGAGATGGCGCTTAAAGAAGTCGGCACAAGCGGGGTTCACAAACCTCCTTGCCGTACAACCATCTTCTGGCCACCACCTCACGGCACAGTGGGAGTTTAACAAATAAATTGCCGCATTCCGGAGTGCTGGGTCACGGGTGTGCGCCCCCGTGCCTGACTCAGCAGTGTGCCTCGTCTGTAAGCTGCGTAAAATATTACTTAAATTGTTTACGTGAAGGGACAGATATGGGAAGGAAGCGTATTGTATGCGTATTTATTTGACTACAATGGGTCTCGATTTCGAGAGCAGGACAGCAGCAGAGACCTTTGTTTGCGTTCCACTGAGTCCAGACATCCGCCCTGACAAGCACTGACTTCTGTTTCATTTGCCTGGGCGGCTGGCCATTGCACAAGTGGTGCAGAGAAAATTAAATGCATGCAGTGCGCACCCTAACCCCACACCACCGTGCGTGGATTCCAATTCGATGTGGATGCCTTTACCTGGTTCTTGCAGGCCCACGTGGCGAGCCTGCAGGTGTGGCACTCGCGCCTCGACTTCACGGGGATGCCCAGCGTGCTCTTCCAGCCCCTCCCGCCCATCAAGGTAACTCGCCCACGCGTGCCTAGATTGGGAAGTTGTCGCAATTATCGAGCCAAGAACGTTGACTGTCCCAGGCCAGGATGTGTTTCATTCACGAGCCTCCATCGTCGAGCACACATTCCGCCATGTCTGTGCGGTGTTGAGTAGTAACATGGCAGTCATGCCATTCATTTATCCAAGTTATCCTCACTCAAGACTCATTCAGGAGAGGTCTTGCTATGTTGAGATGTTTGGCCAATCCCGTTATTGAGAGTGTGGCATCTGGGAGGAAACCGTATCCTACTCAGTGAAAACTCAGGCATACGAGGGGGCGGTAACACAATCTAAGTTCCACACATGGATTCAATATTCCATTGCCGAACCGCCCGTCGTCCTGGCCCCATCAGGCGAGAGCCCTGTGATCGATCCCGCTTTGGGAACCGAGTTGTCGTGATGGCGGAGTGGCCCCCCTGCGCCGCTGCCATAGAGAAGCTCGGCCGAAGCGAGAGCCACACTTTTTCTGGTGTCGTCCCCCGTGCGACGCAAGGTGGACAAGGGCAGCTTCACCCTGAGCCTGGACGTGGACGAGGTGTACACGTTCACTACGCTCCTCACCGGCAACCGCGGCTCCTACCCCAGGCCCCCGGCCTCCCAGCCGTTCCCGTCTATCTACAACGACTCCTTTGACGTCGGTGAGTTCACAAACGAAATGGCAAAAACCTCGACACATTCCGGCTGAAACGCTGCCCAGAAAAGGACGAGACGTGTATTCGGCATCATTTAGGGCAATGACCCTTTATCACGTGCACCGCTGCCAATGCAGAGTAAAACACTCATTTAACACCGTAGGCTTTCGCGACCAATATTACCCATAATAGAGTTTTTTTTGGGTTAGATTGCGTAAATATAAATATGTCGAAATGTAAAGGATGAAACGTCGTACTCGAAATGTAAATGTTGTGTACGGGACTGCTGTCACAGTCCTGTAGCAAATGCACACCAGCCACTGCAGCACAGACCTTCAGACCATGCTCCCACCCCCATATGAGAGACGCCGTGCCGCCCGATTCTGCACAACTTTGCGAAACCACGCCCTTGCCCCCCCAGTTGCCAGAACATTGCTCCCTGTGTATAAGCTTCCCTACACTTTGCTGCTCGGATATGGAGCTGCCTCCCTGAACACATTGTTGGCAAGATCACCAATTCTGGTCTTCAAATGCCAAGCACATGGACTTCTCCTAACTTCACCACACGCATTGTAGGAGTGAGTCTTTGAGCTGCAGTTAATAAATTATTATGCCGATTAGATTGTACTCATGTCTGATATGGCTGTCTAGTAATGAGTTGGCAAGTTTTGTTTACGTGACAAACCTTACTAATTGTCTGTGTCAGGTGGTGGCTGGTTTAACCACGTAATTATATTTACGTGATCTAACCCAAAAAAAATTCTTATGGTTAAAAATAAATGTTTGTGAACAAATGTTAGTCGATCAACAAGTCGCATGTGGAGGGGTAAAGTGTGGGTACTTGCCCCTCTTGCAAGTTGTCCGGCTGGTGTGAAAGAGTAGGGCAAGATACCCTGCAGAGGAGAGGCTCTCCAGAACCATTCTACCCTCTTGCGTATGGCGACACGTTCAGCAGCTTGAAGGCCTATGTCGAGGTCCGCTGGCCACGGCAAGAGAGTGCCAGGAGAGAGTTCGTGTCATTGCTACTCGTGGAGGCCCTTTCGCCAGCAGTGATGGAACAGGGCTGCATCTTCACCTTCATTCACTCGACTTCCTCTAGAGATTTTCCTCCAGTGGAGCAAGGCAGGGAAGCATCTTTACCGTTTATCAAGCGTGAGCCCAAGCACGATTTCATTTAAGCGGGTGAGGTAAAAAATACGTATATCTTTTTTTAAAACAACCCCCTGCATCGGAAAGTACTTGAGGGTTGTATGGGGAATCCAGTTTTCCTGCGGAATTAGATTCACAGCAAACATTGTGGAACACAGTGTTACTTCATAAACTGCAGTGTTTCATTGGATTACTCTGCCAACTCAATTTTTAAAATATGTTTTTCTAAGATTGCATTGACTTAAGTCTTTTTGCACAAATACTAAAAAAGCAAGACGCTCCTGCAGAGGTTTTCACGGCTCTCCGATGTGTTACGGTTTTGCCACTCCATGCTGTTCGGCATGATGCCTGACATTTCACTCCTTGTTCTGGGAGCTTCTTTGGGAAATAAAGTATACATAATGTTAAAAAAATGTTTTTTTCCCCCTAATTTGTACTGCTTTCCCACAATCCCCACCCTACAAGCTACTCCTCCGTTCAGCGAGGCACCAAATTTCGCCGACCAGACGGGCGTCTTTGAACTGTTCCGGAACTTGTCCGATCCGGGGCCGCACGTGTTCACGATGCGTCAGGTGATCACCACCCGACCAATCACCTGGGCCGAGGATGCCAAACAGCCAATCACGGTCATCGGAAATCACAACTGGTATGAGCGTGAGAACCCACCCGCCGCCGATCGCCACGGTTATTCATTTATTCGTTTGTCCATGTTCAGTTTGGAACGGCGTTTCGGCAAAAACTATTTCCACTTGCACTTTGGATGGACGGCCGTTAATCGTGTACGTTGCCGCTGTGTGTCACTGCGTGCAGGAGCGATGTGCTGGTGTCATGTGACGTGTTTATGGAGGATGCCGAGCAGGGAGGAGTTTTTATCGCCGGGCGGGTGAACAAGGCCGGCAATGATATCTCATTCGCCCGGGGGGTCTTCTTCTGGATTTTCGCAAATGGAACATTCGCTCTCACCAATGACCTAGGTGACATATCAAGCCCAGTGCTGGGTTTTTTGGAGCAAAGCTTTCAGTTTTTCTTTTGTTTTGTATCTCCAAATGAGTTGGCTTTCATTACCTAGAGCACGGGCAAAATCTACCATATAAACACCCCCACCCCCTCCACAGTTGTGTGTTATTTTGCCCGCAAGATATATTTGTGAGGGGAAAAAAAGACCGTTAGGGTTAGATTTACTTGTAATCTAGTGTGCACATTGATCTGTAGCAAATGGTGAGGCTGTCAAGGTCGCAGGTCAAAGTGGATATGGCGCCAATTTTCTTTTTAGTGGATGCTTTGTAATGGTCTTTTCCAATCATTTTCGAAGAAGCAAGGTCACGCTCAATGTGAAGAATTACACCGTAATGGTGAGTGCACTGATCCAACAGCAATGGGAAGGAACAGGATAACAGCCTACACAATGCTTGCGGGCAACAACAACAACAACAAAAAACGTAATTTCTGTACATCACTAATTCTACGTGCAAAACCTGGGTTATAGATTGTTACCTTTCTACGTAGTATTGGTAGTTGTGAATATTCAGATTTGGGTTCTGACACTGGAACATGTTTCAGTTGATGGTAAATGGTTGAGACTAATGACGGAGAGTAATGCGCTCTAAAGGATATTAGCCGTGGAGATGAAACGATTAAAATCCGCTTGTGTTGCCAGTGCTAGGTGGAATGTTGCATCGTAGGACGGCGAAAGTTCAGTTCATTTAGTTGGTATAGCCCTGTGAGCCATGCGGCTCTTGAATCGGGTGCAACCGCAACAAACAAAAACATGAACAAGAAACATCTTAAAGTGACTACACGCAACAGAAAAATCCAGGAAAAAACAGCAAAGTCTTCCAGAAAAAGCACCGTATATCAATGCTGTGTACAAAAATCCCAGTGGGATGCAAGTCAAACAATAACAACCATAAGACAATTTAGATTAAAGTTATCAATCTAACTCTGTACTACAACAAACAAATATAGCTAAACCAAAACTTTTCGAAATCACCAAAATAAAGCTATAAAAACAATGTAACAGTGATCATAGGAACTGTGATTCAAATTTAATAATAAACGATATACATAACATGTACGACCAAACTTTGCAGCCATAGCTGGCAGCATGAGTCACTCTATAACAGCAGGAGTATCAGTAGGAGTATCAACATTTTTCAATGCAACTTTACAGATCAGCACACTATAATCAAAACTCAAGATCATACTTTGCAGCGGTCATCTGGAGTGATTGATACATTTTATTTCAGGCCACTGAATAGCAGAGGCGGGCGGCAGCTTGGGCCTTTATCCCATGGTAAATGTATCATGGCCGATGGTGACTGTACTTTTGTGCCATTTGTACTTGTGTAGTGAGTTCAACCGAGTCGCAGACATCGACTTGGAGGCAACACATTTATTTAACACCAACACACGGGGTAACTGCCCCCTTAACGGAATAACAACCTGTGGTGGTGACCACCAGGCTAACTAAACTAATTACAACGTGACTAGCTGCTATGGACCAGGACCAACAGCTCGGGTCCAGGTCCACGTGTTGGAGACTCGGTAGAACGTAGACGTAGACGAAGGTTTCTTCAGGATGAACAACAACGCCGGTCCCTCTCGGGACCCGGCTTATATTCTCTGCGGCGTCGCTGGCTCCGCCCTTGGCCACGACCACCTTCCAGAATCCTCGGGAAGGATCTGGATGCCAACCACGTGACCTCCCTAGCCCCCACTTGGGGCCCCTTCGTAGACTTAACTGGTCACGTGTCCTCCCGGGTCAACCAGAGTGCCACGGCCTTTAGTAACCTCATTCCTACGGCCGGCACTCCCACACCCTGTCCTATAGGTTTGGCACTGCACGCCAAGCGTGGTGTCATCCAGCGCTATCAATCAGCGCTCACCGGGCCCCTCTAGGGCCGGTACTACACCCACATCCTTGTGGTATCTGCGATGTCGTTACACCGCATGCCGTGCTTCTCTAGAGCCGGCACTGGGAAGTGACATCCCGCGATGGCACTACAATTGTATACTTAATTTATGTTTATTTTTTGCGACTTGCTTCCCGTTTCTCTATCTTGCTTTTATATCGTTTTTTTTGCATTATTGATGTAACTCGCTGACCCGCCCTTATTGGACATCTGTGAAAAAGAGATTCATAGCTTATCGGATAATTAAAGATTCTGATTATGACCGGAATACACTGGGATACTCGTGCATGGTCCGTGGTGTCACCGATGCCTCTAATTGTGTTTGCGACTGCCTCATGTTCTCCCTGCCCACAGCTGGGAGGTTCGTGTTGATGTCAGGGACAGCCCCGACCAAGCCCTGGACGTGGTACACGATGACCCTCTCACTGCAGGTGAGGCCTGGAGGCGAGTCTGTCGCTGGGGACATGTCCAAAAAGTGTACGCGCCTCTAGGGATGTATGCACTGACCCTAAAGTGGTTGCGTGTGGTGTTTTTAAAACAGAGGTATTGTGTACGACTAGGAGTGGGGATGCAATGTGTTTCCCATGTGTTATTTTGAAATCGGGTTTAAGCATTTCTCACAACTGTACAGCGGACTTCCCATTTTCCTCTCTCTCTTTGACATTCTTTCTTCGATGTTAGGTTTCAGTCAGGAGTGGTGTGTGCACATTACTGTATCACTTCATTGATGAGTTGAGACTTTTCTGAAATAGGCTATGAACAATGACAAATTTTTCGATGATACGGAGAGATAACTATAGTTTATTTTGTGTTATTCTATTTATAGGTTTTTTTTGGTGTAGTATTTGTAGATCGATAGTAATTAGTTTCACACGTTAACACCGTTTTGCATGCGCTCCAAGATGTAACGGCATGTGAAGCGTGGTAAAATGATTCGATGATGATGATGGTGATAATGTTTTTTGCCAGGGTGACAGCGTGGTGGCCGTGGTTGAAAATCAGCTGGTGATGACACAGGAGAAGATTATTATGCCAACAAGAGGCTGGGTTGCAATTGGAACGCACACATTCCAGAATGCACAGTTTGACAACTTTTATGTGCAGGGCAACTGAAATGGCGTTTTCCCAGGGCGGAAGTGATGCTGGGCTGGTCTTAGATCATAAAATGGTTGTCTAACCAGATAATCCTGTTATGTTGACAAGTATGACATGGGGGATAATTTTAAAGTAACTCGCAAATAACCAAATTTTTGTAAATTGCTCAGGATACGGGCGATCGACAGGAATTAAATGTTATGTTACATTTCCTCTCATGAAGCGGATGTGTACATGCATTGTATTGTTGCATGGAATTTGTGTGGGTACCATGTTCTATGTAAAATAGGGTTCGCAGCGCAAATGGACAACAGCATGTATGGCTTTCAAGCCACTGGCAGAGATAGACCGACTTACACATGCAGATTATGGAAGACTTGCGAGGCTTAAGGACAAATCAATTGCATTATGCTCCTCTACTTCATCAAACTGGCATTTCATTCAAATTGTACTTGGGCTGCATAATAAGCAAGCTAAGGTAGCACTAACCCTTACCTGGCCAATCGGTTATATTACAAAGTAACATTTTACTTCAATTAAAAACTGTAAATGATTTTATTGTTTTCAGTGGCGTGTTTTTTTACAAATTCACCTGACTTTGGTGTTTTTTTTATAAATGGTGATGTTGATTAATATATATTTGTGAGTTTTATGTACAACACATATTTCACAGGTGAATTATCTTTCATGAATGTCGAACCATTCTGTCTTAAGGTATGGCCGTGGATTCAGGGATGGTGAATTTTGCGTTTAAGTTGCACAAATTATTAAAGGAAATTTTGTAAGATTGTGAGATTGTTTTTGAGGTTTAATTATTTTGCCCGCCTTGCCAATATGAATAAAATTGTAAAATGAATTATCACATTCTGTCATTGTTACTTTCCTGTACCATTAAGCCCAGCCAGTGTACATTTTACATTTTCTGGCTCTGTACTCAATTGTTTTAATCCCAAACAAATGTCAAACTACAAATACGCATAATGTAAAGGTTCATAAAGCAAACGTATAAAACTAGAAGCTGATTATAAATCAAAGAAAACTACAACCTGTACCAGTCAATAAAACATATTTTAGAAATTAGGCATTTGAAGGTGATTGTTAAACATTTTTGGATTCGCTCCCTGATCAGATGAGGAAGTGTGTTCTATAGTTTGGATCCAAAAAAGAGCCCTTTGTGGTCTGGAATGTGGGTTCCGAAAGGTACATAGGGAACATCCAGTTCTCAAGATAAGGTCAAAGCCAAATAGTAACGGATTAAGAGGGAACCTTTCGATTTATTCAGCATCGCACGGGCATCCATGGTTAATATTCTAGAAGAGGAAATGCAAGCCAGCATGCATGCAAAGATTCACCACTACCTCGCCCGCACCACCCACATCCATTTGCTGAATTGTCATAATTCCGGGTCAGTATTAACTGGTTGTCTCATTCGTACCACCTCATTTGTACAGTTTTTCTATTTGAATAATCTATTTACAGATGTTTGCTCCATTAATCTAAATGTAAAATTTCAGTATTTTAATATAATTTGCTTAAATCGTTGATTTTCACACTCGGTTCATTACATCCATTGTAAGCGTAAAAATCTGTTTTCAGCAATCGATGCATCGTTACAGTCTTACAAGCAGGCATCCGTGTCGCCAGCTGACAAGCCAATTCACTGCCGGACTTGTGTAACATTTGAATTTGTATCACAGTGCCATTCAGCACAACAATCAGCCACGTGCTGTCCACTGAAGGATACCGTATCCACACAACATCGCCATCCATCGCACTCCTGAACAAGATCTGCTCTCATCTTGTCATCTCTGCGGGCGTCATCTTGGGCATGTTCCTGGTTTGAACCGATATTGTTACCAGTCTCATTGGCCATCATCCCTCTTGATTGATGTGTTTTGTCCAAGCCCGCGACTTGTCTTCCGTCAAAATTGTCTGCGATTTGCATGAGTTCCGTGATCCATGTGTTCCTGTTCGTGTGTCTGTGTAATTCCCAGAATCGATCTCTCCACGCTTCTTTGTTGACTTTTTAGCCCTGCTCCATGTTCACTGTCACAGTCCATGTTTCCAAATTATGCGCCATGGCAGGTAATTTGCAATGATTGAAAACGTCCTCCATGAACATTGCTGCTTTTCGCAATCAAAGTTAATTCACCAAAAGCACTCCATCCCAGCTCTTGTTTTCACAGCAAGCATTATGAAGATGCATAAAAACCAATGTGATTGGGTTCATTAAATTTACTGAGTGGCCAATTGCAGCCTAAGCCACTGAACTAAGGTTTTAGACATTGAAATAGCCATACACGTAAACAAATCTACACGGCAGGTATGTAATGAAGATTATAGACAACTGGAAAACACAACTGGGTAAAGTATGTAAAACTAGGGCAATTATTAAAGGCGGACTGGAATCAAAATTATGAAATAAAGATTAGCACGGTTGCCTATGTACGGTGCGCAAAAAGTTTAACATACTGTACACACCGCTTGTGGTTTAGTAGTATGCATTGGCACAGTTATGAATGGAAGTCTTCAGAGGTAACAACAGTAAAGGATTTGCTGATATTTGCTGTACCTCGCGTCCTGGTTATATCCACTCGTGCTTAATTGTTTTGCAATATCTCAAGACTTGGCCAATATCAAAACCCATGACCAATCTCGCGATAGAGAAAACTTCCCTTGTCAATGCTTGTGACTAAACTCATCACGCTCGCTGATGACATAATAATCAATAATGATCATAGATTTATAATTTATAATAAAATGGGCAAATAAAGTTTGCCAAATGACAATCCAGTACTCTATACGTTGTTTAAAAATCTCTAAGAGCCTAAATGGGCCCTAAACCACTGACTGGACATGGTAGACATTGAGAACAGCCAGACATGCTGAACCTCCAAAGAACCATGTAATAATGATTCAACAAACCCCACTGCACCCTAGCTTGTTTATCAACATTACGTTCAAGAATCAGCTCTACACTATTGATAAACATTTTATGAAAGCCGCAATGAACCCATCATCCCGATATAATCTGTAGTGAAATTGGCGCCTCCGGTGGCTTCAGCGAGTCGCCGAGTGAACCAATTTCACGAATCCAATCCAAATGAATTCTCAACACACTCGGCTACTGAGAACGCAACAAGTCGACTTTAATAAATCAACAGATGCTTCCGCGCGTGCATAAACCATATATTACAAAGACACAGTGGATGTAGATAGCCTAGCAGGATCGTGTGTGCATTGGGTTATTGAAATGGGCCACCGTCACCACCACCGAGACGCGTCGAGAATAAATGTGGGGTACCATGAACATATCATCGCTGTCAACCCATATGGCTGACCCCTTGTTCTTGTACAGGGACATTGCCAGGTCCATACGGCGTACAGCCGTTTCAATAAGAGCAAAAAAAACGTGTTTTTGCCCCCTATTTGTGTGTTTCTCCATTGTGATGGCACTTTGTGGGATGAACGTTAATATTTATAAGGGCACGTGGTGACCAATAAGGTCTGAATTGGTTTGTAATAAGGTAAGGCACTGATAAGAGGTTGACATATATGACCTATTGGCTGCACCCCCACCCCCCTCCATAATGTAAATAAACTTTTATTTCAACAAAAAATTGGGGTGGGCTCTGAACGTGGGTCCACAATAAGTTGTCACCCCCTTCCTCATGCTTGTCGTCAGAGCCTGCACCCACCACCACCACCCACCACCACACACCACCCACCACTCACCACCACACACCACCACCAGACACCACCACCACCACACACCACCTACCACTCACCACCACCACTCACCACACACCACCCATCACTCACCACCACACCCCACCACCACCACCCACCACCACCCACCACCACACACCACCACACACCACCCACCACTCACCACCACACACCACCACCACCACCACCACCACCACCACACCACCACCACCACCCACCACCACCACTCACCACCACACACCACCACCCACCACCCACCACCCATCACCCACCACTCACCACCCACCCACCATCCACCACCACCCACCACCACACACCACCACCCACCACCACCCACTAACACCCACCCACCACCACCCACCACCACCACCCAACACCACCATCACCCTCCACCAACACCACCCACCACCACCTACCACCCACCACCACCACCCACCACCACCACCCACCACCACCCACCACCACCACCCACCACCACCACCCACCACCACCACCACCCACCACCACCACCGACCACCCACCACTCACCACCCACCACTCATCAACACCACCCACCACCACACACCACCACCCACCACCACCCACTAACACCCACCCACCACCACCCACCACCACCACCACACACCACCCACCATCACACCATCACCCACCACCAACACCACCCACCACCACCTACCACCCACCACCACCGACCACTCACCACCCACCACTCATCACCCACCACCCACCACCACCACCGACCACTCACAATCACCCACCACCACCACCGACCACTCACAATCACCCACCACTCACCGCCACCACCCACCACCACTCACCACCACCCACCACACTCGTGAAATGGCCACCCATCCCATTGTCCCCAGTACCAAACGACACCAGCAATCGCCCCGACATGCCGGGCCTTGGTGATGTCCTGCGTCGCAGCGCCCCTTCCGGACACCTTGAGACGGTGGCGGTGGCTCACGAGCGGGGGAGGGGCCCCCAGTCACGAACTCTGTGCGGAAGAGATTGCGTAACAGCAACAGCAGCAGCACATGACCGCCCGGAGACTCTTACAAAGCACAACAACAGCGGCAACGCGCCGTAACATCATCGCACGAGTGCAAGTCACACGGGGACGAAAGGCGGAGAACTCGACTGGGGGATGTCGGCGGAGGGCGAGGCTGGAGCGGCCGCAGGCGCGGGGGTCGGCGGGGCTGCGTCGGTCCCGGACGCGGCTGGAGACGGCGGCGAGACCGAGGGTCTGAACGTGGAGCCTGGGGACCAGGCCGCGCCCGAGGGACCAGGGGATCGGGCAGGAGCCCGTGTCGGAGAGCCTCAAGGGGAACATGAAGGCGAGGCCGAGCCGCGTGGGCCCGAGATGCGGACCGCGATCTCTGAGGAGCCTGCTGGGCCAGGAGAGGCAGGACATGGGAGCATGGAGACGGAGCGACTTGGGGACCAAGGCGGGTGTGAGGACACGGGGGATCAGGACGGAGAGCCTCGAGATCAGATGGGGGACCAGGCCGTGGATTGTGAAACGTACCCTGAGGACCAGGACGAGCTGAAACACCGCGTAGATGGACCCACTGATGACCGTGCTGGGTCTCCGGCGCCAGAGGATCGGACATTAGAACCTGAGAACTTTACTGAGGCTCAAGAGCCCCGGGATCAGACGATGGAGTCGGAGGCCCCTGAGGAGCAGCCTGGATCCGAGGAGCCCGCGCATTGGGATGTGGATCCCAAGGATCAAGTTGGGCTGGGAGCGCCAGAGGTACAGGCCATGACGCCTGAACAGAACCTTGAGGACCAGGCTGGGCTGGGAGCGACAGAGGATCGGGCCATGACGCCTGAACAGAACCCTGAGGACCAGACTGGGCTGGGAGCGCCAGAGGATCAGGCCATGACGCCTGAACAGAACCTTGAGGACCAGGCTGGGCTGGGAGCGACAGAGGATCGGGCCATGACGCCTGAGCAGGACCCTGAGGACCAGGCTGGGCTGGGAGCGCCAGAGGATCAGGCCATGACGCCTGAACAGAACCTTGAGGACCAGGCTGGGCTGGGAGCGACAGAGGATCGGGCCATGACGCCTGAACAGGACCCTGAGGACCAGGCTGGGCTGGGAGCGCCAGAGGATCTAGCCATGACGCCTGAACAGAACCTTGAGGACCAGGCTGGGCTGGGAGCGACAGAGGATCGGGCCATGACGCCTGAGCAGGACCCTGAGGACCAGGCTGGGCTGGGAGCGCCAGAGGATCGGGCCGTGATGCCTGAACAGGACCCCAAGGATCAAGTTGGGCTGGGAGCGCCAGAGGATCAGGCCATGATGCCTGAACAGGACCCTGAGGACCAGGCTGGGCTGGGAGTGCCAGAGGATCGGGCCATGATGCCTGAACAGAACCCTGAGGACCAGGCTGGGCCAGAACAAACAGACGATGAAGCCACAGAACATAAAGGAGAAATTGAAGACCAGGCAGAACCAAAGGAGTCAGAGGAACGGATGATGGACTCTGAGGGCCAAATTAGGCCAGAAGATGTAGAAAACTGCACCGTAGAGTCAGTGAAACTTGAAGACCAGTCTGGGTGTTCTGAGGAGCCAAGGGATCAAGACATTAACACTGAGGACCATGGGTTTGGAAGATCAATTGATCAAAACATGCAGTCGGGAGACCTTGAAAATCAGACTGTGACAGGGGATTCAGAAGATCGGACCGTAGATCCTGAAACCCATGTTGAGTCTGAGAAGGAGGATGATCGAACCGTGGAGCCTGAGAACTTGACTGGGGCTGAGGAACCAGAAAATCAGAACACAGTGTCGGGAGACCAAGCAAAGCAAGAAGAGCCAGAGGATAGAATATTGGAGCCTGAGGAAGTCTCTCCTGAGCAACTCCGCGAGACTACCATAGATTATGGGAATCGGATAGCAGAGCCAGAGGCACTGGACCGGCAGGGACACTATGGGGCCCTGACCGTACCGAGCAACTTGGTAAAACTCAAGGAGCGTGGCGACTTGGTTTGGCCACGGGAGGCAGAAGATTTAGCTGGAAAGCCGGAGGAGGCCGGGGATGAATTAGTGGAACCGATAGAGTTCGGGGATATGGCCAAGCCAGAAAGTGTCCAGACTGGGAGTAGGGGGGAACATGGGAATTGGCGTCGGGAGCCCATGCTTGGAGCCCGGCCAAAGGAACCCCCCAGGGTTCAGGGAGAGCCAGGGGACCTCATTGACGTGGCCTTGGATCAAGATGAACCCATGGATCAACCCATTGAACAAGGGGAGCCCAGGGGCCTGACCAGGCCTCGCGATCTTGGGAACCAGGCAATTAGGTCCTGGGATCTGACTGAGCCGGGGGAGGATGGGGAAAGGCTGCTTGGCATGACCGAGCACCCTGATGACTCCTTGGGGTCCGTGGATTCCGGGGCCCATGTTTACCATGTGTATGCGCGCCGCTGGTTCGTGCTGGCGGTCCTGTGCCTGCTCAACCTATCCAATGCCCTGGTGCGTGCATCACCCTCACAGTTTTCCTGATTGTCTTTTGTTACACGTATTTATTTCAAAGTGGTACAGTTTGGGGTTTTTTTCCAAAGAGTAGGTACCAGAAATGTGTGTGGTTACGTTGAAGCCCATGTGACCTCATTTCCAGAAGTTAAGGTGGAGGAAAGAGTATTGCTCAACCGGACCAATGTGCGCAGAGGTTAAGTGTTTTTTTAGTCTGAAAGCGAACATACTGTTACGTATACAACAGTACCTTAGTCAGATCATGATCACAAATCACAATTTTAATGAGCATGTAAATGTGAACAAGTTCTTGTAGCCTAAAATTTACGAACGCTCGAGTCATGAAAATTACGAACTGTTTACCTTCATGGAAACTGTCGAAATAATTTTGGTCCTGAAAAGTATGTAATAAGGCTGTTGTGAATGCCCCAGAGGATTACAGATGTTGCATGTTACATGTGCATACACAGACATTTGTATATTCACTGCTGAATGAAGAATGTTAATTGTGATGCCTCTGTTTTGTCTTATACAGATTTGGCTGAGCTTTGCGCCCATAGCAGACAAAGCTGCCACGTTCTTTGGCATCTCACTGGCGCAAGTTAACTGGCTGGCGGTCGTCTTTCTGGTTGCCTGCATCCCATGTGGCATAGTGGCCTCATGGTCCATGGACAGCATTGGTTTGCGTGTAACGGTACGGCCTTTTGCAGCCTTTGTTTCTCCATCTCTTGGCGAGAGCACAACACGTTAAATTTCATCATTGACAGGCGTTGCACGTCTGCAGCTGATATTTTAATCCGGGAGTTCCAGTATAATTTTTTTCCAAAATTGTTTTTGTGCTTTTGTCTGTGTTGCTCTCTGTATGTATGTGATTGCATTTGTCCATGTATTTCTGCTTTGGTATTTATGTTTATTTTCCAGTGTCGTGGCACAACATAAGCAGGGAGTCTGTCGTTTACAGTGTGGTCCTGGTGATGGAACAGGGGTCATATGCCATGAACCATTGCAGATGGGAAAGGGGGAAATAAGGCCAGACCACAGCGGCCAGCTGCTTTAAAATGAGCACTGAGCCACGGACCCTGGTGTTATTGTCTCCATTGCCTTTTATGAAGACTCGTCCTTTAACCTCCAACCCCCCCCCCCCCCCACCAGAATGGCACCTCGCTGTACCGTGACTGTCCGCATGTATTTTACCCCCTTCATGTGATGTTTATTGCCCATAAACAAGGTCAGGGAACTCCTGCACAAAGTGAAACCGGGACGAGGCAGTTGACTTGCACGAATTATTTTCGCGACGGTTGGGGCAAATGTTCACGTCTGCATGTAACGTTGCCTGCTAATGGACGGCTGTCTGCTCCTCCTGCAGCTGGTGCTGGGCTCGTGGCTGAACGCGCTGGGGAGCGTGCTTCGAGCGCTGTCCGATCACCCGCTCATGCCCACGGCCCTGAAGGGCTTCCCGCTGCTAATGACGGGACAGACCCTGGGAGCGCTGGCGCAGCCCTTCCTGCTCTTCGCCCCCACCAAGTTGGCTGCTGTTTGGTTTCCCGACAGCCAGCGAGCAACGGCCAACACCCTGGCCTCTATGTGTGAGGGAATCCACTTGCCTTTCTCTATGTTGCGCCACTTGCATTTAATGTGCGATTCACTAATTGTTGTGTGGAACGGTGATGCGTTTATCGTACTGTGCTATGAACCCTGAATTCTGAGTTCGATTCACGGCCACAGATATCTTCAGTCGTGAGTGATAGCCGAATCGGTTTGGGTCACCCCTCCCAAACCAACTGACAAGCGTTGTAAAATATGGTCACATAACCCCCTTGACCAACAAGAACTTCCTCCAGTGTATTACCAAAGAGTAAAAACGCGCCTCTTTTACCCCTAGCCCCACCACACTTAGAAGTGTTGGTGTGGTATGTCAACTGATATTTACCATTGGTATGCCTTGACATATTTGGCCGTATTGACAATATTTTAATGCCCTCATCAATAAAGTACTGCCAGTTCTCTGTGCAGTGACGGATGCTGGTATTCGCAGACACACAAAACAGTCGTGGTATTATAACAGAAAACAACAATAATTTGAATTAAATGAACATTTTAAATTATGGTAATTATAAATGTGCATGAACTTAAGGGAGAACGCCAAAGCCTGAATTTGATGCAGCTCACAGATAAAATTACTGTAATGTGTAATTAAGGAACGCTGGCTTGCTTCGTTAAACAATGTGATTCTCTTGTGCCTCTCCACAGCCAACCCCCTGGGAATTCTGCTGGCCAATGTGCTGTCCCCTATCATCGTCTATGAAGCAGATCAGATACCTATGATGGTAATGCTAACGCAGCGTTCGATGCATTTGCCACCACCGGGGTCCAACTCGGCGCACAATCTGCCTTCACTAACGTTTACTAGGAATGCTGTGTTCAGTACAGATTCAAAAGGGGTCACCAGTTTAAATATTTAACTTATTGTGACATATTGCCCAGTCAAAGTATATGCCCCTTGATTAAAATTAAATTCCTTTATCTTCAATGGAAATATTATTTGACAGAACCATATAGAATACAGCACTATGCGCCTACTTTTATTGATATAGATTTCAGCAACAAAAGTAATTGGTTTACCAAGGCTTGGTGTACAATTTATTTTGGCTTCTAGGACCAAACCATCCCATTGCAACAACCGCCGGTAATTAAAGTGTATTTGCAGTGTATGCGCACGACATTATAACAGTCATTTTATGTTTTGTCGCGATACATTAACGATTGCCTTTAACAAAGTCACCTAGAATGTGGCCAATCTCATCCGATCTCGGAGGCTAAGCAGGGTTGAGTGGATAGTGCTTGTATTTGTGACCACCATGCGTTAAACAGGTGCTGCACAACTGCAGTGTGGTTATTAGAGTGCATTGGAGTGCAGCAAGATCCAGTATCTTACTGCTCTGCTCTCAACGTCTATGATGTCCACATTCAATTTGCACTGACCAGCATGGCGAAGTATACCCAAATAACCTCCACCACCTGCATGGCATGGGGAGGCCTTCGTCCAGCTTTGGATTGACAAAAAGGCTGTACATTCATTATTGTGGATTTGAGTATCTGCTGTAACACACCGTTACCCAGTGGAGGTTCAACCTGTGCAGGTTGTCTGCATGTGTGGTGTACACGCCTGCTTGTAAGCGGGTGCCGTGGCATCGCGTGATTGTGTGGGGGTGCAAGGACCCTGGTGCACGCCATGAAATTGCGTCACCTGCCCAATGTACTTCACCTCTTCCTAGCCCGGTGCCTGGACTTCTCCGGCCCAAGGGAGGCCCTGGTAAAGCTGCACCGCCTGCACACTTTAGCCATGCCACAACGCCGCATGCCTCGCTAATGGCCGCTTCTGCCTCCGCAGCTGTACCTGTACTGCCTGCCGGCCGTGCTGGCCTGCGCCCTGGCCACGTGTGGGGTGTGCAGCGGCTCGCCTCCCACACCCCCCTCCCTCGGAGCCACCCACCCCACCGGCGAGCCATTCTGGCGCAGCGTCAAAGCGGTAAATCCTGTGGGTGAAAGCCTGTCGAGGACGTACACTGTGCTGCGCCTGCGCTTCTGTACCACGACACATGTTGGGCATATTTCTAAGAGTTTAAGGCTAAGTAGCATTTGACCAAATCGCCTGGAGTGTGCCCTATCTCGTGTGTCGGAAGCCAAGCGGGTTCAGCCCGAATAGTTCCTGGATGGGTGACCTCGATCCATAAACGGGTGTTGTAGGCTGCTGTGGGGCTATTTTTGGGTAGCATACGGCAGTGCAGAAAATGCCAATGTTGCGCTGCACTTGTTTTTCCCCGACTGCGCAGCCCACTCGTCACCACCTTCATCAGCCCACACTGGCCAACTTGTTGAAGTATTGGTCAAGTAACCAACACTGAATCGCGACACCATCATACAGCAGGGGATTGACAAAATGGCTGTGCACACGGGACATGTCCAAGAGGGGAAGTAGGAGCAGACGCTTTGCTTTTTGAGCACGTTTAATCGTACCCCAGGCTCTTGTTTTTCTTCCCTCTTTGGTCACGCGCTCAAGAGAACCGCTTTCCCCTTTTGTTGTGGCCTGGCTTCGGTGCCGACGTTTGCCGTGCGCCTGCGTGTTGTCTGTGCCGTGCAGGTGATGACCAACAAGCCGTACCTCGTGCTGTTCTTCTGTTTTGGTGCCGGCGTGGCCCTGTTCACCGCCTTCACAACGTTGCTGGAGCAGATCCTGTGCTCGCGGGGATACTCGGACGTACGGGGCTCTCCCACCTCTCCTTCCCATCTGTCACTCACTCTCCCGTTTATTCAAACGCTGTATTCTTTTGTTTTTTAGAGACTTGCCAAATTTAAACAGGCTGAATAGCTACGATAATTAATGCCGGATATGGCCAGCTGTTCTTTTTACGCAAAGCATGTTTAATTTGGCTCCTCTCCAAGATCTACAGCTTTCCCGGAGGAAATGTTTAAGTTCATATGACTAGCATCTAAGGGAATAGACTGGTAAGTGTAGACAATTTAGGGCAGCATTATTTGTAATGAGCGATCTTGCCTCAAATAGCCTGCAGCTTGCAGTGTGCTGAATCGCAACACCCTGTGTCTTTAATACAGGGTTTCCCACATCATTCATGTCCCACACTTTGCACGTTTACCAACCTCCATTCAAATGCGAAATAGCTCGTTACTTGTAAACTTGATAATAAATGCAATTGTAATCCTTTGTCTTATAAATGCCATTCTACATATGAGTTCCTTTCACGAGTTTCATACGGAATGTTATTTTGGATTGCACACTAGATTTCTGTTGTGCATAGTTGTGTTTGTTTATTGTTTTACTATTATTCATTCGTCATTTTCTCTAAACGTTCCCTGCTTTTGTTCTCTCCAATAGCTGTGAACCCTCCCTTCCCATTTAACTTGCCGTTTTGGCCGGGTTGCCATTGAAAGAATAGCTTCTTGGCTCAGTGGGCCTTACCAAAAATACACTGTCTGAATCACTGCTTAATAAACACGCCCCATGTGACGTGAAGAGAGCTGATTAAATTAAAAATACAAGATCATGTACGAGTACACCTGTTCCCACGCGACCTCGGCACGACTGTTGCCACCTACGCCACGTGGGATGTGTCTACCAATCGTCGGTCACGTGCAACATGCAATCACCAGATTTTATTTGAATGGAGATTGTTAAACAATGAAAATATGAATGGGGAGAAGTGGAGTTTGAAAAACCCTGCTTTATTGTGACATTTTTATTAAAAACCTCAGCAATGTTGGTGGATATGTGAAGCGAAAAATACGTTAGCGATCCATGTTTTTATCATCAGGCTTCTGTGGTCTGCTTTGATGTTTCCGTTGCAGAGCTTCTCAGGGCTGTGTGGAGCGCTGACGATCGGGTTCGGAATCATCGGTGCTGGGCTGGTAGGCCTCTACGTCGACCGCTCCAAGAAATTTGTGGAAGTAACCAAGATCAACTTCTGCCTGGCAGCGTTGGCGGCCTGCGTGTTTGCGATGGTGAGCGAGTCGCTGGTTTGCACGGCCCTGCATTGGGTCGGTGTTCTGCTGCGTTTTACACCCCTGTCAGGGTGGCATATACTTATCTGGCGGAGAAAGAGAGCGAGAAAGATACATTTTTAATAACAAGAGAGCATTCGTAATTATTCAGTTTTATATATAAATACATTAATGGAAAGATACTTTTGAGTTTCCTTCTCAATGAAATAATAATGTCTACTGATTCGTGGTATGAATTAAATGCTCGTGCAGCATTTTACGAGCAGCATTCATCTCGGATGTATAGCTCGAGCGAGGCTGTAGTCATCTGACGAGGGATGCACAATGATGACAGTGGCGACATGACAGCTCTGAGATCAAGACTCAAGTATTTTTTCTCCACCGTTGCCATTCCTTCACTCCTTGCATGTTTGCCAAATATAAACGAGCAATGGCATGCCTTTTTATAATTGGCATGTCTGAGATCATATGCTGCCTAAAGTTGCCCAGCGGGTAGAAACTAAAATGGAATTTGCGCGCGTTCTCATTATTGTTTCTGATCGTTGATTCACAACTTCTGCAACATTTATAAATGTATGTATGTTGCACATATCCAACCGTGCTCGTAAAGCCAACTGACTGGAACGTGAAAATGCAATTTTTGGAAAGACTTCGTTCAAAATAGGCAATATATTTGTAATCCTTGCTCATATAAATGCCATTTTAAATTATGTGAGTTTCTCCGTCTTGTGTAATGCTATTTTGGATTGTTTACTCGATGTCCACTGGACATAATTCTGATTGTGAATTATTATATTTATTATTATCAGTTTTTTTTTACATGTAGCCCCTGAAAATCCTCCCTTCCCATGTGACGTGCTGGCTACTGTCGTATCAGCTATTTTATGCAGCCCCTGTAAATCCTTTCCTTGTAATGCGCCGCTTTGGCTGGGTTGCCATTGAAAAAGAGCTTTGTAGCTGTGGGCCTTAGCCGAAATAAACTGATTGACTGATTTTGTGATTTTCTAAAGTTACCCCCTTCCTGCTGCAGGTGTGTGGCATGCGCGACCAGCAGTATGTGATTGCCGTGGCGTGCTGCGTCTTCGGGATGTTCGGCTTCTCCATTTATCCCGTGTGCATGGAGCTGGGTGTCGAGTGCACCTACCCGGTCGGGGAGGCCACCAGTTCAGGCATCCTCTTCATCTCAGGGTGAGAAGGGCTGAATGTTTGGACAGCCCACACCCCCCCCCCCCCCCGTATTAACTCTCTCACTATTTTCCAATACAGTTGCCTCCTTGACTCTATACACTTGCTCCACCTTCATTTTTGTGGTGAGGATATTCCAGCAGAAAATAAGTCCACTCCTTGGTCTTCAATACAGCCAGACACAGCCACTTTGGCTTCTACAGCAAAAATATGACCGTGCATGTGTCTCTTCAGATTTCTGAATGAAAATTGGCAGAGATATTGCTAGTTGGGGGCCAGGTCTGGGCTGTGCAGTGTTATGGTTCAACTCTACAAGCAGCATAGACACATCGGAGCTTGTGAACTGGATCAATTTCATGAAGGAGCAACAAACCACGAGTCAACATTCCCCCCGCCCTCCCCATAGCATATCTTTGTGCAGTGTGGTGGCATACCCTTGTCGTTTCTGGGAAAGACCAACAGACACGTGACAACATGTCACAACTTGTCCACTTTGCCTTCTCCACTCCTGCTTTACGCGTGTACATAACTTTTCTAGTGCCCCCCCCACCTCGTAATCAACTCAAGCAAATGATCCACCCGATTTGACAGGCCTGCGTTCGACCCCCGTGTTCTGTGCGGTGTGTGGCGCGCAGGCAGCTGCAGGGCGTGCTGTACATCGTGCTGATGCAGGCGGTCGCGCGACCGCTACCGGCCACAGCCGTCCCTGCCGCCGTGTGCCATGGCAATGGCGTGACGCCGCAGGACTGGACCGGTAATTGGGTCTGATTTTTTTTCTGCTGTGTTTACTCTGGGGAAGGATGTTAGGGATGGGTGATGGTGGTGGTGAGGAGCTGCAGAGGAGAATTTCAAGCTTTCTCAAATATGCCTGGTTAAAATTGATGCCCCTTTGCCTCCCCAGCATCTCCTATCATTTCTATTATCCCCTTGTATTAAACACCATCCCTAGTGTCTTTATCCATGAATATACCACTGGGACATCTCCCCTCTCTAAATAAGGTCATGTTTGTAACAGTGTGACAGGCCCTGTAAACCTACAGAGACAAAACAACAAAGCTGTCTGGGTTGTACAGCGTGTGTGCCCTTGCAGCAAGATCATGTCACTTGTTTTTTTTCAAACCATGTGGCTCTTGTTGACGATGTTTTAATTTGTGGCTGCGCGCTTTGTTTGCGGTAATGTGTAAATAAACCGTCAGATTATCCGTTTTCTTTTAATTAAATTTGATCATCTTTCAGTTGGTTTATGTAATGGACTGTAATATGCTTCCTGCCAACGTGTACAATCGTATTGTTTCTTGTCTGTGTGAGTGTGTTGTCTGAGCCTCTAAATAGCGTACGTGAATGTTTTCCAGGTCAGTCATCGTCCGCACATTTTAAGTGGCATGATCAATGGAGGCTTTCACCTTCATTTACACACCTGTGGCACACTACATTGTGATGATTTGTATTTTGGCATCTAGCGATGAACCCTGGTGACTTAATGAATTTGTTCGATTTTATTCAAAAGTGGTTTGTTTATATTTTTAGCAGGGGTGACATGAGCCCATTACATACAGCAAATACTAATTCAAAAACGCTAAATGTACACGTCCATTCATATGTCGTGAGCTTATAAATCCATATCGATGAATTGAGGCATCTTTCCACCTTGAGTAACCATTTTAATGGTGGCTAATGCTATTTGAATCGTCAAGGATGTTTCATTAACTTCGTATTAGGTTATCCGTGAGACCTCATTTACATGCACCTGTTTACACTTAATTTGATGTACAAGTCAAGGGAAAAATACATTAAACAAGTGAAAAATCAGGTGGATAGTAACGTTGGTGACCATGCTCGCATATCTCCTTGCAGTAACACACGGGTAGATTTACACAGCTTGCATAAGCTAGCGGTGGCGGTGGTGGAATTTGTTGACGCGTTCACATATATGGTGTTGAGTTAGTTTGCCCTCTGTTTACTGCGAATATCAAGACACTGGTGGTGAGGCACTAATAATTGGCACACTGCCACAGAATGTGTTCTCACAAAACTAACTTGGATAGCAAACTTGTTGTTTTGGACCGCGTGAGACGAGAGCACGTGTGTGCGGTAACCCGTGATGGTGTGTGTGTGGGGAGCGGTAGTGTAGCGGTTAACCCACTGGCCTATGAATCTGGCGACACGGGTTCGATTCTGGCTCACGGCCAACACCAGTGACGATTATCTGAACCATTCCTGGGCCTCCACTAGGTCAACTCAGCCTCAATTGAGTATCTAGTGTTACGTATAAAAACATTGCCACTAGGGAGACAAATGCGGCCGGGTCTGGTGCTGCTACCCACCCCCTCGTGTACCATTACGGCCTTCTGCATAGGTGCTTACTGACAGCATTTGCCCCAACAGTCTGTTAAAGGCTATACGGGGGATCTTTGTTTTTGTGTGTGACTGCCCAACGCTGACTTGTTGTGCCGGCTTCTCCTCACAGTCTCCGTATTGCTGTTTGCCGGGATTGCCATGCTTGGCGCGTGCTGCATGGTGGTGGCATTCCGGACCGAGTACCGGAGACGAAAAGCGGAGGCTGTGGAGTCGTCGGAGAGTGAGCCGCTCCTTGTGTGAGCCAAAGAGGGTTGAATTCGTCACCCGCGTTCTGTTCAAAGATGGATGAAAGCCACGGTTCTTCCCACTCCTGCCTGTCAACGGATCTCATCATTGCGTCTCGCACGTATAGATTCGTATAAATCATCCACATACAGTAAAACCTTGGATTGCGAGTAACTTGGTCTGCGAGTGTTTTGCAAGACCAGCAAAAAATGTAAATACATTTTTATTTGATAAACGAGCGAGGTCTTGCAATACGAGTACTGTAGTTGTACAGTATATGCTTTGTCTGCCGAGCGTCACGTGATCACAACTGAGCCGATGGTTCTCTCTCTCGCTGCGGAATTATGGGTAATCGTCTCCCATGCTCGGTCTCAGTCGGCGTGCCTCACTCGTATAGTCAACATTCGTGCGAGCGTATACTGTTTACTATAGTGTTGTGACCACGAGTATGTGCGTAAAGCATTTTTTTATTGTGTCCAAGTGTAGTGACTGTCCTTTAGTAACTATACTGCAAGTGAAAGTCGTCCTTCACAATAACCCTCCTCTCTCTCGTCTCCCTCACACCAGCCACGATTAAATTTCATTAATAAATTTGATTACTTTATATAAAATTTAAATAATAAAAAAATTAAAAGGTATTTTGTATTAATCATTTTTATATGAATACAGTATTTTTGGGTTGTGGAACGAATCATCTGAGTTTCCATTATTTCTCATGGGGAAATTCGCTTTGATATACGAGTGCTTTGGATTACAAACACGTTTCCGGAACAAATTATGCTCGCAATCCAAGGTTTTACTGTATAGAGATCCCTCGATTAACCTAGACAGAGAATGAGCTGATTTTTGCATGATGCTCAGTCCACTACCTCATTTGGGGGAAAAAGTTCTTCAAATACACATTTTTAAAGAAAATTTCTTAGGATTACCATAGTAATTTTAATCTGTTACAGCACATAGTAAGTTTATAATTTACACACTAATCGTATATTTCATACTTTACACCTGGCAAAAACTAACGGTACTCTTAGTAAACGATTCTCTTGGTAATGTTTTTTTCTATTATTAGGCTGCACGTAGTTACTGAAGCAGCAATGTTTTATCGTATTTTAATTCGCAGGGTATGTGATGGTTCAGTGAGTGGATTGATGTCAGATTTTGTAAGCAGAGGGACATGAGCTTTAATACCACGATGTTTGCTGCTGTTGGGCTTGGTTGCTCCTGTACTGAGCTCTGTCAAGCCCCCTCCTGGGCCAAGCTACCACAAGATAATAATTAGCGTATGGATGCCGTAGTGTGATGCCTCATCTTTTCGAGATGGGAGTTCACTGTAATTATTTTCATTTGTAAATACATGTTTACAATGCGTGGGGCTGCCCAGCAGTGTGGAGATTCTTGGCACGATGCCTGGAATTGGTGGCTGCCAAATCAGTTGCATTCCAAGCCCCAGAACAAACATCGTCCCTGACAGTGGCCATGGAAAGGCAAACCCATGCTTTCTTTCAACCAACTATTTTGTACTCTCGCTGCAAGTTTTGGGCTTTGCTTCCGATGCCTTGTCACATCATCCTCGACGGCGCAAGCAGAACTTTATTTTCATTGGCCACACAGAAAGATGCCTCATTTTTGTTAGTTTACAGCCCTCTAAGCTTGATGCCAGACACTTTATATTTGTAAAGACCAATGATATTAAAAATCTGCTTCTTTTAAAATATATATCAACCATGACTATGCAGTATGTTTAGTTTGATGAAAATATTTTTTGGAAAACATTTTGGAGTGTATTTTTACGTAAATTCCTGTTGTGTAAATGATATGGTGACAGTGTTGTTTTGTAAATGGCGGTGTATTATGTAAATACTGTAGGTGTTGCACTACTTTTTGTCCTGCCTTCCCTAGAATGTGTAATGCCCTCATAATGCAAAAGGTTGAGAGACTGGGCAGTCTTGATCACTGTGATAACTGATTTCACAATAGTGGTGGTGTTTAATCCGCCTGGTATCAATTCATCCTTGTTTTCGAGCTTTCTTTCGGATCTTGTCCTACAATGAATCCACAGGACGAGGATTAATTAAGTTGCCATACATATGCCCAGTTTGGTCATTATAATTACAGTAATCAATGAACACTACGAATCACGAGTATTTGTTGGGAGCACAAAAACCATATGCCAATGACGGTTTTCAGTCACCTTGCAAAGGCAGTGGATTGTGAATGGAAGCCCTTGTGAAATGGCCGCCTGGTATGAGAAATGCTGATGTCAACTTGAGGCTGGGGCAATAGTGGTGGAGTAGACACTGAATCCAGGGTTTGTCTTGTGCAGAGACAGAACATGATCTGCAAGGACAGAGATCAATAGCGGCAAGCAAGTGACGGCAGGACCTCTAAGGCAACGGTCAGATTGCCAAGGTCGAGTTCTGCTAGCGTTCCGAGTTGTGGATTTGCGGCAATTGAAACGTATCCTTGTGAACGAGTTAATGAGCTAATCTCGATTACCCTGAAGTTAAACAGTGGCGTCAGCACTGATTGCTTTGTGGTGCCGGCTGTGTTAAAGGTGATTTGCATGTTTTCTGAATGCAGTTGGGTGATGGTGGGTTTCCCGAGCCCACTGGTGTGGCAATGGCAGGGTGAAAGCTCTCGGCCATGCCGTGTACATTATGCGGGTTCACCCCTGTGAGTTACAGATTATGATAATCAGCTTAGCGCTAGGGTATCCCTGCTATAATACAAACATTAATACGCCAAGCATACCGAAGGCAACGTGAGCAACGCACATGTTTTGACTTGGTCTGTTATACGAAGCTTTAAACACAAGCTCGTCATTACGCATCAAGTTGTATCCCAAGGACAGATTTTGCTCCATTCTGTTTGCTTTCTGTTTCTTGTGTCGAAATAAAACTGGAATAAACACTTGACCAAAATGGAATTTGAAGCTCCGAGTGACTTCGTTTACTTCGTTATAGCATTTATGTAATTCTGCCCTTCTGTCCCATGTACAACACCCTGGAATTCGCCCCGGTTGCTAATGCTTTGCAGACGTGAATAATCCTGACATGCTGGATTGGAGACGCGACTGTATTGGCAACGAGCTGCTATTAATGTTAGCATTCTGACTAACTCGTCTGTTATGAATGTTTTCTTTCACCTTTATTTGACTGGACACACCTTGCAGAAATCGTAAGACAATATGAAACGCATTTTGTTCAGACTTTTGTGTGGCCTATAAATGCATTACCACAAATTTGTATTGTACTGCATTTAAAATATACATGGGTACCTAGTTAATCTATATACATATATGTACGAGGGAGTAACACTCCTAACGCCATACGGATAGATTCAAGAATCCATGCTGTACTGCCATCTGGCCACCTCGGCTTTATGCTCGGAATATCAATCAGGCTGCCGCTCAATTCACCAAACATTTGCTATGAATTGCTTTTCTATAGATTTATTTAGCTTTTACTAATTGTACAAACCCGTGATATAACTTTGCTTCTAGATGCTAATTAAAACTACCTTGCAGACATTCATTTAAAAGTCTTGAAAAATGTGTGAGCTTGTGTCTGAAAGCTTGAGCTACGTGGGGATTGGACTTTTTTTTAAAATTGAAATTAATTTCCGCGGGAACGCCTGCAGACATTTAACGTTTATTTAGGTTGTCATTTGGACCTATTATTTATCGTCTTCCAAACAATCCAACGCTAGAACTGGAATAAAATGAAATACTGTACTCGAAGAAATTCATGTGCTCAAACATGCAGTACAACTAAAATCTGGTGACTGCTGCTGCGTTGGCAGTGGTGCACAAACAACAAATAAAAAAAACTCAACAAATTGTTAATAACACGGGGGCCCATAAAATAAAAATTATATATTACACGCAACGTTTCGGTACGTTGTCCTTCATGGCACGTGTGCTATGAATAATGCGTTGAGGTTTTTTTTTCGTGATGTGACATGTCGCCATCAAAGACGTAAAGTAAATAATGATGCCAGGGGAGATGAGTAATTAATCACCGTATCCTTCAGTTCTCACGGCTTGTTTTTGTCAGTCTGAATCAATTTAGATACTTCACATAACTGGTAAACTATTCAGCCATTTCGCGATGCCATTACAGTAATTGCAATGCACTTGCATAGCGTTTCGACACGACCGCCACTTGTTTGACCCCGTGTTACATGCGAACCAGGTAAATGTGTCCAATATCAGAGTTGAAAAGCTAAAGGATATTGTTACGCTCTGTAGAGCTCCATCAAATGTTGTAAGAGGGAAAATCGGTCAAAGCAGTGCTTCTTGACATGGCCCTCTTGCTTCCCGTGAGAACATCAATAGGCCGATGCGCACATCTTCATGAACGTAAAATGAAAGACAAGCCACGGTTGTGTGGCCATGCAACTCAAACTATGCACCATTTCGTAAAGCCACAAGTACAGAGCCACACGGGATACATTTCATGCACAACAAACCACACCAGGCATGTTTATGGCCATGAAACTCCCCAAGTAGTTCAGTTCAGTTTTCATTTATTTAGTATAGCCCTGTGAGCCATTCGGCTCTTGAATCGGGTGCAACCGCAACAAACAAAAAACATGAACAAGAAAATATCATAAAGTGACTATGCGCAAACAGAAAAATCCAGGAAAAAACTCCAAAATCTTCCAGAAAAAGCACCGTACACCAACGCTGCGTGCAAAAATCCCAGTGGGATGCAGGTCAAACAACAACAACAACCACAAGACAACTTCTATTAAAGCCATCAGTCTAACTCCGTACTACAACAACACAAACATGGCCAAACTAAAAAACTTTTCGAAATCACCAAAATAAAGCCATAAAAGCAATGTAACAGTGATCATAGGAACTGTGACCGAAATTTCACAATAAACGACATAAACAACATGCACCACCACCAAACCCTGCAGCCATAGCTGGCTGCATGAGTCACTCCACAACAGCAGAAGGACCACATTGTCAACCACTTTCATCCAAGTTCCTTCAACCGAGGAACAGCAGAACACCAGCAGCTCTCTGCTGAAGCCCTCTCGCCGTGGCTCGCAGAGCTAAACATTGGCATTTAGGTAGTCACGTAGGTAAAAAATAATATAAATAATTATTATTTCTATTATTTATTTTTTACCTACGTTACTTTACCGAAAAACCTAAGAGTATGAATCCTTGCAGTCACGAAAGCTTCAAATCTAGAATTGGCATTTAGCTCCTGAACGTATTGCTGCGACACGGAATAGAGAGGCCCCTTTGCCCTTGTGTATGATAACTTATGTACGTTTGCACTGTACATTACTTACTTTGTGCACGCTCACAACATTGCTGGTGTCTAAGGGAGGGAAATTGCGAGAGCAACTCTGTCGTGTGAGAAAACATTTATTTTTAAATAACATCAGACAGGCTAGTTGTTCGATTGCGTAAACCCGCCAATACCGGTGTGTTGCAGAGCCAAGCCACAACATTTACAATGCGACTACGACGTTTCGCCAGTAATACAACAGTCGTACTCTTGGCTCTCCAACGCATCGGTGTGCTATACTAATAACGAATTGGCATGTTTTGTTTACGTGACAAACCTTACGAATTGGCTGTGTCGGGTGGTGGCGGGTTTAACGACACATTTAAGCGATCTAACCTAAAAAAACTGTATTATGGATGATATTGTGGTCGTGTTAAACGCCAATTGTTGGTGAGGCAAGCTGTGTGTGTGTGTGCCTAAACGTGCACGTAACATGGCACAAGCGCCGCGACCAACGCCACCGCTACTTCGTGGCGATTGGAGGTTATTGTTGTTGCCGGCGTGTTGTGGCAACACGGGCAGCGAGTGGGCGGACGAGCCGGCATTATCTCACCGCGACCGGGGCGGGATGCCTCCTTGCCCTGCCTCCTCCTCCTCCGACTGGCCTCAACCCGCCATGTCATTACTCCCGCCGCGCGCCCCATTGGTCGCGGCGCGCGCACGTGACTGCGGCGCGGGCTCGCGATTGGTCGCGAACAAACGGTCATAGCAAGATGGCCGTGGGGGGGGGTATGAGGAGGTGGGGAAAAGGGGGCGGAGCTCGCCTCCTCATCCCCGCGGCTCGAGCGAGGGGGGGGTGAGAGCGGAAGTGACGTCGCAGACTCCCAGGGTGCTGCGCGCGCGCCCCCCCCCCACGAGAAGAAAGGCGAGGAGAGAGGCGGCGCGCAATGGCGGCCGCGCGCTGACGCTCCCCTTCGCACAGGCGGCCGCCTGACCACCGCCACCGACTCGGCCACGTCGACGCGCAGTGCCCTCCAACACCGCGACCCTCCGCGCCCCCACCAACCCATTCGCTCATCGCGCAACGGCGACCCGTCTTTTATTTTTTTTAAACTTCCGTTGACAATTTACGGGGCGGCGGCGGCGTCGACGTCGTCGCTAGTTTTTTGTGTTTTTAAACAATAATCGCCCCCCCCCCCACCACAACCCCAACCACCACCAGCGCCGTCGTTCGCCCGCCCCGCTCGTCCCCCACCCTCTGCCGTGTGACGCTGTCGTCGTTGTCACCGTCGTCGTTTTTTGTTGCGGAGGCTGCAAAGTTTGCGCTGTGAAAATGGCGAGCGCCGGCGCCTCCAAGTCCGAGTTCATCGTGGGCGGCAAGTACAGACTCGTGCGGAAGATCGGCAGCGGGTCGTTCGGAGACATTTACCTCGCCATCAACATCACCAACGGCGAGGTAACACGACGGCTTTTCTCTGGCGGGCGGGCGGGAGACTGTGCAGTTGTCAGGGTTATTTTTTATTTGCCGTCGAGGATCTTATCGGCGTTACATTGTTCACGAGGGCGGTGTATTGGTAATGGGGCCCGATTGCCAGCGATGTTGGTTGTCGATGAGGTATTTTGAGTAGTGTATGAATGCTGTCGCAATGGGCGGAGGAGCTGTTGTTTCGCGTTGTTCCCAAGTGTTGAATATGGTGGTTGTAAATGGTGGCGATGGTAGCAACGATGAGAGGTAATGGATTTTCGTGGTAGGTGCTGTGACGATAGCCATCAAAAGCGCCTCGCCCCGTCAAATCCGCACACAAAGAAACCCACCCCCGACTTCCATCGCGATGCCTAAATCCTTTGCCCTTTCGGAGAAAACTCCACGTATGAGAATAATTACCTGATATTAAGTATTATCGAGTAGTATTGGCACCGAATGTTTTAAGTAACGTTGCAAATGCGAACCCCACTGGGTTGGGTCGTCATTCTCGTCAGTAGAAGCCTCCTCGCTCGACCACTCTCTCAATCGACAGCGAAGGCGGCAAGCAAGCTGCGTGATGCGTTCCCGGTTTGTTTCATGGTGGCTTTTGTCCTCTCGTCGGTTTTTTTTGGCTCGTGTACACGCACAGTTATGTTTAATCGCTCGTGTGCTTTCTTACGTTCGTTTCCACAGGAGGTGGCCGTGAAACTGGAGTCGCAGAAGGCGAGACACCCGCAGCTTCTTTACGAGAGCAAACTCTACAAAATACTGCAGGGCGGCGTGGGCATCCCACACATTCGGTACGAGACAATGGCCAACCCAAGCCTCATGGGAGGGGGGGGGTTCCCACTTTTTTTATTTAATGTTTTCGTCGGCACTGACAAAGGTAAAAATACTCGTGTCTGCTGCCTGCAGTGTGGTCGTGAATGACATTTCAGTGCTGTCAAATACGGCAGCAGTCATTATTTGGTTGGCCACATTTTTTAAGTTGAGCAAACACTCAACCTTTTCATAAATACGTGTACTACAAGTCGGAGCTAAGGTGCGAATGGGTAATAACCTTGGGTTTGAGAATAAAATAGGGAAAAGGTCCGACTGGGTTTTTGACCATCAATGTAATAGCTTGGCTGCGGATCAGCTGTTGTGAAAATTGCAATGTTCGTACCATTTGCAGCCAGGGGTATAACCATGACCAGAACAACAACAATGATGTGGCAACCCACTTGAAGAACAAAACCAGCGCACCCAACAAAAATACGATTGTCCTCGATGCGCAATGAGATCCCGTTGAGGTGGCCATTATCTTTTGCAAGACATGTGTAACTAGCTACACAGGGACGACAATGTACATATGTAATGAAGGGCACAATACTCAGTTGAGCGTAACCAGAGGAAAGGGTAACCAGACCGTCGGTCACATTAAAGCTGTAACGCTGGCCTTGCCCATCCACCACCATTGCCCCACTTCCTGTCTCACCTGCAGTGTAACATGAAGAAGCCGTATCGCCACAACCAGGGGGTGGTGGGGGATGTTAACGTGAGCTCCCATGAGTTGCGGTGTGTTTACAGAAGCTATAGGTGTTGATGGATTTTTTAAAATAAATCTTAGGAAGGCGAAAGCACTGGTTCAACTTGTTGCCATCGCACACAATCATCGGCTTGAGGGTCCACGGTGGCTTTTCTTATAATCGCATAAGAAAGCTGTCGCCACATTACTTTGGTGGTTCACTAAAATTGATTCGAGTATATTATGACTGCATGAGATCAACCTATTTTGTCCATTAAGTTGTTAAATACAGCACATTTATGAACACAGATGGCTAGCCTGACTCGGTAAAGCTCTTTACGTTACATTGCATTGTCATATTTGCCTGTGCCCCCTTTAAATGTGCAATGCATTATTGCATGTATTATAGTACAGTTTGTGCTTGAGCATTGTGATCGTTCCTTGTGGGGCTGGTTGAAAAAGGAAAAGCTATGCATTTAATGTGAGTAGCTCTGCAGTTAATGGAATACTTAAAATTGGCTTACAGCTGCCAAGTACATTTTCCTTTCTGCCTTTGAATATGCCCTAGATGTCCTATTGAAGTTCTTCCTAATGATGTCTAGTTAATAATTATGCTGTGGTTTATTGGCTTCTTGTATTGCACTTTGAATCCATGAATTGGAATTGATTCCAGGCATGATTGTTAAAGGCAAAATGTGAACGGAGTACTGTAATGCGAAATGCATATACTGTACCAGATTTACTACGTACAGTATATAATAGCCTTTATACTATGTTGAAGCATTTCAGACAATTTCCTCATAGTTTGTCGGCAAACAATACATTTCAAAAGCATTTACCAGAATGCGGAACTGAGACTCGCCCATTTTTTTCATTTGTATGGAATGACCGTCATGCTCCATGGATTATATTAACATTGGATGTTTTTTTTTTAATTAAAATCTTGCCAGTAATTTGAACTTAGAATTAAATGCAATTATGTTTTGTCGTTGGGGGTTTCTGTTTAGTTTTACCTCCGAAGGGGAAGGCTCGAATATTTACCGACCTTGCTTTGGAACGTGACTCGTGGTGGCACGCACAAACAGCCAAATGGCTGTTGGTTGAGCTTGGCCTAGATCTGGCTTCCTCACGGTGATTCGATGCAGCGCCATGCTTGCGATTGCTGCTCGGCATTGCACAAAAAAATAGGCGAGAGGGGAGTCACGGACGTGAGTCAGCAATGCTGACTATACCAGCCAAGGGGATTGGAGGAAGGGGGTTGAGATTTCCATATATGGCTTCCTTGTTCGGGTCGCTTGTGGGTGTAGCTGCCTCGTCTCAGCTGTTGTGCAGAGCTCTCCATATTGTGTGGCAAGGGGGAGGGGCCCGGCGTCGGAGACCACAAGTGGCTGATTTCTTTACATGTTTATTTAAAGTAACTTGAGAGCAGCTGCGTTGCTTCGTCTGTTAATTTCCAAGTAATTTTTTTTAAATAACAACCAGATTCAACTTTTGCACATGGACAAAATGTGATATAGTATGGCACTGTACAATTACAAAGGTCCAATGAACCCTTTAACCACCCAATGATGGATAATCGTGTTGGCCAAATACCTAATGGTGGATAATTGTTGTGTTGGTATATTATAGGCTTTCCATGTAGTTGTTTTAATTGCATGCACAAAATGCACACGCTTGGCCATTCCCATGCTAGGCCATTTGTTTTTTTAGACCTTTTGGTAAGTACTGAACCATCTGGCCCACTCTTGTGTGAATGTGTGGCAGGTGGTACGGTCAGGAAAAGGACTACAATGTCCTCGTGATGGACCTCCTGGGGCCCAGTCTTGAGGATCTCTTCAACTTTTGCTCACGTCGCTTCACCATGAAAACTGTCCTCATGCTTGCCGACCAGGTACTTATAATCGTTTAGTGCCTGTCTCACTGGTGTAAGTCTATAATTACTGCACACAATTTTGTGTAATTTGGTGGCTTGCCGTACTTTAAGTTAGCCTCTTGACATTACGTCATAAGTTAATGTTTAAACCTACTAAATGTATAATTGTGATTTTTTTAAATTTTTACATTTTAAATAATCGTTACAACGTTACTGCAATGCATCACTTAAACGCAACATAATCGTTTGTGGTGTTTACTCTCGCTACAGATGATCAGCAGGATTGAGTATGTCCACAACAAAAACTTCATTCACAGGGACATTAAACCCGACAATTTTCTCATGGGGATTGGACGCCACTGTAACAAGGTAACCGGATGAGCTCATCTCCGTGGCCCGCTCTCGCCTAACACGTGGCCAGTTTGTGATGCTAAAAGCTTTGTTGGCTAAATAATAACTTGTGTTTGCGTACCAACAGGCAATTGATATATATTTATGTTTTAAAGATAGTTTTAGGTATCTAATTCAGATGTCCTGCATATATAGTGGCATGAGCATGTACTTATGAACAACAATGTTTTTCCAATTTTTTAGGTAAAAATTTTTTTGGTAGAGATCAGCTTTAATATGCGTATATGCATGTTACACTTAGGATGCAGTTTTGCATGAAAGCAAGCTTAGTGCTTGCCATGATGACTGGGTTGTAGGTGGTTGTAAGAAAGGTTTGAGTGCCAGTGCTTGGTGTACGCTGTGACCACAGTTTCCTTTAGTGATTTTATTCCGTGGTCCCATCACGTCTGTCTCGTGTGCCATTTTAGAGAAGTGCATTCAATTTTATGAGATGCTATTTATCAAACGACATTTTTGCAGGACATTTCCTTTGAGGTATCTTAGAGTTATTTACAAGATAAGCCTTGTCAGGCGAAAGTGACGGATTGTTTTTTTTTCAAGAAATACAGTCATGTTATGTTTTCACGTTTCAAATCTACCCCCCCGCGTTGAGCGAAATATCTGCATTTGAAGAATAATTGCTTTACATTTTCCTCTTCCCTGCCAAAGTCTTCCCGAGGCTGATGCCAAAAATAGGCCACATCTTCCATGGTTGAAGTGCTTTGTAACTTGAGTACTGTAACCTTTCTTACAACCTTTCAACCTGTGTCCATTTTGACAATATCATACCAGCAGCAGTGATGGCAGTGATGTTTCTATACATGTGTTTTTATTTTATTTTTATTACTTTTGTTAGTTTTTTTCATTTTAATATTTTGTTTGTTAAACAAACTTGATCAGCTCATTAAATGTGTCATTTTGCTGTCATAACTGGTGCTGGGATATCAAATTGAAATTGATGCATTCTTGGCAAATGATTTAAAATATACAATTTTTTTATACTGAATATTTTTCATATGTTGTGTTAAATCTAAGTAACTTCAACCAAGGTAAGATGGCTTATAACGTTGTATCAGCCCATGATGAGACTGAAAGTGCCATTTAATGTTATTATACCTGTAATGCTAATGTGTTTCCTCACACCTGCATGCCCTTGCCGGTGTGTGACGAGCGACATTTTTGTAACAAAGGCCCCCCGCGCCGCCCTAGAGGTGCGCGCGTGCTCGGCTATGTTGACAAATTGCCACGATCTTTGATTGCCCAGTGCACGGAAACAACGGCTGGGAAGAGGAAAAGGAGCACCCAGTGTGTTAGCCAGTGTCTCGACCAGACGTCATTCTCGGGACTGCAACAGGTCTGCCCCGTTTCGCTTTTTTAAAAATCGTAATCACGGAAATGAAAAAATGTTGTTGGTGATAACCGAGGTTTATTCCAGAAGCCGGATTGCGAATTGGGTTGTTAGTTAAATGCTGCACCCGAGGTTTGCGAGTTTTAGTGATGTTGAATTTATACTTTTAGCACGGGGCATGTAATATTAAGCCAGAAAAATGTCAATGTGAGGTTGGAATTCAATTGGATGTGCGATTTACATGAAATTAGACACGACTTTGCACAATTGTGAAGTCTATAAAATGTAAAATGTTTCATACATCACTCGAACAGGCATTTGAATTAAATTAAAACATTTATTTTCAGAAAAGAAAATTGGATTCATTTTCACGTGAAAACCCCACCTGCAGACTGCAGTGTTAATGTGTTGACATTTTCATGGTTGAGAGGGAATGGCAGTTGTTTGTTGTGGCGAGGGCGTGCGTTTTAAGTAATGTGAATGATTTTGTGGTGTTGGCTGTCCTTGATGGTTTCAAAGGTTCGTATATGCGTCTTTAAGGGTTCTGGTTTTAATGTTGGTATCACCAGGTTATGCATTTTATGTACAACTGTGTTTGCATCGGATACACATTGTAGTTTTTAAGTAACATATTAAGCATTTTCTTAAACATTGAAATAATTTTACAATAATACAGATCACGGAACTTTTTACAAGTATTTTTAGAGTGTGCCTTTGCATAAATGTATTATAAACTCAAATGTATTTTGCTGTTCAAAGACAGTTGAAAGATCGGTCTAAGGCCAATGCACTGCAGTAGTCAGTCATTTTGTATGTGCAGCAGAATTTCACTTAATATTTTGAGTCATAGTGAAGTAAGCTTTGGTGCACAGGACCAGAAGCATTGAAAGTACCTTTCTGGCAAATAAAATCTTTAACTCAATGGTGGTGTGTGCAGACCATTCCCCCTCATTTAGTTGTGAGGTTTGGATGTTAATCTTAGTTTTCTTTTAAAAATATCTTTCAAATTGGTGAGTGGAGAGTCCGTGTTCATGCAGGTACAAAATTGCCAAAGCATCTGCATTAACAAAAGAAACACTTTTAATTATAGTTTGGAGCTTTTGTCTGCTTTCTCGATTTTTTAAATGTAAATAGTAAGTTAGTGTGGACGAGCAGCGTTTATACATAAGACTCGATTTGTTTTCAGGAATGAAGTTGGTGGCCTTCATGCACCCATATTGAATGCGTGGGTAAAGTATTAACGTAATTTTAGCAGCAACTTTTTTAGATTGGGTTTTTATTTTAAGTAAATTTGCCCCCACGTGTGGCATCGTTTCCCTGCCTGCATTATGGACGGTTGAAACTCCTGATTTACAGCAAAATAAACTGAGAAAAGATGTTTGGTGTGGGAACAATGGTGCACATTATGATCTTGATCGAGTGTTGCCATTCCCTCTTCAGCTGTTTTTGATTGACTTTGGGTTGGCAAAGAAGTACCGCGACAACAGAACCCGTCAGCACATCCCATACCGGGAGGACAAGAACCTGACGGGCACAGCACGTTACGCCAGTATCAATGCCCATCTGGGAATTGAGCAAAGGTAGGGCCACTCGAGGCTGGGTTGTCTTTTTAATGGAGCCCCATATGCTTGTTATGGTCCCATTTCATCATCATGATCATCAGCCATGAGAACCACTGCTGGATGAAGAGCTCCCCAAAAAATAGCCATCTCTCACTGCCATATCTAGCAATAACATCTTAACACCTGCACAAGACCGGATTCATTTCTCCATCTCCACTGTGGATATCCTTTTGGGTGCTTTTCCACCCTCCGTTGACTGCCTCTCTAACTTTGTCGAACACTGGCCATTATCGCTAGAAGCAAATGTGTTCTGCCCAAAACCCACTTCTTCAGTCAATAATTTAGAAAAGTATGTCCATACGCAAGCAATGAAAATATTTTTTCCAGTAAATACAAAACCCCTAAAGCAATCGCCGTGAAATTTAGCAAGTAGGTTTAATACATATGCCTATAGTTTAATATTTTGGACAAGACTGGCTATCAAATATTTAGATGAAATTATTTTTCATTCATAAACTGATTGTAACGCTGCGCACTGTCGATTATCATCCCTGCATTAGAATGCATCCGTGTGGATTTAAGTGTCTGTTAGTGCTCTTGGGTGTGTGCGCACACCTAACAAACGGCTGTTTGCACATTTGTGTCTTTCCTGGCCCACGATTCTTTGTACAGCTGAGTTGGCTTACAAAATGGAGGCTCTCTTATTGGACTGAATTGGCATCTTAATTTTAATTATCAGTTGGATAAGTTGTTGACAAGTGATTTTACTGCAGTTTGAATGCAACCTAAAGCTCTCAAATGCTGCCACGCTGTATTACAGTTTGTTCCATTTATAATGTTCCTAAAATAGAATATTGATATGCATTACTTAAATGCACGGAATGGTCGGGTTATGTCATATGCATGCTATACCAACTGCAGAGGGGTATTTTGAGTATCGCGGATGCTTAAGAGCTGCTGCTTGTTGCCTGTGTTCTTAACACAAAGCTGCTTCTGTTTCCTGTCACACTGCTATCACAGCCAACATGTTTGCCAGTCTGCTTGCATAGTGGATAATGTCTGGAGCGCATGGTTTAATATTTATTTAGCCTTTGTGCACCTAATATTCATGTCTTGAAAATTACCAAAAAATAATCAGCTTTCATGCCTTAATGTCAGTGATGACGTCACCCTCTAGCTTTTACCCTCGGTATCATCGTACACAATAATTACAGCATTACAATCTTGACAATTATCACTTATTCCCTTTGTCATTGTATAGTACTAGGCATGTAACAATTTTCTCATCTTGTGATTCAATTGTTTTCATTTAAGGTCGCTTTTCTGTTATATCAAATATTTTGCATATACAATCAGTCGTGGCTGCAAGGGTATATGTGAAAAAGATCGAGGTGTTTGTCACGAGTTCTTCAATTCACTGCTGCACGTATTGTGAGCGTGATGATCGATGCTAATCGATTAGCTACATTTGTACATGCCTCATGTAGGTTGCTGAGTGCCAAGTTGGAGTTCATTGCCCACTGGTGCCTTGCAAGATGCTCGTTGTGCCTTTATAAAGACATTTAAGCGAGCCCCCCCCCCCCCCCCCCCGTGCAGTGTCAGGCCCCCAGGGTTTGTGTGGGGTAAGTAGTGGGCATATCCTAATTATAGTATCACAATTACTTACTCAATTGGGATATACAAGATATCCATGCCATCCTGTGTGCAGGGTGTTGTATGCGAAAACTTGACATTGCTGAATATTTTTTTTATTGCTTAATAGTTAAAATCTTGCCACAGTGGTGAGATGTTAACTACTTCGCCTGATATACAGGAGGGACATGGGTTGGATCCAGACCCTTGACGCCTGTATATTTGGAGTTTGCATGTTCTCCCCGTGGTCGTGTGGATTTCCTCCGTTATTTCCCTCCACATTTTCTAAACATGCATTTAGAGTATTTGGCGGCTATACATTTCCACATGAGAAGCCACTTGGTGGATGAGCTATCATTTATAGCCAGGTTGCTTCTGAAAAAGAGCAATACAGTTCAGCGGGCCTTGCCTAGTAAAATATATATTTTTAATATCCTCACACTTCCTATGTTTCCATACCATTTATTTTAATTGATATTGTTTTTCCCCTTAGTAAAATATTTGCTGTTGCCTTTCTTCCCCCTCCAGTCGCCGTGATGACATGGAGTCCCTGGGATACGTTTTAATGTACTTCAACAGGACAAGCCTCCCTTGGCAGGGCCTCAAGGTGAATCTCTTCCCAAGTTCCCCCAAAATATGCTTGTTTCACATGAACTCTTTAATGATCAAGTCCACTGGCCCAGAGTGCAGGTGTTTCATTTGTAATTGTTACTGCCTTAGGTGAAACAATTTTGGTGTTTTTCAATAGGTGTGAAAGCTTAACAGGATATCAAATAGCAATTTGTTTTTATTTGCTGCATACATCAATTTGTACTGATAAGGTTTTGCCTCATCTGGTGGTAGCCATAATTTCAGCACTGATTCATGGATAAATAACAAAATTTTGCTTGTGTCCAACGCATAAGGGCTGGATTAAGATAGGTGCACACACTGGGATTCATCTTTTGGTTCAGATTGACCATAACATTGGATGAATGATTCAACTGTGCTTAGTGTACTCAACAGTGTATAAGTAAATGTATAACAACACATAGGTAGGCTTCAATGTTATTAATTCGTGTTATTTTCATTCATTATATTCAGTATGAATGTAATTGTATGATAAGTATATAATGGTCATGTGTTAAATGCCCAAACCAGCCTTCCAAAATTTGTGCTACCCTGTTGGCTTAAGTGTTTAACTGCTGCCATCTGATTGACGTTGACCAATTATAATTGGCCTTTACATTCCCAGTTGTGTATTTCATTTGGAATGAACTTTTCAGATAATTTTACCAGACAAAATTCAACCGGTGGCAGATTAAATGTACAAGAAAAAAATAAACTTATGGAATGCAGACGCCACTTACTAATTCATTGCCTGAATTCTGGTTTTACTTGACTTTGAAGAACTTTGTTACACCTCCCTTTGCTTTCAGGCTGCCACCAAGAAACAAAAGTACGAGAAAATTAGTGAGAAGAAGATGTCTACGCCCGTAGAGGTCCTGTGCAAGGTAAGTGGCATACAGATGTGGATTCGTTTTATTGTAGCAAAATGATCAAATAAATACAACTTACATTTGTCATGCGCCAATAACTGTGATCCTTTGGCGATCAGTATTGTGGACCGTGCTAATTGGTTTGTTGTGGTGTGCAGGGTTTTCCAGCAGAATTTGCCATGTACCTCAACTACTGCCGTGGTCTGCGGTTTGAGGAGGCTCCAGACTACATGTATCTGAGGCAGCTCTTTCGCATCCTCTTCAGGTGTGCAATACTGTCACACAAGTGGCTGTTGTCGCCCCTCCCCTGCGCTTTTTCTTTGCTTCTCACAAGTCTCTCTTTTTGGTGGCACTCTGACACACCTTTTGTGAATGTGCAGTGAATGATATTTATCCCTGAGGGATCATAGCGTGAGTCACTTGCCTAATAATTCATGGCAGCTGCTTTAGCTCGCGGGGTGCGTACTTGCATTTTACCTGGCCTCCGACACTTCGAGGAGTTGATGATCACCAATGATTCATCGAGCTGGTATCCATGTCATTGCTCTACTAAAACCACCACCCTGTGTGTGCGCGCGCGTGCTTGTGTGTCGTAAACGAACGCAGGACTCTGAACCACCAGTACGACTACACGTTTGACTGGACAATGCTCAAACAGAAGGCTGCGGCTGCTGCTGCTGCAGCCTCAAACCCACCTGTCCCTCCAGCAGCGACCCCCTCCGGCAAGCCAGCTGAAAAATCAAAAAGCAAAGGTTAGCCATGTGACCAACAGCGCGCCTTGAGGAAAGGGGGTCGGGAGATCTTCTTAGCTGTGTGATATATTCTTTATTTTGTATATTTATAAGTTTGTTTTTCTTTGCAGTTTAACGATTGATGGTTGTCCAATGTTATAGCACTGTCGGCGCATTTTGTTTGGTTTGATGTTTCCTTGGTTTCTAATTGTTTTCATTAAACTTTGCTTCTCGGACCTCTTCCAGTCTGTTTTACCATTGTGCGCTCCCTAATTTTACTAAACTCTTGTTACCTTCCTGCAGTTATAACTTGCTTAGTTGCATGGATTCACAAATGTAAGTCATCCATGGTGACTAAGCAAGGTGAACTTAAACATTTGTGTCCACAGTACACTGCACCTGCCTATTAACACAATTGGGTATCCAATGATAATAGTGGTGCCCTATCCCTCAATTCTTTTGTTGCAGGCTAAAGGGCCTCTCCGTTTCTCCTTGATTGCACAGATGTGGACAGATCTTGCTTGAAATCGCTGCTGAGTCTGTTTCACTCACGTGGGACATGAGGCCTCAGGCACTTCACCTAGAACTACTGCTCGCTGAGACCATCGGCTGAGCTCTGTCCACGGTCCCTGTCTTGGTCCTACTCTTTCTGTCAGTCTCTTGCTTTCCCTACGTGGATATCTGCTTTACTCGGCTTGTGCCATGCTCTTCCATCCATAGCATGATGCGGATGTCTGTGCCAGTAATGGCCGCGCTTTGCTTGGTATTTATGTAATCCATGAATGTTAATTACACCAAGTTGAACAAAGTACCAAGGGTACCAAAGAGGTCTGTGTATAGAAAACACTTTATTTTAAGTGACTTGATGTGATGACAACTGCATAGTTTAATTCTGCTCAATTTTGAGCTTGATACTGTTTTTGTTGCCTTTGAACAATGCTGCTGGCAACTGATGGACCTGGCACTTAAAATAATCTGTTTACTGTTCTTTTACATTTGTGTAAGTTCAGTAAGTGTATTCATCAAGAATGAAAAAGCAAATACACCTCATAGGGATACCGTTTTTAAGAGTCCAGCATCCCTTTGAGTGATGAAGTATGAATAAGTGTAATATGCTTAGTTTGCCATTTTAATGCATTGCCCTGCATCTATTTAAATACCAGTGCTTGCTCTTTTCCTGCAGGAGAAAAACCAAATAAGTGCGGTGTCGAAGCATGCTGCACGCTTTCCCCCTTTGGCCATTTTCAGTCATTGGGTGGCTAACGCTCTCTTTTCTGTTCACAGCAGGCTACTGAGCTGCTGAGCAAGAACGCAAACTGAGCGCACAAAACGTTAAACCTGCATGTGTCAGTGGCGGCATGGCACGGCCCTCCAAACCTCTGCCTCCCCTTTTGAGTTGCTCTCTCCTGCGGGCCCCCCCCCCCCCCGCTGGCCCAGCTCCACACAACCTGCTCAGACTTGTCCTGTCCAGTGCTGGAGATCCTGCTGCCTGGCGCAATGCCTCAGTGCCTCGGCGGTGCAGGTGTCCCGGCTGTGAAGGATGCTTGGAATGTAGATAAGAGCACCCTCTTTCCGTGTGTTAAAAAATAATTAAATAAACCTTAATTCTAAAGTTGCTAATTGCATTACACGAGCTTGTTATTTGAGTTGTATAATGTATTTTTTTTTTATTCAGACAAGTTTTCACTTCATTTGGAGCAATTGAAACTGCGTTTGGTTTTTCTACGCCTGTTCCCGAAAGCTTCATTCTTGATGTGCATGGCCTCTCGTCACCATCATACCATATCGTCACATTTTTTTTAATGAAATCACTGGGGATGGCTGACGTTATACGGTCTGGCTTTGTGATCGGTCTAAGGTCAGGGGTGTTAAGTACATGGCAACATCCCATTTGTTCAGGGAGTGGCGTGCAACTATCATTGCATCTGTTAAGGGTGCTGCCAAACTCCCATTGTAATGTCTTGTCGTTTCTTTACGTGAACATGGTTACATTTATTTAATTAAATTATCCCTTCCATTGGTCGAATAGTTTGTGAATGACATCCGTGCTGCTTAATGTAACCGACATCCTGGATTGGCAAAGCACTTCTCTCCGACAGGGATATTAACATGGCATTCTGCACCAATGTGGCGAAACACAAAATACCATTATCTGTTTTTATAAGTTAAATACTGGAATTACGTTTTAGTCAGTTTCTGTTTTTTGCACCGAAACGGCCAGTTACCACAAACATGCGATTGGTATCGTGCATTAATTTGAATTTGCAAGCGTAGCTATTACGATTTTTTAAACAAGTGTTTTAATGGGCTCTTCAAACAGTTGGACATAATAGATTTAAATGCTGTTTTCATGCCTATAAAGTACAGAAATAAATTGTGTATTGTGTCATTTTGAAATTGCAAGCTTTGTGTTGCGATGCTTCAAAAGCATATCACACTGCATAAACTCGAATGTACACAATTGAAGGCGTGGTATATATACCCTAACCACTTGTACATTGTAAATGGCTCTTGACTGGTGCTTACAGCCTACACTTGCGTTCTGAAGTATATTGATCTTTCTCCTCATTGATGTATACTTTACTGGCTACATGTATACTAATGTAAAACCTAGTAACGAGCATTTAAAGAAAAAGACATTTACTTTTTGTAAAGAGTTATAATATTCCGATGTTGACTAATTATTGTACAAATAAATGTGTGCTTAAACATTAGAAGTTAAACGTTTTGTTTACACACCATTGCAAGTTTTGAAAATAGATTTGCACATGGGTTTCACTCGTTTAAATCGACAGTGAGTTTAGTTTTTATTACTTATTGGTTTGGACGATTACTTAGCAGTTGTATTTTACTGTGCATCATTCAAGGGGTAGGGGATGGTCGTGTTGCTGTGTGTGTGGAACTGCTGATGGCTTTGAAAGGGCGATGAAGTCAATGCCATGTTCGGGAGAGCGTGCCATGCGATGCTAAAGGGCCCCGACATGTGTTTTGTATGTACTGTTATAAAACGACGTTTGAATGCGAAAACCAACGTATGCATAGCCATTAAACTTTCAATAAACACTTCTCCAGCTGAAGCTCTTCACGTGACGTATTTGCTTCCTGACAAAGCACGTCGCCTCTCTTTAAAGCGATTTTAATCGCAAGTGCTCGTTGCCCGCACGGTTAGAAGTTCGTCTGTTTTGGTAACGTTTAATCGACTCTGCTGACGTTCCCGACACATTACACGTTTCACAACAAATATAACATCAAAACCTCTTGCCTACGCCTGTGGGGTCTGATGTCGGTCGAGCTTAGACTCTGCACTTGACTTTGACCCACGGGCCGTCGCTTCGTGTTTACCAACATTCCAAAAACACCTGCGAATCTGGATGGATATCTTGTCAAGCTGTAGCAGGTTGGCCAGGCGTCGAGAACATAAAGGTTTCCAACTAGCCCACGCTCTGAATATGTATACAGTACTGTATTTTTCCGTAACCTTGGACGCGGGCGGCTTTTACAAACCCGCACCTCCGATTCGTACGGTTGGCAACCGTACGGTGCTAAAGAAGTTCATACTCTACAATCCACTCCGGTAACGTAAACAAAAGGACGTGCATGATATATATAGATGGCTGGTTTGTGCGTTAGACACCGCAGTACGTTTATTATAAGAACCCATTGAGAACAGCAGTCTCATTCAAGGGTAGCCTGGGATTAATAATGGATATTAGTAAGGAATGCGTGACCAATTCAATTAATGAGTTTGGAATGTGGGGAAGAAGTCGAGTACCTGGAAAAAAAACCCAACCATGCACACGAGGGGGAAACACTCAAACCTCCGCACAGACAGATTCAATAATCCATTCCTGTACTGCCCCCTCGCAGCCTGATCTCTACACATTATTTGGCAGTCACCATAGCCAAGCACTTGAGATCTGCATAAAACCAAATATCACGCAGCAAAGTCAGAAGTGGACACGTGCTTTATTCATGCACCGTGCACACAGCCCTTGTGTTAACCCGCTTCTGGACGAGGACCTCGTCATGCCGTGCGGGTAGTGGGGGCTTTTTGGCCGTATTTACCACGTTGGTCACTGATGGTTGTTGAACGGGGGGGAGCATAGATGTGGAAGCGTGCGTGCCGTACAATTTTGCTGCGCTGCCCTCTGCTGCTCATAACGTAGATCTGCAGCCTGTAACAACCTGCCGTGCGTGGTGGTCGCCTATCCAAGCTCGGTCCACCCATGGTTGTACCCTGCTTACCTTGCGACATCAGACGAGATCCGACGTGTGTATGCATCTTCATCTGCGCTTCTGGGTCAGTGGTGGAATTCCACATTCCCATGGCGGGGGTAAGTCTCACTTTCGACAACCACAGAATAAATGTTTGAATTTAGTTTCTTTTCATTTTAATTTATTTAGTTTTTTACCTACGTGACTTTACCGAAAAAACCAAAGAGTATGGATCCTTGCAGTCACGAAAACTTCAAATCTAGAAAGAATAAATGTTACTTAAGGCTGTGAATATAATCAACTGAACACGAATAATTTTATTACGATTGTCATGGTCATATAACAAAATAATGATGGTACCTGGTGGTGATTAATTCGGTGATAGCGCTGCTAATGATTTTGATGATGGTGATGTTGGCGATGGTGATGGTGTTCAAAGTGAATGACATGATGGTGATAATGTTGATTATAATTCACAGTTATATGCTAATATATATCGCCTTTGTTCACATTATGTTAATGAGGGCAATGGTGTTGATTGATATGTTTATTTTAACGATCGTGATATAATATTTTAATGATCGTGTTGATTCTGATGATGATGATAATTGCTGCTGGCGGTGATGATAACAAAGGCGACCGCGATGATGATTGCGATGATGTGGGCGGTGATGAATATGATCATGGTTGCTGATTATACTCTTTCTGATTAATGATGACCGCCACTGCTGCCGATCATCAGCTATCAATGATCAACTACCGTACGTCAACAAGCGTTCAACTTTCGATTTAAAGCTTTCGTGACTGCATGCAGGGATTCATATTCTTGGTTCTTTCGGTAAAGTCACAGTTATGTTCTTCACCTCAGGACGGCTGCTTGCGTTGTGGCCGAAACGTCGTGATAATTGTTATAATGTATTATTATTATTTTATTATTTACCTTCTACGTGACATTACCGAAAGAACCAACAACAAGCGTTCAACTCTCGCTGTATTGACTAGTGCCAACAACAAGAAGAACGCATTTACAACAAGACCTTTCGATGCCAGTAATTTAATTGTGCATCGTAGTCCGGTTTTCAAAGTTTGTGGAAGAGGTGGCGCGGTGGGTTATCCCACTGCACTGTCAACCCGAACCAACCCGGGTCCCTGCTGAGATCAGTGGCATCTCACCCGGTCCCACGACGACCTTCCCCTCGCCCCCCCCACTTCACACTAACCAGCGTTGTGTGAAGTATGGTCAAATAACCCAGTGATCGGTATGGCATGGAGAGAAGGCGCCTTCATCCAGCAAATGGATTGACAAAGGGCTGAAATGTATCATGTAGGTCTTGAGCATTGGTTCAAATACGAGAGTAGTGACTTAATTACTAATTTTCAAAAGGCATGAGTGTGCACTGTATATGTAAACTCTGAAGGCCAGCCCGCGGAACATGAGACGCGGTTTTGGCCGCGTTCCGAATCTCACGACAAGTTTCGTGCACAATGCTTCTCACACATGGAACGATATTTCATCCACACTACACGTGCACAGCAGACCTTCTTGGCAATCCACTGCTGGATGAGGGCCTCAACCACGCTGCTGTGGTCGTGAGCGGGTTATTGTGTCCTACATCATCACCTCTCTGGTTTTGTGCGGGATGATGAAGACGATTTTGCTGCAATGCCCTCTGCTCGCCATTTCATTAGCCCCTGTAATATGCTGCATGATTGTTACACATTTAAGCACTACCCAGCCTCAAGGCTGCTTAGCTGTCGAGATGGGGAAAAGTCGGGGTGATTGTTTAGAGGCATCTGAACTACACTTAAATGTAATTACGGTTTTAAACAAGCTACACGATTCCTTATTTGGATATTGTGGATGTTATTACAACTTCCTTTATTTACTCTGGAAAGCCTCAAAAAGTCTCGGGGACTCATTTGCAGGAGGGTCCTGCTACGTGGGGGACGAGACCAATCCCATGAATGTTTGGCTTTGTGTGGAAGGTAACCGGAAAACCATCAGCAACACCCACCATACGAGAGGGCGATATACTCTTTGCTGTACTGCCATCTGCTGGCCACACCTTGCAACCCCATGCCTACAACATCTGGCAAGCTCTTTGGTGCTGCTCTTTCCCACCATAGTGTTCACCGGGGTAGATTCGAGGTGACAGGGCCCATTCTTGGTGATTTGGTCCCAGGCTTGTGTGTCTTTGCATTTTGTTTTGCCTTTGAACGCGTACACTTTTGAATTTTTTTTTGAATAATTTAAACGATATCTCATTTGCATTTTAATGACTACACTTTATATATTCTCATGTTGTCTGCCAGTGTCACATTGTATTTGCTCGGTTTGTGTTTGTCTGCATTTATTTGGCTATAATTGTTTTTGGTAGAAGCCTCACTTAAATAGAATTGTAACTGCTCTTGCTGCTGTTGATGATGATGCTTCGATTGCTAGTGCTGAGTATGATGATTGATAATGGATGATGATGATGAGTTGCTGCTGATAATCGCGTTATTGTACGATGGCGGTGATACAAATGAAGATGACGCCGTTGCAGCTTCTGCTGATGATGTTTATGCTTGCTGCTGAAGACAACGCTGCTGCTCCTGATGCCCCGCTGATGATGATGAAGTTGCTGATACTGCTACTGTAGCTGTTGTTGCTGATGATGACAGTGATGTTGACGAGTTAGCGATGGTAATCCGAATGCTCATGTTGATGGTGGTGTTGAATATGATCAGCGGTGATGCTATTGAATACGCTTCTGCTCATTTTGATGCCGCTTCTGATGTTTTTGCTGATAATGATATAAATGATGTACACATGAGGAAGTTTAACAAGATGATGGGAGTATGATGTAGACGGGGAGAGGGAATGATTCGTTTTTAGACGAAGAGAACGGAGGATGAAAGATGATGAAGAGGTGTAGGATGATGAGAGGGTCTTGATTTGAAGCTTTCGTGACTGCAGGAATCCAAACTCTTTGGTTCTTTCGGTAAAGTCACGTAGGTAGAAAAAGATAACAGATCACGACGTTTTGATCGCAACAACAAGCGACCGTCTTCAGGTGATAGAACCAAAGAGTATGATGAGAGAAGAATGAAGTGGATTATGATGAAGAGGATAATTAATAGAATGGGATGACTGAAAATTAGGAGAATGAAGAGGTGAAGAGTACAAGGGGCAGTCGACTGAATAGGTTGATGATGGTGATGGTTTAAAGACGGGGAGGACGACCATGATGGTGGTGAGAGATGGAAAGGATGGTGGAGAGGATGGTGAGATATGATATAGGGAGAGGTACGGTGGTGGTGGTGGTGAGAGACGGGGAGGAGGATGGTGGTGGTAATGATGGTGAGAGACGGGGAGGATGGTGGTGGTAGTGATGGTGAGGGATGAAGATGGTGATTGTGGTAGTGATGGTGAGGGATGAAGATGGTGATTATGGTAGTGATGGTGAGGGAGAATTGTGGTGGTGAGGGACACGGAGGATGGTGGTGGTAGTGATGGCGAGGGACGGGGAGGATGATGGTGGTGGTGAGAGACGGGGATGATAGTGGTAGTGATGGGAAGTGATGGGGAGGAGGATGATGGTGGTGATGAAGAACGAGGATGGTGGTGGTCGTGATGGTGAGGGACTGGGAGGAGTAAGAAGAAGGATGTGGTGGTGGTCGTGATGGTGAGAGAGGAGACGGGGAGGATGATGGTGGTGGTAGTGACGGTGAGGGATGGGGAGGATGATGGTGGTGATGGTGAGGGACGTGGAGGAAGAAGGAGGATGGTGATGGTGAGAGAGGAGACGGGGAGGAAGGAGGATGATGGTGGTGGTGGTGAAGCACGTGGAGGAGGAGGAAAAAGAAGGATGTGGTGATGGTGAGACGAGGAGGATGGTGGTGATGATGGTGAGGGACATGGAGGAGGAGGAAGAAGAAGAGTGGTAGTGATGGTGAGAGGCGTAGAGAAGGAGGGTGATGGTGTTGGTGGTCATGGTGAGAGACGAGACGAGGAGGATGGTGGTGATGGTGGTGGTGAGAGACGTGGAGAAGGAGGAAGAAGAGTGGTAGTGATGGTGAGAGACGTGGAGAAGGAGGAGGAGGATGGTGGTGATGGTGAGAGACGTGGAGAAGGAGGAGAAGGAGGAGGGTGATGGTGGTGGTCATGGTGAGAGACGAGACGAGGAGGAGGAGGGTGATGATGGTGAGAGACGTGGAGAAGGAGGAGGAGGATGGTGATGGTGTTGAGGGACGAGGAGGATGGTGATGGTGTTGAGGGACGTGGAGAAGGAGGAGGAGGATGGTGATGGTGTTGAGGGACGAGGAGGATGGTGATGGTGTTGAGGGACGTGGAGAAGGAGGAGGAGGATGGTGATGGTGTTGAGGGACGAGGAGAAGGAGGAGGATGGTGATGGTGTTGAGGGACGTGGAGAAGGAGGAGGAGGATGGTGATGGTGTTGAGGGACGAGGAGAAGGAGGAGGAGGATGGTGATGGTGTTGAGGGACGTGGAGAAGGAGGAGGAGGATGGTGATGGTGTTGAGGGACGTGGAGAAGGAGGAGGAGGATGGTGTTGAGGGACGTGGAGAAGGAGGAGGAGGATGGTGATGGTGTTGAGGGACGTGGAGAAGGAGGAGGAGGATGGTGTTGAGGGACGTGGAGAAGGAGGAGGAGGATGGTGATGGTGTTGAGGGACGTGGAGAAGGAGGAGGAGGATGGTGTTGAGGGACGTGGAGAAGGAGGAGGAGGATGGTGATGGTGTTGAGGGACGTGGAGAAGGAGGAGGAGGATGGTGATGGTGTTGAGGGACGAGGAGAAGGAGGAGGAGGATGGTGATGGTGTTGAGGGACGAGGAGAAGGAGGAGGAGGATGGTGATGGTGTTGAGGGACGTGGAGAAGGAGGAGGAGGATGGTGATGGTGTTGAGGGACGTGGAGAAGGAGGAGGAGGATGGTGATGGTGTTGAGGGACGTGGAGAAGGAGGAGGAGGATGGTGATGGTGGTGGTCATGGTGAGAGACGAGACGAGGAGGATGGTGATGGTGTTGAGAGACGTGGAGAAGGAGGAGGAGGATGGTGATGGTGTTGAGGGACGAGGAGGATGGTGATGGTGTTGAGGGACGAGGAGGATGGTGATGGTGTTGAGGGACGTGGAGAAGGAGGATGGTGATGGTGTTGAGGGACGTGGAGAAGGAGGAGGAGGATGGTGATGGTGTTGAGAGACGAGGAGGATGGTGATGGTGTTGAGGGACGTGGAGAAGGAGGAGGAGGATGGTGATGGTGTTGAGGGACGAGGAGGATGGTGATGGTGTTGAGGGACGTGGAGAAGGAGGAGGAGGATGGTGATGGTGTTGAGGGACGAGGAGGATGGTGATGGTGTTGAGGGACGAGGAGAAGGAGGAGGAGGATGGTGATGGTGTTGAGGGACGAGGAGGATGGTGATGGTGTTGAGGGACGAGGAGGATGGTGATGGTGTTGAGGGACGTGGAGAAGGAGGAGGAGGATGGTGATGGTGTTGAGGGACGAGGAGGATGGTGATGGTGTTGAGGGACGAGGAGAAGGAGGAGGAGGATGGTGATGGTGTTGAGGGACGAGGAGGATGGTGATGGTGTTGAGGGACGAGGAGGATGGTGATGGTGTTGAGGGACGAGGAGGATGGTGATGGTGTTGAGGGACGAGGAGGATGGTGATGGTGTTGAGGGACGAGGAGGATGGTGATGGTGTTGAGGGACGAGGAGGATTGTGATGGTGTTGAGGGACGGGGCGGGCCCTGCCGCCGCCGCCGCCGCTGCCGCACACGCGGCTCCGTGCGCGATGACGTCGCGACGCAATCGCGCCGCGTCCGTCGGCTGTTTCCATTGTTCGCGCTCAGAGGAAGGGGCACGCACACAGAGTGGACATTTCGATAGAGCAGGTACGAGGGGATTTCTTCTCTCATCATCCATTAATTGACGAGGCAACCCCCCTCCTCCTCCTCGTCATCCCCTCCTCACAAACAACAACAAACATCGCTCACGGCCCCCCCCACCCCCACGGCCGCCCGCCCGCCGCCGCCGCCGCTTCTCACCACTCGGGACGGCCGCCCTCTTTCTCGGCCCTCCTTTTGTCGTCGCCGACACATTTTGGGACGAAGGCTGCTTCTTTAGAGACGGCTGGTGGTGTTGGTGTTGGTGGTGAGGAGGAGGTGAGAGAGAGAGAGTGAGGGGGGGGGACGGCTGACGAGGTGGCGAGCTGACCGGGTACGGCTCTTTCGAGGGGATGGTTGGCGGTGTTTTGGGGGGCTGCACGAGGTGGTTTCGGTAGTTGAGGCGGGGGAAGGGGGGCCCCCCCTACGTCTACATCTTCTTCTGCTGCTGTTGCTGTGCTCATGGTCACACTGCCTCCTCCGGCTCCTGCTGCTGATGTTGTTGCTGTTGCTGCTGTTGTTGCTTTACCATCCTCCGCTCAGAATCATCACGATTACAACAACCATCACTGATGTTACCACCTCCACCACCACCACCATCATCATCGCGACCACTACCAACACTGACACGAGCAACAGTAGCCCTCATCCTCCTCTCCTTAGACCACCGCTCCTTGCTCAGCTTTAAAGCTTGTCAAACATTAACCATTATAACAACCACCACCGACACCACTACTCACCACCACCACAACCAACACCAGCGACGAACCACCACCTCGCCTCGTCACCTCTTATCTTAACCACACACCACCACAACAACCACAACAACAACCACCACCACTAAACCTTACCCCGTCTCCTTCCAATCTATTCCGTCCACACAGTCGCCTATGCTTCATGCTTTGCCGATGGTATTTAATGTTCACTCGGACTGGTCACCCGTAAGTTGGCTTCAAAGCCACACGCGTTGGCTGTGTGGCGATATCCTGGTGGTTGTGGTGCTGTTGTGGTGTTGTTGTGGTGTTGGTGGTGGTGATGTGGTGTTTATTATGGTCGATAGTGGCGTGTTGGTCGTGATTCACACTTATGAAGTGCCTACTGGTTGTTAAGCGCCTTCTTACTCCTTACTGTTGTGTGTATCCTCCTCCTCCTCGTCTTCTTCCCCACTCCTGAAATGTATGAACACCCTTGGCTCATTTCCTTGTTACAGAGATGTGTGCACATGCCTCATAGCCACACACTCGTTGTTAAGCTTCTCGAGATGCAGTCACATCTAGTCCCTGAACACAGTTGCGTTTTTTGTGTGGTTGTGTGTGTGGTGTTCATGGTTAGTGGGCACGCTAGTGATGATGGTTATGAGATTTGTGATGGAGAAGATTGTGTGGTAGTTGGAGTAAGTGTTGGGTATGATCGTGGTGGCTACTAGTGATGGTGATGGGGGTCGTTTGTGCGAGCATGTACCTGGTGGTGGTTTTGATAGTGGTCTCATTGATGGCAGAGGTAACCTTTGTGGCAGTGGTGTTGATAGTGATATTACTGTATGTGGTGGTGATATTGAGAGTTTTGCAATTGATGGTTGTTGATTGTGGTGATAGCAATGGTGACGGTGGTAACAGCGTGGTAGTTGTGCTGATAATTGTGGTGGTGTTGACTGTGGTAACATTGGTGGTGGTGGTGATGATGTGTCGTCACGTTCCACGGTGTGTGAGTTGTCAGTAGTTATCTGGACACTTCGTGACCTCCTGACCCGAGTCACTGGGCAAGCTGTGTCACACGGGTGACAATTCCATTAAGCGTGTGGGACAATATTGTAGCGCGTTAGGCTTCGCCTCCACCTTTTTAGTCGTAATTTAATCATAACTCGGCTTGGCAACGGTTAATCTTTCAATCCGCTCCCTTATCTAACCTCACAATGTCACACTTGGCCTTGACCGGTGCCTCTCAGGCTCATGAGAGAGGAGGTTAGGGTTGGTGGTGGCTTGGATATCCTCCACCACAACCACATAAATCACCTTAGTTGAAGACAAATCGTGGCCAAAACGGCGGGCTCATTATAAAGTACCAGTACATCACAAATGTGATGAAGGTTCCTTGCAAATTGCTAAAGGTTCCCATTAATTGGTAAGGTTTTTTGTCGGCGGTTACTGTTAAAGTTTTCATAAGTGAGGTAAAGTTCGCTAATTGACTGCAGTGGTGAGAGCTTGTGACTGATAAGTGAGGAAAGGGGGCAGGGGAGCTGCTATTACCAGTCCCTGACTGAGAAGCATGCCTGGGATAGGCTTTGAATAGTTTAGACGTTCATCATGTGGGTATAATTTTGATTTAGGTTATTATAATGCTTCCTGTTCCGAACCGATACCTTTAATCGACGAAATGTATTAAGTTATGTGGTTGGTATTGCTTGTTCATCACGTTTGGGAGTGGTGGTGGTGTTCAGTTTGTAAGTGTAGAGGGAAACAAAAAGAGTCCAATAATTTTTATCAGGACTGGTAAAGCGAAATAAATGGCAGAGTTCATTTTGTAACTCGTGTTCTGAGTGGTAACCTCACAAACGAGCCAACATATTGCATTGATTATGACTGTGTGAAAGCAGCAGAATTTATACAACTGTTGGAGAGCACAATTCACCATCTCTTTACCATGTCAGGGACACTTGGCGATTCGTCATCTGTTTTCGCAAATGATAACTGGGTAACCGTGGTTGGTAATATCTTCTCGGTAAATGTTTAAGATTTGGGCTAATGATATAGGCACACTACAGCCTGCTGTGGTAAATGATGTAGAAAGGTCTTTGCTGTCCACTTAATGACTCTCTTTGATAATTTACCGTTAAAGTGGCCAGGTGTTGGTGAGAAAAAAAACTGTGGAACCTTTGGATATGTACTCCTTGGCAAGATCACGATGTTCCTGTGAACGGCATAAAAAAGGGGTATTTTCAAATACAATCCAAATGTGGTATGCAGCAAAGTGTCCCAATGTAATCTATCATGAACAAATATCTATTCCAGAGGTGCAGTAATTTACTTGGACGTGTGATGTAGAGTGCATATTGCGTTATGCCGCTGCGTAGGTTTTCGCGGTTGTACTGTACGGCTGTTCCTGATGTGTTTTCAGTTTTCACCGCGTGTTCTGCATAATGTCTGACATTTCACTACCAGTCAGTACCTGGAGAAGCTCCCAGCCCATGGAGCGAAACGTCAGACATCGGGGCCGAACAACACGCTGTACAAACCAAAAAGTATCGGAGAGCATGGCCACCTTCAGCGGATGCATATCCACTGCATCATGGGTAATCTGTACTAGGAAGCCAAGAAGACAGCAGTTAACTTTGTTGTGTCCGAGATGGCAACTAAAGTTGGCTGCTTTATTCGCAACCTCAGCTGCGAGTTAATCAGCTAGAGCTTAGCCGGTCGATGGTTACCATGTGGGCTTCGCAGATTCCTCTGAGTGGTGTTGTTTGATTCAGAGCATGGCTTGCAGAGTCGGGGTGGTGAGACACATTTCCAGTTTTCTCGGAATGGGGAGGGAGGACAAACTGCATGTGTTTGACGAAGCGTTTTCGTCTGACCGCTTCAGTACACACTCGAAACATTCCCAAAAAATCAGGGCAGTGATCATAGCACAAGCATCCGTTGAAGCAGAGGCTCTATGGAACTATCATCACCCTCAGCCACGATCAATCCACTGCTGGATGAAGGCCTCCCCAAGCCGTCGGCATTGCTTATGGTGCTGTTGCATACTAATCGACCTCATGCCTGCATACGAGCTGATTGCATTGCTCTGTCTGCATGGTGGATGTCTTTCCTGGGAGTGTTCTGCTCCTCTGCTCCCAGTCTGACATTAGTCTTGAGCAATGGCCTTCTGCCTTCTATTTGTCCTGCCAAAGCTCACCTTCTCTTATTTGTGAAAACGAAGTTGCTGGCTTGCCTATGTTCTCGAAATCATTGTTCCTATTTCTGTCTCAATGTATTTCCAAGCATGTATCTCTCAATGCGTCACTGTGCATTTGGAGTTATTGTTCCATTTTGTCTATCATTGTTCATATTTTTGATCCATGTATATATGCTGGTAAAACGTCTGTAACAGTTTGCACGTCTTAAACTTCTGAGACGGGTACACTGTGAAGGCGGCTGCTTCCAGCTTAGAGAAGCTAACAGGTATAAGAGAATTTGCCATTCCTGACCACCTTTAAGCCATCACCCATTACACTTCTCTCCCAAACCGAAGGAGAGGTTCCCGAGAATTAGTTTCACGCTGCCAGCTCTCCAGTCTGTATTCGTGTTGTACTGCACATCGTTTGACTTTACCCCCCCCCAACGTTTCGCTGCACTCGCCGGGAGCAACAATCAGGAACTGAATTTGATTGAGAAGAAGTTACGAGTCTGCGATTCTATTCGATTTCTTGAAGAGGAGGAAGCTCCCAGCATGTGCAGCGAAACTTCGGACATCGTGCTGACCAGCACAACGTGGTTATAGACGCGAAAACACATTGGAGAGCTGAACTGCGCAACCACATGAAAGCACATGGTACGCTATCGACTGTTTGCAAAATGCCCTTCAGAAGGCTGTGTTGCAGTGGGATCCGACGGCAACGTTGCTCCAAATAGGAACATTTTATCAGCAGTCTGCAGTTCGTACTCGCGGAAAAGACAATTGCCCTCTGCAGTGGGAGACAGGGGTGTGACTACGTGCAGCAATAGGGAGGGAGATGTGTGCGGTGCATTGTTATTATTTGCACCTTAAATCGTATATACCCGCAGCACCCTTGCTTGTCCTGCACGTTGCTTCGGTCTTTCTGATTTTGTATGCATGTGTCTATTGGAGAAAATAGAATCCCTCATATTAAACAGCAACAATATCAATCTAATGGACCATTTGCAACGGAATAGGCGTGTAATGATGCACCGCCACCAATTCCACGATTCAACGAATTTTCACAGTGTCGGGAGTCCCGACCTGACTCAAGGTTTGTTTCGGATTTGTCCGGTTTGTACCATCTCGTTCGTATTGTTTCTTCTCCGATCTGTTTCTGGGTTGTACTGCATGTTCGACGTGATGTCCGATGTCTCACTCCACCATGCTGGGACCTTCCCCAGGAATTAAAAAAAAAGTCAGACATCACGCTGAACGACAAAACGCAAGCGCATCGGAGAGCTGCACGACACAACCGCAAAACCCTACGCAGGAGAATTTCCTTCTATCTCATTTGTATGGCTTTTTTCACTCCATTAGCTTAAATGTAGCATTTGCATATCATTTGCACGCAATTAGCATAACCTGTAAATAACTGATTCTTACACGCATGATTCCATACATGTTGTGAGTGTAAAAAAAACCTATAATCCATGAATCGATGCGTCGTTACATACCTGATAACTACGGGCCCTGGAATTATATACCCCACTACCTTTACAGATGCTGCAAGCTAATTCTTGCTCTTTTATTTTACGTGTGTGTTTGTGTGGAATACATTTTTGATGGTAGAATTTCTCATTTGAGGCAGCCGCAGTAAAAAACTGCTGTTACCATTCTCAATGCGTCCATGGACAGCTGTGTGCCTGCCTTTATCGGGACACATCACTGCCTCTTGTTGAGTACAAATTTAATTTCATGCCCGTTTTGGAAAATTAATTTTCTCTCGCTCATAATATTAATACAAGCCGCGGTGTGTTCACGAACCGCTGTACTTTCTGCTGATACGATGTTTTGAACGACGTTGCCGCATTCACCGCACATGCGACTCACCGCGGACTGTGGTATAAGCGAATGTGTGAAGATTGTCAGATATGTGAGCCATATCTAGTCGAATGGCAGTTACACCACTCGCGAATGGTACACTGGGTGCTGGGGGTTTATTGGTCTGGGCGGATATGCGACGGACGAATATGCAGTGTGCCACTGTACTATATTGGGAGTATTGACTGATGAATTTGGTATTTCACTCGGGACACTTTGTGGGGCTTTTAGCATGGTCACACAGACAGACTTGTGTTGCACAGACAGCGCGATATATAAACATTACCTCTGTCGTTACTTTATCACAATGCTTCTCTCTTTAAAAGCATTCTTCCCGTGCAGCCCACGACTTATCGCGAGAGCTTGCTTTCTTTAACATTTAAAAAATGTACACCACTTCTGTAAATTTGCCCGTAGGTGCACTCTGAAAGATTGTTTCTTTATAAATGGCGACTATTAAAACGAGGGTCACCGCCACACAATTAGCCACGCGTCGTCCAGTGAGCACACGCGTTTATACAATTTCCACAACTTAGCAGACTACTGAGGGTTGTAATCATAGCTTTTAGTCCTATTCTACTCTAATATCAACCTCTGTCATTTTTAATCAGCTGGTAGAGAGGATACCTCTCCTTTCTGTCATACTCCAGTGCCAGTCTCACTTTAGATGAGACAAAGAAAGGTAAAGGTACATCCCTGCAAGTGCTTGCTTATGCCACTGCAGGCAGAAGGGCCTCTATTAGAGCCAACTCTGGAGGATATTTGGTTTACTCCATGTTGGCCAGACGTGTTGGAAGAGGTGGGCGTACCCACACTTTTGACCCCACCACACGCGACCTGCCGGTAGACCAATTGTGGCGAACTCACTTTCATTACTCGGTGGACAGAGGAGGTGGGGGAGGATTGGAGATACTTGCACCATTATTTTGACTGTCACGTCGGGAGATGGAATCAAACCGGTGACTGCTGGACCGCAATTCCAGTATGCTAACCATGACACCATGACAGCACCATGTAACTTGAAGTACTACATTCATAGAGAAATAAATGAATATCACAAATCTAATCTCCCCCAGTGCCTTACTCATCAGTGATGCCTAGGCTGCTTGAAACACGCACCTTACAAATAGAGTGCATTCTGCACTTAACAAAGCGTCTTAAGTCTCGAGACATGATACAGGCAGGAAGACGTGCATAATGCGATCGTGGGGAAAAGGTGGGATCTATTTTTTTATGCGGAGGGGGAAATTAGGGACTGGAGATGGTGGAAAAGACCAATTTGGGGTAGATATGCAGTGCTGCTTTATCCTACTTTACCAATATGCCCCTTGTGCTGAGTGACATCCCACACAACCTAGCCACTTGCTGTTTGTGTTTAATGAGCATCAGTGCCCGTTCCTGAACTTACCGTTCTGCCCATATACGGTTTGTCTAATTGTCCGTCTTAATGACTGTGTACGTGTGTTTTTTTCTGCCGGTGCCGATGGGGTTAGGGCCGCGTGGGGCGGAGGAGGAGGAGGGAGGATGTACACCCGCAAGCTCAAGCTGCGCGAGCTCAACGCCCACATCACCTGCCCGCTCTGTCGGGGTTACCTCATCGATGCCACCACGGTCACCGAGTGTCTACACACCTGTGAGTGTCCACCGGCTCGCCAGTTCGCGGTCAATGGCCCGCTCCCTCGCTCGTTCAGCTGCTTGACAGGGTCACACAGTCACTGAGCTGCTCGCCGTTGCTCAAAATCTGTTGCCGCTTTTTTTGGGCAGTTTTTACGATTGAAGAAGAGAAGAAAAAATACGCTTAACTTTTCTAGCGTATTGTTAAGTTTGTGTTAAAGTTCTTAGCGACTGCACTCTTGAGTTCCTATCTCAGTGAGCACTTGCACAGCTACGGCATGGTCGAAGAGAGATTAGGGTTCGGGGTTAACCCTTAGTGAGACTTGCGGAAGCTGCTCTTCATCATCGCCATTGCTGTCATCACGGGAACGGTTCTGATTATGCTTCTTCCCACACCGGAATCACTTAATGCAATAACCGGGTAGTTCTGGCACACACTGAGGAGCCATTTGCAATACTGTGATCCTTACGCCTCATTTCCATAATTGATGAGAGCTCATCACTGGCCTCGGATCAGCAACAGCACCCAGGCGGTTGACATCCTCGCTCTACATGAGCCATGAGGCTCCATGGGCTCATCCCTCTCCAGCTCGGTATTCCCCACCCCCTTCATAACAACACTGGCTACGTTCCACTGTCAAGACAAAGATAGGTGCTGCCCCTCCAAGCCATCAATATCTCATGTATGCACGTATGTTGAACTTGTTTCGCACCATTCGTAGCCAACTCACGGTCCTGGGATGCAACAGTCCATCTAATTCCTCCATCACTCCATCTCTGCGGTGGACATCCTGTCTGTCGGGTTTCCTCCTGTGGCTGCCACTCTGTCGTTAGTCTCGCTCATTGGCCGTCATCCCTCCGAGTGATGCATCCTGCCCAAACCCACTTACTTTTCTTAATAGTCGATGTGATGTCTCTGACTTGCATGTGTTCTCTGATCAATGTTGCATAGCATGGGAATATACCATGATTAATCACATTCTTCTTTAGGCACATCACTACATTGCTTTCATGATCAAGTAAAATTTGCCACCAGCGCTCCAAGTTGCCTCGTGTCCAGCTCATTAGTTGGCAGGGGTGGGGATTAGGAAGCAATCTTTAAAGTATTTTTTGTACTTTAGTCAGTGGTCAGGTTAGTCTAATTGATATGGTTACAAATCTGCAATATCTGTAATTTTGAATGGTATATTTATACACGAACACTGCCGAGAATATTTTCGTTTTTAACCAAGCGTGCGATATCACGGAGCATGCACCTCGCTTCCGCGTTGACCCCGTATCTCCGCTACCGACTCCTTTGGGACTATCCTGGCTCTAAGCGAGTAGCACCATCAAGCAATGGGGCCGTGGGCCAGAACTCGGTTCAGGCTATGCTGGGCTGTGTCATCAGCGTTGTCCGTAGCGTGGCTGGCATGGCACCTGTTACAAGGAATAAAATGGGGTCCCATGTCTGCCTCCCCCCCCCTCTTCGTGAACCAATACCTAGGTTCATATAGCCACGTGGGTCCTAGTGCAGTTGCACCGCCTGCATGCTTGACAGTTCCACCTTGCAAGAACGTGGTTTTCAGATACCAGAACAGACTCGTCACAGTTTCTGCCGTCTGTAGAAATGTGGCATCTTTAACCACCATGTGATCTGTTCCTGGTATCATCTTTAGCAGTACCACTACACTCACACATTTGTCCAGTATCAGCCCAAGTGGCTGCATTAGAGGATGAACGAGCTTCACTGCTAAAGTAAGACTCTTCGTTGGTCTCTGCCTAAAATTTCGTTTTTCATTTCCCTAATATACCAGCTGTTTACTCGTACAATAAGCGATGAGTGCTTTGCTGTGAGTAATGAATAGGTATTAATACATGTGCTTGGTGTGGTCTGGCTGTGTGTGGTGCGGTGTGGCTGTGTGTGGTGCTATGCGGTATGTGCTGTGATGCACTGTGGTTGTGCGTGCCGTGGCTGTGTGTGGTGCGGTATGGTTGTGCGTGCTCTGGCTGTCTGCACTGTGGCTTGTGCGTGCCGTGGCTGTGTGGTGCGGTTGTGTGCTGTATGGTGCGGTGTGGTTGTGCGTGCTCTGGCTGTGATGCACTGTGGTTGTGCGTGCCGTGGCTGTGTGTGGTGCGGTATGGTTGTGCGTGCTCTGGCTGTCTGCACTGTGGCTGTGTGTGCCGTGGCTGTGTGGTGCGGTGTGGTTGTGCGTGCTGTGGCTGTCTGCACTGTGGCTGTGCGTGCCGTGGCTGTGTGTGGTGCGGTATGGTTGTGCGTGCTCTGGCTGTCTGCACTGTGGCTGTGTGTGCCGTGGCTGTGTGGTGCGGTGTGGTTGTGCGTGCTGTGGCTGTCTGCACTGTGGCTGTGCGTGCCGTGGCTGTGTGGTGCGGTTGTGTGCTTTGTGGTGCGGTGTGGTTATGCGTGCTCTGGCTGCGTGCACTGTGGTTGTGCTTGCCGTGGCTGTGTGGTGCGGTGTGGTTGTGCGTGCTGTGGCTGTCTGCACTGTGGCTGTGCGTGCCGTGGCTGTGTGGTGCGGTTGTGTGCTTTGTGGTGCGGTGTGGTTGCGCGTGCTCTGGCTTGTGATGCACTGTGGTTGTGCGTGCCGTGGCTGTGTGTGGTGCGGTTGTGCGCTGTGCGGTGTGGTTGTGTGTGCAATGGCTGTGTGTGGTGCGGTTATGCGTGCTGTGTATCGTGCGGTGTGGTCATGCGTGCTATGGCTGCGTGGGGTGTGCTTGTGCGCTGTGTGGCTGTGTGTGGTGCGGTGTGGTTGTGCGTGCTGTGGCCGGCCCCGCATGACGGTGCCGCAGTCTGCAAGAGCTGTCTGGTGAGATACCTGGAGGACCACAACACCTGTCCCACGTGCAAGATAGTCATCCACCAGAGCCATCCGACGCAATACATCGGGTGAGTTACACGCTCTCCCCTGCTCTGCTTGACACTTATGCTCTGAGCTCTGCTGTGGCACCACTGCGAATGGTAGAAGTCGCTAATCCATCAATAGGCCGTTTTGAATTCTCCTCCAGGTGTCGTGATCCATTGACACTAGCAGGGTAGGCATGGTCCACATCATCGAGCGTGATTTGTGAGCAAAATGCAGCATCACTAAATAAAAAATAAAAATTTAATAATACAATGATTATTAGGTATAATTTTGTGACCAGGGTTTGTCAGCCCCATTTAAGAATTTAAATAATTAATAAAGATGTTTAAAAAAATAATTTGTTCCAAGAGCTGGCCTCGGTTCATTCATGTTATTGGCACTTATTCCATCGTGTATAGCAATGTATCTAAATCATTTAACTAAGGACCACCCTTATTGTGATTGGGATTGTTTCTTGTTGCTGCTGAATTATGCATAGCTGCAAAATTTCAGCCGAGGATGTTTAGGGGTTGCTACCGTGGTCATACAATTCAGAAACAATTTATACTTGCACATAACTGATGCACGAATCATGAGCGTGAGTATCTATCTCAATCGACGAATCGACGCGCCGTTACACGCGTAGCTGTCGATCGCCCACATCGCGTGGAGTGGTCGACCCGGCCGACGAGTGGCAGTGGTTTGAATGAGTTGCATGCCAGCGTCGCTGCGTCATCATACAGCGGTTTGCATCAACACGGCGCCGGTGTCAACTGGGTTTGATGTCACACATCTCGTTAGATAACACTACGTTCGCATTTATTTTTTTATGTATTTTTTTACACTCAAGATATATTCCTATGAATAAGTGATCGCCCAAACTCCATTGCCACCCGAGTTTTGGCAGTGAGCAGACAGAATGCAAGGCAGCAACTCACTTGGGCAGCCGCAGCTGGTGCTGACGGTAATTCTTAGTGAATCTCGTGTCTAGCCGGCTACTGGGGATGGATGTTGCACAGATAAATGTTGCGCACCTCTGGGGCCATGCGGAATCATCTTGAAGCAGGTGTGATGGCACAGACCTGTGCATTTTGGTATGGGGCAGGACCGGGCAGGGTCCTGCTCCTGGTTCCATCATGGCTGGAGGAAATTATAGAGAGGGGCAGGCCAATCATTGAGATTGAGTGAGGCGGCAGGGAGAAGGTGGAAATGTGCTGCAGGCCATGCGAAATGGCATGTGCTGTGTACATATGTACTAACCATGCAGAGCTGAGACCTTGCTAGAGAGGAAACGTTTTTTTACGTGACCCATTGGGTTTATTTAATCTCCTGGTCAAGTAAAGAAAACTCTGACTCAGCCTGGCTAGTACTTGGGATGGGAATCAATCTGGAAATGCCAGGTGTTATAAGTTTTGGCTGTTAGGTGGCAGTAGCGCACATGGTTGTTGTGGATATTTTTAAGTGCTAACTCGCCATACGCCTGGTAGCGCACGCTTTTAATCCAACGCTTGGTGGAACGCCTACAGATATTAGAAATTCCCAAACCCACTGAAGATGCGAGGTGGCCAGGAAAACGACAGGAGATAGTAATTTTTTATCCATTTGTGAGGCCCTTTGAGCATTATCCTAATTAGTGAGTGGGTTTTCTCCTGCCGGTCCCGTTTCCTCTGACATTAAACCAAACACTCTTGAATGGAATTGACCAAGTATCTCAATGTTGGGCTGTACAGAAGAGTGTCAAGACTCAGTGAGGCTTTTATAGACAATATATCATTATTATGATTCACTCCCCAGTTATTATCACCATTGAGTCGTTTGCCGCTATGTTGATGGTAGTAAAGGGGGGATGAATATAGCGAGGGTCACTACCGCGACAGAGATTCGTTAACTTTCCCGAATGACCCCAGTTCATTGACGCTGCCCGGAGGTTTGTGCCAATGGGCACGATGTTACTGCCCGACTTGTTGGTGCTCGCTGATTGACTGGCATCTCTTGAGCCACGGTGTGTATGGGTGCTCGATGTCATAATTTTCGTAGTTCATCTCATATTGTTATTGTAACTTACAGGATGTGCATTATAAGTATTACGCATTTTTGAATTCGCCATTATTAGAAGACTTGGGATAAGAATATGTTGAGTCAACTTCAGTTGAACACATTTTCAGTGAGCTTTTACCACACTTTCTTGAAAGAAAAAATAATACATATAATCACCGACGTTTCAGGCAATAGCCCTTCTTCATCGCACCACAAGGGCCATTACCTGAAATGTGACATATATATAAAAAATTATTTTAAGACCACTGTGTTATTGACGAATGTTTTGAGTTCTGTGTTTTTGTTCATTCTGATGTGCACCACTGCCAACACAGCAGCAGCAGCACTAAATGATTTGCTTAAATACAATTACAAAGTTTACATTTACAAAGTTAGGGGAACGGTCTTTGCGGTAATCACCACATGGTAATTGATACTGCATCGTGAAAGCTGATCCTGCGGTACCCCTATGTTGTACACAATACCTTGGTAATCTCATCAAGGACCATAAACCATCAAGCAAACTCCACTCATCCTCGCAGCGGCTTTTGGCTAACCATCGAACAAAGACGGTCACTGCATCGCACGCTTTCAGGTGCGCTTCTGCGGCCATCTGAAACACTCTTCCTTCTGATATTAGAAAGCCACTGGAGTTATGCACTTTTAAATCTAGATTGAAAACTCACTTCTTTAGAACTGCATTTGGTGTTTAGTTTGTTGTGCTTCTTCCGCACCTCTAATTATAACGGTTGACTATGTATGGTGTGAAAGAACATACACAATACGCCTCAACGTGGTGCTTCTGTAGGGGTATTTTGTTAGAGACGTTTAATGTAGATTTCCCGGCCGACCTGGTGCTCTTGTCATTGCAAAATCCTAAACCTTAGACGTTCTGTGGCACTAAATCGCATTGTATGGAGAACACAAAACCCATGTAGTTCAGTCGGTCTCTGTGAATGTCCCATACGTGGAATTTCACTGTTTTAAGTAGACTCACACAGAGACCCATAGACTCACACACAGGCCCATAGACTCATACAGACACTCAAAGACTCACACAGAGACCCATAGACTCACACAGAGACCCATAGACTTACACAGAGACCCATAGACTTACACAGAGACCCATAGACTTACACAGAGACCCATAGACTCACAAAAAGACCCATGGACTCACACAGAGACCCATAGACTCACACAGAGACCCATAGACTCACACAGAGACCCATAGGCATAGACAGAGGTCATAAACTCACAGAGCAGCCAATTGACTCAGTGAAGACACTGGGAATGTGTATCTGTTAATACCTCAAATACGTGGAGTTCCACCATTCCACCAGTGCCCTTGCTTCCTCTGTCATCGGATTAACACCGTGATGCTGAGCTGTTGATTCTTTACGATAACCTAATTTGCATTTGACCCATATTCTCGTTTGGTGACATATTCTTACTAATTTCACCCGACATCTGTTTCATGTTCAAGTTTCTGGTGCATAGTTTGTTTTTATGTGTAGTGTTCAATCTGGAGGTAATCTGCCCAAGCCGATTTGCTCTGCAGAGAATTACATTTGCAATGTTTTCAATGCATTAAGTTGTTTTTTTTCGAGTCGTTTTTTGGTCTGAATTACATTTGTTTTGCCTTTGTAATTTTTGTGACCCAGGTCATTGTTGCGAATTCGACTTTATTCTTGGTCTTTCGAGTTCTCACCTGGTTTAAACAATAACAACTTAGAAGTTGAAAAGTGGAGTGCTACCTAGAATCAAGAGGCCAGGGGAAAAACCTAATCCGGGCGGTGGTGGTGGTGGAGGAAATTTTAGAGGGAGTCATTGGCGATTGGGGTTGATATGATGCATCAATTAATCAATTAACATCTATTCATAAGCTCATGATACACGCATTCGGTCTTGCGAATCGTTTGTGTTGTATGTAATTGTTTGACATGACTACACTACAGCCGCCGTAGGTGCTACTATTCATCGCAATGTTGAGAAAATAATAGATTCTGAATCTCAACTAATTAATCAAATTACCGGGTTGGGGGGTGTGGGGGGGTGAATAACTGTGCATTAATTGTGACCTTGTTATTTGCGGTGACCTCTTGATCTTCAAACTGACGTTCACAGTTCGGATGAGAGTGGCACGAACTTAACGAATCGTCCTGCCTCAAGACCGCGACGCGCAGAGCCCATGCTGTTTTTAACGATTAACAATTGCACAATGAGCACAGACCACAATTGAAATTTGGATTTGTTTGGCGTCGATACCGCAAGCTGCATCTTAAGGCGCTGCGGTACAGATGCAGGCCATGTGCATCATGGGAAATCGCCCCAAACACAAGGCAGACGCATCAATCCAGTGAACATTTTTATATTAGAGCACTCGGTCATCGTCAGCAGAGATGATAAAAGTCTCAGGGAAAACATGTTACTCTGGAAAATCTGCATCAAAGTGTTATCTAATAATCACTGTTTCCAGCAATTAACTATGTTCATAGGTAGTGTGAAAAAGTTTTTTCAACTGAAAATAATGTTTCACAAAAAAATTGCCAGTGTCCATAAACAATTAGGCTATGGGTCATTTATCCCCAGAATATGATTAGTGGTGGTGAAATGTTAATAACACGCACACTCGTGCCGCTCATAAACCCTAGCTGTGCCTAATTCACGGGGTAGTGTGGTGGCATATTGAGTCCTGCACAATACTACACCTCACTGTAACATGCTGCACAGGGCCTAAAAATACTGCGCACGCGTGTGTGTGTATATAGCCTATAGTGTATATAGTGGGGAGCGGTCACGTAGTGGTTAGCGCGCTGCCCGCTCACGGCCAACACCAGTGACGATTATCTGAACTAGTCATGGGCCTCCCCTAGGTCGACTCTACCGCAAATTAGTACCGGGTGCGGTGTTTAAACATCGCCACTGGGGAGACAAAGGTGGCCAGGCATGATGCTGGCCACTCACCCCCTCGTGTGCCGTGCCAGCCTTCATAGGTACTACTCGCTAACAGCACTTACCCCAACAATCTGTTAAGGCTATATGGGGTGTTTTTGTCTTGTTATTGTCGTGATATATCATGTGTATGTCTATATTTGTATATGGATGGCCTATAATTAATTATATTGATTTAATATTTAATATTCTCTAATGGCTTGGTGTTGTTTAAAATAATAGTTTAGTTTTTTTAAGCTGAGAATTCATATTTCGGTGTTAAATTCCATAGCTGCCACAATTGTAAAGTAGCACTCAGAGCACAGATTCATTCTTGGAACATTTAATGAAATATCTTTCGTGGCCAAGGCACTTTTTATTTCGATAATGTAAACCAACCACTGCATATCTAAGCCATGGCGGTCATAATTTTGCTATCAAGAGGAATTAAGCATATTGCATCTTTAACTTGAGTTTCAAAACATTACCAACAATCAGTATCATAATCATCAGCCATGATCAATCCGCTGCTGGATGAAGGCCTTCCTAAGATGTTGCCATCTCTCACGGTTCCTGCAAAGTACCAGCAATCATTTGCATTTCTGTTCACTTATTTCTTGAATGTGCCCAATTCCGTCAGATCTCAGAAAGTCGAGGCAGGGTTGAGCCTGGATATTTCTGACTTCCCAGATCGTTACTACTTCCTAGATCACATCTATGCCTCTATATAAGGAACGAAACAGGTGGACTTCTCCACAAATCTGGCTGTCGCCTAATGAAGCTAGTTGTAATTACTGGCGAAACGTCGTACTCAGATTGAAAATGTTGTGGCTTGGCTCTCCAACACACCGGTGTGCTGTACTAGTGACGAATTGGCATGTTCTCTTTACGTGACAACCCTTACTAATTGGCTGTGTCGGGTGGTGGCGGGTTTAGTGACACATTTATATATTTATGCGATCTAACCCAAAAAAACCTATATTATGGATCATTACTCTTGACTTTGTGGACCTTTTCCCGGTGGTATTTTACATAGTCTCAAACCAACCGTCACGTGTCTATTTGCGAAACTTGGGTTGTGAGAATTATTCATCAACTCACCGGTGAGCTGAGACAATAATAATTGGTGGTGGTTTAAACGCTTGCACGAGTGACAAATTAGTATTGTTTGACTGTGGCGTGTGGTGGAGGGTTCTTCTTGATACAGATTTGACGAGATCATTCGGTGACCTAAGCCAAAACTCAATTATGAATCTCGGTCAAATAACTCTCACGATCTGCGTGCCACAGAGAGGCCCTCCTTGAGCTGTGGATTTACAAAGAGGGGCAGTACGTGTGCGTATGAATGGAATGTGATGAAAAGTCGCACATGCGCGCATCCTTATGTGTGCACGCGTGTTTATGTTTTGGCAGGCATGATCGCACCATGCAGGACATTGTCTACAAACTCGTGCCGGGTCTGCAGGAAGGTGAGTCTCTCGCCGAACTCGCCGCGTGAACAACGCGTTGCGTGCGGCCCCACCACACTGGTAACAATGTTAACGATGATGGTATCCCAGGTTATGATGTTAGTTCCAGAACATGCATCAGATATGTACAATGGATGCGGAGCACTGCATTAAATTATATGACAGTCCTAAAAACCACAATGTTTGCCCAGCTGAATGGTTACACGCTACGATTTAATTGAAAAAGTTGTCATCGCCACTAACAAGTTTAGCTGCCTGCGTCATCTTGCAAGGTCACGACCCTCATTATGTTTTTCCCACACACATTTAACTCAATACATGGCACCTCAATAGAGGCAGCGCAATAGATTAGCTGGGTCTCTCTGTGATAATGTGGAATTTTACATCTCTGTCTCAGAACTGCAAACGGAAATGAGGAATGCCCACTTATGCCAAATTGACACAGTTGGCAAAGGCACAGACGTCAAGCGGCCCTCAACAAGACGGCACTTATAAAAGTTTTGAAGAGATAAATAGTTGGCAGACGTTTCTTGAATTGAGAAAAGTTACTCTGAAGACATGGGAGATTTACAATGGAAGGGCATCCCAAAGTGGAACAGTGTGAGTTTAGAAGCATAAAGAGGATGTCTTTTGACTTGTAGTAGGGTGGTGGTGAGATGAATCGGTCAGTCTGTTCGACCAAGTCCTCACCATGGGTAGAGGAATCAACCAGTGAAGTTCAGTGGTAGTGGCGACGATACTGTTCACGTGTTCTTTGGAAGCACTGCACATCTCACTCCTGACGGGTACGAATTTAGTTTTAATGGACATCGCTAAAGGAGTCGGATCACTTTCCACCGTGCCAGGACCGTCAAACGCGCCACATTTTTCGTTAACCTTTAACCCCTTGAGCGCAAGCGACGCTGACTCTGAGCCCCTCCAACGCTGGCGTCCCAGTACGCAGCCATGACTGTCGCCTGCTGTTCCATAACTCCCTTCACATCCCCTTCTGTGCAGCGGAGATGAAGCGACAGCGGGAATTCTACTGGACGCGCGGCTTGGAGATGCCAGGTGACGCTAAAGGTGAGAATTGCGTTTCCCCCACCCGCGTTTCCCCCACCCGCGTTTCCCCCACCCGCGTTTCCCCCTTGAGCTTACGAGCCACGAGTGGGGTTGGTCGGTACCACCTGGGGTAACAAATGTTGTTAGTTTCCAACGTGGGCACTATCTACCATGGGCAGAAAGCTTGGTGTGTATACCGTCTGTCTTATAAATGCACTTCCTTATAAATTCCCCACACCTCCGATTAGTGTGGTTGGTTACATAAGGGTGCAAAAGAATTTCAACATACATACTTCCTATTTTTATCATTTTTCACATTGCGTCGTTTTGTATTTAAAACTATTGTCTCGAATATACCATGGTACCTATTTAATGACATTGTTGCCATAAAAAACTATTACTATGATATTGCTATCATTCATATTTGTGATGTACAGATCAAACATTTCAATAAGATCATTGTTTGCATATGCCACCCTGGCTGGTACCAATAGGCAATATTTTTGAGCCAATGGCTCACAGACCACTTTCTCCAAAACCCTTATAGCACCTTCCTCCCCACACTCCCCAGCATTCCCTCGGGGGTCCCCACGTGGCTTCGCACTAAGCCACACGTCGCTGCTCAATTTATTCGTAATTGTCATCATCATTCAGTCACGGTGTATCCACTGCTGGACAAAGGCCTCCCCATGCCAATTGTCTGCCGTTTGAGGGTTTGAGTTTCACCATACTTCACTGCACTGATCAGTGCGAGTTGGTGACGGGAGCACATTTTGTCTTTCCTCTTGCAGAGTATCAATTGGAATGGGTGCCTCCATCCAGTACGGCTACACAGGTCTGCAGGCACAGAATCGCCCTTGCCTTGCAAAGGCAGTGCCCCATTGAATAATAATAGTAATGCCATTTATTTATTAACTAGAATAGCCTAATTGAATCTCTTTACTTATTCAAGAGGGTCACGCCTTTGAGTTGTTTGTTCAACATATGTTATATATTGAACCAGTGTTTTGCATGTTGGTAGGAAACTGGGAGTATCCGGAGAAAACACACGCATGCATGGGGATTCCACTCAAAGGTTTTCACTTCATAAATATCATAAATAGATTTAAAAACCAGAATTCTGGACTGCCTTTCTCCTGGTCACCTGGTATCCCAGCAGGTTTGGGAGTTTCACAAATCCCTACATGATCCACCAACCGTTGCCTGCAAAGCCCTGGGCCACAGGTGTGCGCGTCGCGGCCACTGTGTCTGGTGGCGGCGGCGGCAGTCGCTGACGGTGGCAGCTTGCTGCTGCAAGACCCCTGGTCAATAACGATTGTCAGCGTGTCATCCCATAATGAATTACAATTGTGGTGTAATTGCAATTTCAGCTAACAATGCTGCTGTAATTGTTATTATAATTGACCCTGGGTCCACTTTGTTGACGGTGGCGGACCGACCCGTCAGCAAATCCTGCAATGGTGCATGGCCACGTGTCTAAGAAGAGCCCCCTCAATGATTCACCGTCAAGGATTAACTAAGAGTCAATTAATTAAAGAGGAATTGGACAAACACCCCAGCTGGACCGTCCTGAAAAATGTCTTGAGACCCGTTAAGGCTTTCAAGATAAATAAAGGGCATTATTAGTATTGATTTTCAATTTGTGAAGTGTTGCTGACACTGCAGAAAATGACAGAGTATATATTACATAGATGGTGCCGTCTGTTTTTGCAATATGTGTATAAAATTCTGTGCTCAAGCACAAGGCTCTCTCAGCGCTAAATCAGGTCATGTGCAGACTGGTGCTGGAGCCAGATATAGGCAATGACGAGCTATGCAGAGAGACCTCGAGCGAGACACAGATGTAAAGAAAGACAGATGGAGAGAGGTTCATGCAGACATACAAGCAACGAGAGATAACGGCAAGTAAGTTGTGGTGATGTCACCACAGGTGTTGTTACCAGGATAGCTGTGCTTAGAGGCCACGTGAAGTTTCTAAAGACTCGATTGTAGGTCACAGGACAGACCAGGGTGTTATGGGTTAATTGACTGAGTTGACTGGCACATGCACCACTAAGCTATGTGGACGTCACTCCTTTGCCTTACTTTGGTGCTTGAGGAAATGTGCTTCCCACTGCCCAGTAGTGTTCTTCACGAGCCCCCATCAATTTGGACAGAAACCACTAGTGCCAGGTGTCTGCAAGTCGACGTAGCTCCAGTTCCTTCTGCACCAAATCATCGTAGAGATGCGCACAGACAGACACAGATGTACAGAGGGTGAGAGACGCATCTTTGGGAGCCTCAAAACACGTGGAATCCCTGTGTATGTACACTTGTTGCACATGGTGCATGAAGTCTGCCCTATCTAAAAGCCCCATCAGTGATGTCCATCGACATACCCAAAAATTTCCCCCAGTGCTACCACCGTGTTGACAGCACCAGCAGCATTTGCACACACTCTTGGGCCAAGGCATTTCTGACGTCTCTGCATATATAGCTGTTGTTTGACACGAATTACTGCCCTTGTTTTGTGGAGGCTTCTGGACACCCAAGTTACCTTTTTTCATATATATTGTTGGCGTGACGGGTAAATCCCAGCGGCGGTGCAGCGCGGGAGATGCCTGCGCTGCGCTTGCGCGGTGCGCACGCAAACCGACAGGCCATCGCGTGATCTGGCGGAGGCTTGACGATTTGCGGCGCGCCGTCGGCGCCGTGGCGTGCTGGTTGGGCTCGTGTTATTTTATGCTGATGCTGGTTAACTACATTGCTAATTGGCACGGATGGGAGGCATTGTAGTTAAATTATTAGTATATCTGTCCACACCAGCAAATTCTGAGGGCGCGCCATCTCTCATCTCTCTCTCTCATCATTGTCACGGTGAAGGTGGTGGTGGCGGCAGCGGTAGCTGCAGCGGCGTTATTGCGCGCGGCGTACTGAGCGGTTCCCATGGCAGATTTATGTTGATAGACTAAATGAGTGGATTTTTTAAAGGATGAAGCCCCCTCTGGGGCTAAGCAGACATCAACTAAGTAAGCACATTCAACTGTTCTTTTTCAGGTTTAACTTTGCCTGATCGGAGGAAGATTATTTTCTCACCCTATCTGTGCAAAGGGAAGCTGGCTTATTTGTTTTTTTCTTTGTAACCAGTGAGGAATCGTTTTCTTATCCCATTCCAATTGCGCTGTCGGCATTGAGACAAAGACATTTCTGTTGGGAATGCTTGCCGAATGCATCTCATCTCTCGGCGCCTGTCGACACTCTCCTCCACTTCTGAGCGCTTGTCCATCCCCTACACAACACCAGAAATCTCTGCAACACACAACGACACACGCACTTCCTGGGGCTCCTGCATCACTTCTGGCCAAGCAGAGTTTTTGCATGGTTTATTTTTCCTTCTGGGGTCTGCTCACCCATGCATTTTGACAGCCCCTGCATCGGGAGAATTCCAGTTTTTTTGCAAGGAAATGACCTGCCAGAGGGATTTTACAAAGACGATCTTAAGGCATGGGCTGTCAAAGGAGGTATTACACCTGCTGCTGTGGTCAAAGGAGACCGTCCAATTGGACTGTGCGCAGTAACCAATGGGCAGAGTCACCCAGGTAGAATCAGCACCTGGGGCATGCAGGAACTGATTGGTGCAGTTGGATACGTACGTTGCGAAATAAATTATACATTAAACCAGTGGCGCACATATCCAGAATCGTTGGGGAAAAAACATGAGAGGAGCTTTTATTTTGTGGCTGTTAAGGCTGAGGTAATAAACTTGCCACACCTGAGAAATCCAGTTTTAATCGCAGGCGCATGAAACCCGGATTCGAACCCAGCGTTTTCAGTGGTGCCGGCTCGGTGCTCGGACACGGTATTACCCCCTCCCCCCTCACTCCTCTTCCCCCCCCCTTCCCCAATCCAGATGGCCACTTCGGCACCAACACTTTCTAAAAAAAAAAACACTCAAGGTTGCACAACACGGACAGCGCCGGCTCCCGGAGGGTCATTTTCCCAATTTAGTTTTCAAGCGTGCTCGAAGCTGCAGTGGTGCAGCGTGGCCCTGGCACCGATGAAATGGGTTGCATTAAGGTTGAAGGTTTGTGAGGCTTCGCAATAGACCGATGGTCCCTACGCGGGGGTGTGGGCGCGTGCTGCCATTTACACTGCACGTCAGCCATCTGCGCCGCGGACACAAACGCAACATTTTCCGGGTGGCAGTGCGAACTGAATGTAAATAATGTTCAGCCCGTTTGCTAAAATCTACTGCTGGCTAAAGGACATGCCCACGACGTGTGCATCGTAGCGGTTGGCGCAATGCATCGTGGACCCGGTGACCCGAGTTTGATCCCCAGCCACGGCTCATGTCGTCGGCGAGTGATGTCCAAACTGGTCCTGGGCCCCCCCCCCACGCCAACCCACACTGACCACCGTGGTGCAGTATGGTAAGAAAAAAATCCCCACTACCAAAAGAAAGTGCTGCAAATTACTACATATAAAGCTCAACTCAAAAATAAAACAGCACCATTGTCGTAGACGTTTGTCTGTCCCAGGCTGTCTGACAAGAGAGTGACTATAATCCTGCATCTGTCCGCAATTTTATAGATTTGTTTTGTTTAAATAATTAATCTAGCGTAAGACCTGTGTTGGGCACCAAGGAACACATGGCCAAGGTGTGCATCTATGATCTGGTTATGTCTTCATTTAATATGCTCCTGTTCTTTTTGCCTTCTGAATGAAGGAAATCCCCAGTGAGTCTCATTATTATTATTTTCAAGAGGGATTCTACTAGGTTGTCACAGAAGGTGGTGATGTTAGCTGCTCTGTTAATTCAAGTTGAGTAATTTTTCAGATTAAATGTTCTAATTTTACAAATCTGCACCATGCGGCCGGCATACGATGGCCTCTTGCACTGTGAAGCGCCCGGCACGTAGTATGTTATGGTTTATATACACGCTGTAGTAATCAGGGCTGCCGCTGAGATGTTGCACCAGGCGAGGTGTGAACTACAGGAGGTCGTGGGTTCGATCCCTATCCTGACGGCACCTGTATATTTGAAGTTTTCATGTCTCTCTCTCCATGAGGTCGCGTGGATTTTTCTCCGGGTCCTCCGGTTTTTCCCTTCTACATTTAGAATAAACATGCTCTTAAAGTATTTTGGTTACTGTAAATTTGCACGTGATGATAAGCCACTTCGTTGAACTATTATTTGTGATAGCCAGGTTGCTTCTGAAAAAGAGTATACAGCTCAGTGGGCCTTACCTGGTAAAATAACAAAAAAGGTTTAAGTGATGAACGAGCTGCAGCTGAACCACGTCACCGCCCCTGCTGCTTAACTGAGCTCACTGGACCCGTGCTTCTGTCTCGCTGGCGGCGGTGGCGTTGTGTGTCTGACCGCGGGCTGCGAGCAGGCGAGGTGAATGGGGAGGAGACGCCGGAGAGGAAACCCAAGGCAGAGGAGAACGGAGAAGAGGATGATGGAGACTACCACCGCACGGACGAGCAGGTGTGATGCTCGCTTTCCCGGCACCTCCACTACACGCCGTTCTCTCCGTGCTGTCTCAGTTTCTCCATCTCTCACAAAAGCCTCAGAACATCAGGATGCATGACGGCTGCATTTGTATCTGGTAGCTTGTTCCCCTGCAATGCACAAGAGTGGCAAATGTGATTGGGCTCAGACCTCACCGCCACATCTGACCCGGGTGGCAGGCGGCAAACACAACGAGGAGCAGCCCAGTGATTTGGAGCACTATTTATTTTCATTTATTATTGGCAGCTGATTATGTACATAAGATGCTGTCACATTTAGATGCTTTATTTATGTCCATTTTGTTTTGATAATTGGCCTTAAAATTGCCCGAGTGTGTCATGGCGTTAAGCAGCGAGTGAGGAGGGAGAGAAGCTTGCAGGTCAGTGTTAATTTTGTCAGTGTTTTTACTTGAGTCGCAATGTTAGTTGAGTTATCGACAATGTGTCTAGCATTTGTCGAGACTCAGTGTGTGAGTTTCATGGAGTCAGTCTCTTAGTCGAGTAGACTAAAACAATCACACATTGAGTCAAACACTCTGAGTTTGTAATTGTCGGTGTTAGAGGCATGCTATCCCCACAATATGAAACAGGTAAACCAATCGGTGAACTCAGTAAATCTTTTAGCCAATTATACACACGTATAGCCAATTACCATGTTTGGTCTCGCTCGGTGCACTGCGGTCTCTAATAACGCTTCTAAATTATTTCAGCATACGTCGTCATTCAGTCTCGTTAATTCCCTCTCCTCACAGTCGCGCTTTGGTCTGTGTTGGGCAATCGTGGTCATCGTCACTCATGCCTGATGAGATTCATCCACGCACAGTCATCGTCAACCAAGATGAAAAGCAATTTAGTTGACATCGTCACAAATGTCGTGTACAAATAAGCGCCCCCACGGTCTATGTGGTCACATGACCCACGAATTCCGCCTCCCGTCGGCAGGTGAGCGTGTGCCTGGAGTGTCACAGCGGCAAGCTGAAAACCCTCAAGCGCAAATGGATTCGCTGTTCGTCACAGGCCACAGTTCTGCATCTCAAGAAGTTTCTCGCCAAGAAACTCAACCTCCCCTCCTTCAACGAGGTGAGTGAGGGTTGCGTGGCATCACTTCGTGATCCCAGACGGGGTGGGGAACGGAAAACTGTTAAGTGCCTAATGCTCGCCCCCATTACTGGGAGGGAATGCTCGAGTGAAATCCAGCAGCGTGGTGTCCGCAGTGGCAACACGTCACGACGGCGCGTTTAGGCGCTAACGTGTAGAACAACATTTCCCCAGCAGATGCGTTATTGCCCGCAAACGGCACGCCGGTGGTGATTGTTATTGACTGGACTGTCACTGAACCCAACATGGCCATGGCGCCGCGGTTCCCTCCACGCCTCGTGGTCTCATTACGGCACGCCACCTGCCCTGTTGCGGACACAATGGCGGTCGTTTCGGTAATTGGGCCGAGGCGTGCAGGGGAAATCCGAGCAATTAAGCAGGAGAGGGGGACGAATTACAGAACAACGGAGCTTAACGGCTTGCTTACTAATTCCATCGTGGCTTAAGAGGTGTTGCGTTTTTGGCATGACAGGAACAAAGTTGTGGTCGGAGTTTTTTGGTTGGAGTCTTATTTTATCTGCACGTCACTCTCACATCGAGCATGTCACACAGCGCGAGTTCAGGAAGATGCAATCCATAAAATGAACCGACTCTTCTCTTGTAGCCATGAAAGCACATCACACCAATACCCTCATCCCTCCACGGACTCTCAACCCAATCCCAGGGAAATTGAAAGATGATCACACTCGCTGTCATCAAGATTGTCCGTGGACTTGACCCTACTCACCTATCCCTTGCCATCTATCTACCCCCAGTTCCTGAACTCTCACTACCTCTCCCCTTTCATCTCACTCTGCTCTCCTCCACACACTCCAAGGCTCCAGCAACCAAAGCTTTTTCTCGAAGTCCAAAGTTAACCTTTGGTGGGAGGTCGCTCATTCTCCTCTGCTGCCTCAGTAGTCTATAAAAAAAACTTCAACCTTCACAATTTTTATTTTTCCAAGTAAGGCCCATTGAGCTTTTTAACTTTTTTCAGAAGCAGCCTGGCCACAAATGATAGCTCAATGAAGTGGCTTATTATCTGGAAATGTATAGCAGCGGAACGATCTAAACCAGAGGACCTGGAGAAAAATCCACGTGACTACGGGGAGAACATGCAAACTCCATATATACAGGTGTCAGGGTTGGGATTGAACCCACAACCTCCTTTATACCAGGCGAGGTAGGTAACATCTCACGACTGTGGCGAGATGAAAGAATTGGGGTTTACCGACCCCGGATAGTCTATAGCCTAGAGTTCCTTTCTGCCACCCATGCAGTGCTTTTGTCTCCCTGCACCTTTTCAGGTCCAGGCTCAAAAGCTTCCCTTTTCTCCCTGCCTATGACTACTTCTCTATAAAATAAGCATACGCACTGTTTCTGTAAGGCATGTTGAGATGCCATCGCATTTAGACGCCGTATATCAATCCACCATTGTATTGTGGTTTTTGTGGCTGTCTTGACATGCGCTTGAGCATTGTCATTGAGAAAAATGACTTCAAAGTCCCTCTCTCAAGTGCTCAGCCGTAGCGCTTTAGTGGCATCGACGTGTTGACGTCGTGAAGTGTAACGTAGCGATGGTACAGCTATGTCACCAGAGTACAATCCTGGAATTTTCTGACCGTAACTTTAAATGCTTTTTTTTGTTACTCCCTAACGAAGATTTAAAGTCACGTTCAACAGGCCGAGACGCAGGCCGTGCAGTGTGGCCACTCGACAAGATATACTTGTTTCTCTCGTTGCGAATTCCTTTTATAAATTGCCTACAGCCACCCTTAACGTGCTACGATAATGTATTGATTGCTTTATTAGGACATTAATCAATAAGCCCAGACAGAATTTGTTTTATCCACCTTTGCCTGTTTATATAGTATATATATCTGACCAACTTGAAGGTAAATCAATTATTGATTGAGAGCAATGCCAATCAATTCCGGCCAATTGGTCGATTATAATTAACGAGCAACAATCAAACCTATCCGTGCACGCATGAAAAATCTAGAACGTGCTGTGCGATCATCCATTACAATTATCCAGACTGACTCGGAATCAATTAGGGATTTTCATACTTGAGCAGTAGTGCAGTGGGTAGCGCACTGCACTATGAACCCGGCGACCTGAGTTCGATTCCTGCTCACGACCAATAACAGTGGCAAATATTTGAAACCTTTTCATGGGCCTCTGCGAGGTCGACTCAGCCTTAAGTGAGTAAATATCGGCACTGGGGAGACAAAAAGGTGGCTGCCGTGCCGGCTTAAATAGGTGCACTGAGTCTGTATGTCTGTAGGTGGATCTTTGTCCGTGTATCTGTATAGCTGTGTGTACCTATACCCCAGTGGTTCTAACACTTTGCTACAATCCTCCTTACCTGGGTTTAATTCACAACCACTGGCAGCATCAGTGGCATGTGACACCTGAACTTCGATGTCCGGTAGGCCAACTCAGACATAAGTCAATATCTGGTGCATTGTATAAACGCCAGCGCTGGGAAGACGAAGGTGGTCGGATGTGACCACACCACCGCCCCAGTAAATTCCATATCTCAAACAGCAACTGCTCGCATGGTTCTGTATGATTTAACGTGACATTTTTTTGTGTTAATGGCACGTACAATGCACTCCTGGATGATGGTCTGCCCACTCCAATTGTGGGTCGTGAGGGCTGTTTGACCATACTTCACGCTAGTGTCTCAGGCATTATGAGAATAATTGAACTGATTTTCAGTAAAAAATAATATCAAAATTTTTATCCTTATTGTGTAATTGTTACTTATTTATTTTACATTGTGCATTGTTAAATATATAATTATTGTTCCCGTGAAAAGTCAAGAAATATAGAAGTCTATATTCTCTGGCTTCTGGAGTGCTGTGTCCTTGCTCAATCCTGGCCCAGACTGGCTCACCAACTCCAAAAGCATATGGTTAGTGCAGGTTGGTAACGGTGGGGAGCACAGACTCAGAAGCATATAAGTACGGACAATAATGGATTTTACTTTTGCACTCCTATGGTTTTTTGTATTATTTGTTGTAACTCACTGACGCGCCTCAACTGGACATCTTTGAAAAAGAGCTTCATAGCTCATCGGATTCCTCCAATATAAATAAAGAATCTCTGGTTCTGCTTCAATGCCCTCTACTGCCCGACACGTTGCCCTGCCAGCCAAACGACAATCTGGCGCATTGTGGGTGATGTGGCCAGAGGTGTTTATATCGCTGGGTAAACACATGGCTTACAAGCTCGTCATGGGAGTGGAGAAGGAGGCACCGCGCTGAGCGGCGATACAAATGGCGCTGGCACTGTGCCGCTCCGTGCCGCTCTGCGCGTGCCCGTGAGCCACGTTCCAATTGAATGTGGTCGTAATTGAAGAGCGACGGTTTTGGCTTGAGGAGAAGAGCATGTGTCTGGCCCTCCCCCCACCTCCCACCCCCCCCCCACTCCCTCTTTTGCCACTGTCCCCACAGCTCGACATCCTGTGTAACGAGGAAATCCTGGGCAAGGACCACACACTTAAATTCGTCGTCGTGACACGCTGGAGGTTTAAGGTAACTGGCATGGCAGAGACGACGATAATGATGATGACAACGGCAATGAACTTTCACGGCTGGGTTGGACACCCTGATTAGGGCACTAAACTGGCAATCTGAAAGTTGTGATACCACCGCTGCGTAGGTTTTCACTGCTGTGCTGTGCACTTCTCCGATGTGTTTTCTGGTTGTGCCGCGTGTTATTTGGCACCAATGTCCAACATTTTGCTCCACATGTCGGGCAATAAATTACTTAAATAATGGGATAGCTCAGCTCCAGTGTTATTCTGTGACGTGCCCGACTGTGCTTACCTGAGTCCGTTGGACTGGTGATCATGGTGGCGGCGTGGTCATAAGTCTGTCCAGCTGGGGGCGCCACCGCCTGCGTTATTGTTCCCCCCAGTCGAAGGCGCCGGGTGCTCGGCTCTCGCCATGCCCTGTGGTGAGCTCGCTCTCACCAACTGCTGCCAGAGAGGCTGCAGAGCACCGAGGAGCGGAGCTGGCCGTGTCAACGTTCCATCGATTCCAATGGGTTCCAACGGTCGCGACGTGTGAATTAAATCGTTCACGAGAGCATAGATTTTTTCGGTATGCTAAATGATGTGAAAATGAGACGCTGATTTTACATTGAGGTTAATGCCACGCACAACACTGTTCAGACGAGATTGATAAAAGGAGAACCAATGCAAATTAGATAGTAAAACATTTATTGAATACAGGAATTTATTTTGTAATGAGGAATTTGTTTTTTTGAATCACGACCTAACGATCTGCAATTGTGACGATTCATTGAACAGTTCTGGGGGTGAATCCTTGGGATGCCTCACGGAATCAATGGCACGGAAAGCTGAAGGTGCAAACTATGGGCTGCAAAATCAGTGGCGCGGCACATTCACGAACGCAGCAGCTGCGAGTCGAGGTTCTAAATGAGGTGCAGAGCCAGGAGTCTAGGTTCTAAACGAGGTGCAGAGCAGGAGTTTAGGTTCTAAACGAGGTGCAGAGCCAGGAGTCTAGGTTCTAAACGAGGTGCAGAGCCAGGAGTCTAGGTTCTAAACGAGGTGTAGAGCACGAGTCTAGGTTCTAAACGAGCTGCAGAACCAGGAGTCTAGGTTCTAAACGAGGTGCAGAGCAGGAGTCTAGGTTCTAAACGAGGTGCAGAGCCAGGAGTCGAGGTTCTAAACGAGGTGCAGAGCAGGAGTCGAGGTTCTAAACGAGGTGCAGAGCCAGGAGTCTAGGTTCTAAACGAGGTGCAGAGCGGGAGTCTAGGTTCTAAACGAGGTGCAGAGCAGGATTCTAGGTTCTAAACGAGGTGCAGAGCGGGAGTCGAGGTTCTAAACGAGGTGCAGAGCAGGAGTCGAGGTTCTAAACGAGGTGCAGAGCAGGAGTCTAGGTTCTAAACGAGGTGCAGAGCAGGAGTCTAGGTTCTAAACGAGGTGCAGAGCCAGGAGTCTAGGTTCTAAACGAGGTGCAGAACCAAGAGTCTAGGTTCTAAACGAGGTGCAGAGCAGGAGTCTAGGTTCTAAACGAGGTGCAGATCCAGGAGTCTAGGTTCTAAACGAGGTGCAGAGCAGGAGTCGAGGTTCTAAACGAGGTGCAGATCCAGAGTCTAGGTTCTAAACGAGGTGCAGAGCCAGAGTCTAGGTTCTAAACGAGGTGCAGAAGCCAAGAGTCTAGGTTCTAAACGAGGTGCAGACAGAGTCTAGGTTCTAAACGAGGTGCAGACCAGGAGTTTAGGTTCTAAACGAGGTGCAGAGCCAGGAGTCTAGGTTCTAAACGAGGTGCAGAACCAGGAGTCTAGGTTCTAAACGAGGTGTAGAACCAGGAGTCTAGGTTCTAAACGCGGTGCAGAGCCAGGAGTCTAGGTTCTAAACGAGGTGCAGAACCAGGAGTCTAGGTTCTAAACGAGGTGCAGAGCAGGAGTCTAGGTTCTAAACGAGGTTCCATGATTAAAACTTAAACGTTGAGGTATAAAAACCAGCTCACGAAACAAGAGAAAGAAGGGAAACGTCCATGTGCCTTAAAAGACATGCAGCACATGCTTCAGAATGGTCCATCTCCTCATGGCTTACGTGCAGAATGTTAAATGTGTTTGTGTGTGCATGTGGGCGTGTGTGGAGAGCGTGAGTAGAGTGATTAGCACGCTGCGCTATGAACTCGGCAACCCGCGTTCAATTGTCATGAACAGCACTTGCCGCAACAATGTGTAAAAGGCTACAAGGGGGTCTTTGACATTGTAGTGTATGTGGGCAGGCTTATGATCAAGCAGCTTTTTACTGGTAGGAACGAAGTGGACCGGACACCAATAGATTATATCATCCGTCCGTTTGTCCGTTTGTCCGTCCGTCCGTGTATCAACAACGCCCCCTACTGCAAACACTTGGCATGACCCTACAAAAACCTTTAGACTCAGTGACGCTATCCTGGACTAAACAAGTGTAACATTCCCTTATAATTCCCTCAGATAGCTTTTAATTACAATGTTACATTCCCTGATGTTTTTAAATAGCAACATTTACATTTAAAGCTTTTACATAAATAATTAAAACATTTATATTAACAATTAACTCACGGCGGCCTAAGGCCTACAGCTAGGCCTAAAGCCTAGACCTAGGCCTCAAGCTCTCCCTTCGTATAGTTCCCCTGTGTGTGTGAAAGGGAGTAAATGTTTAACAATGTTACATTCCCTGATGTTTTTTAATAGAAACATTTACATTTAAAGCTTTTACATAAATAATTAAAACATTTATATTAACAATTAACTCACGGCAGCTTAAGGCCTACAGCTAGGCCTAAAGCCTAGACCTAGGCCTCAAGCTCTCCCTTCGTATAGTTCCCCCGCGTGTGTGAAAGGGAGTAAATGTTTAACAATGTTACATTCCCTGATGTTTTTTAATAGAAACATTTACATTTAAAGCTTTTACATAAATAATTAAAACATTTATATTAACAATTAACTCACAGCGGCCTAAGGCCTACAGCTAGGCCTAAAGCCTAGACCTAGGCCTCAAGCTCTCCCTTCGTATAGTTCCCCCGTGTGTGTGAAAGGGAGTAAATGTTTAACAATGTTACATTCCCTGATGTTTTTTAATAGAAACATTTACATTTAAAGCTTTTACACAAATAATTAAAACATTTATATTAACAATTAACTCACGGCGGCTTAAGGCCTACAGCTAGGCCTAAAGCCTAGACCTAGGCCTCAAGCTCTCCCTTCGTATAGTTCCCCCACGTGTGTGAAAGGGAGTAAATGTTTAACAATGTTACATTCCCTGATGTTTTTTAATAGAAACATTTACATTTAAAGCTTTTACACAAATAATTAAAACATTTATATTAACAATTAACTCACGGCGGCTTAAGGCCTACAGCTAGGCCTAAAGCCTAGACTTAGGCCTCAAGCTCTCCCTTCGTATAGTTCCCCGCGTGTGTGAAAGGGAGTAAATGTTTAACAATGTTACATTCCCTGATGTTTTTTAATAGAAACATTTACATTTAAAGCTTTTACATTAATAATTAGAACATTTATATTAACAATTAACTCACGGCGGCTTAAGGCCTACAGCTAGGCCTAAAGCCTAAACCTAGGCCTCAAGCTCTCCCTTCATATAGTTCCCCCGCGTGTGTGAAAGGGAGTAAATGTTTAACAATGTTACATTCCCTGATGTTTTTTAATAGAAACATTTACATTTAAAGCTTTTACATAAATAATTAAAACATTTATATTAACAATTAACTCACAGCGGCCTAAGGCCTACAGCTAGGCCTAAAGCCTAGACCTAGGCCTCAAGCTCTCCCTTCGTATAGTTCCCCCGTGTGTGTGAAAGGGAGTAAATGTTTAACAATGTTACATTCCCTGATGTTTTTTAATAGAAACATTTACATTTAAAGCTTTTACACAAATAATTAAAACATTTATATTAACAATTAACTCACGGCGGCTTAAGGCCTACAGCTAGGCCTAAAGCCTAGACTTAGGCCTCAAGCTCTCCCTTCGTATAGTTCCCCGCGTGTGTGAAAGGGAGTAAATGTTTAACAATGTTACATTCCCTGATGTTTTTTAATAGAAACATTTACATTTAAAGCTTTTACATTAAAAACAACTCCCTACCCCCCCCCCCCTCATCGGCGGCTCTCCACCCGAGCCAGGCCTGGTAATCTCTCCCCCGCTCGGGGTGTATTGGGCGGGGCTACAGCGGCAGGGGGCGGGGCTACGCGGGGCTGGGCGGGGACACCGAGATGGAGCGGGGCCACGGGTGGCCGGGGCGGGGTTACGCGGGTGGAGGGCGGGGCCACGGGGGCGAAGCGGGGCCACGGGGGACCGGGGCGGGGTCAAGCGGTGTGAGGCGGAGCTTAGCGCGATGGAGGGAGGGGCCGTTGGTGAAAAGGGGCGGAGTCTACAGTCGAGAATACAGTACCAGGGGCGAGAAGGCGGGGCTAATACTGGTAGGAACGAAGTGGACCAGACCACCAATAGATTAATGTGTCCGTCCGTCCGACTATCCGTCCGTCCGTCCGTGTATCAACATCGCCCCCTACTGCAAACACTTGGCATGACCCTGTCCGACAAGATGGCCGCCCGCTCTCCCTGCGATCTGTGAATTAAACAAGATGGCCGTCGCTTCCGGCGCATCACGGCAAAACTTTAAACTTCGCTTCAAAATTACTTTACTGAAACGCAGCACGTTTTTTTAAAAAATTACTTTACTGAAACGCAGCACGCTTTTTTAACACAGAGACAAAAAACATTTATTAACACAGAGACGAGATACATTTAATCGCCTTATTTGTGCACGAAAAGCACGGCGCGAGGCCTAGTGCGGCAGGCTTCGCGAGGCCTAGTGCGGCAGGCTTATTAACACAGAGATGAAACGCAGCACGTTTATAAAAAAAAAATTACTTTACTGAAACGCAGCACGTTTTTTTAACACAGAGACAAGAAACATTTATTAACACAGAGACGAGATACATTTAATCGCCTTATTTGTGCACGAAAAGCACGGCGCGAGGCCTAGTGCGGCAGGCTTCGCGAGGCCTAGTGCGGCAGGCTTCGCGAGGCCTCGTGCAGAAGGTGGTGGTGGGGGGTGGTGGGGTGGTGGTGGTGGGGGGTGGTGGTGGTGGTGGGGGGTGGTGGTGGGGGGTGGGGAGGTGTTGGGGGTGGTGTTGGGGGGTCTTTAAATCTCACAGCGTTTCTTGTCAAAACAAACACTTTTAATTAACGTTACACTAGAATACAGTAATTTTTTCTTTAACTCCTCTATACCCGGTCGATATCCCTGTACCGGTACTAAGTATTATTCCTACCAGCCCACCCCGCAGGGTCCTGTTAGTGATAGGGGCGTGGCCGACGGCGCTGCATATCGTGCAGATTGTTACTACTCACTGTCTGCTCCAAGCTGCACTCACGTAGTTACATACTTGTGCAATACTATTATTTTTTGCACAACGGTTACTACTACTTTATTGTTTCTTATGTTCCACTACGTCTACGTTTCCATCCACTTATTGGCGCCCATTTTTTGCCATTTCATTTTATTATAGCCATTCAATTGTTCGGTCCTACCAGCCCACCCCACAGGGACCTGTTTATCTGGTAGCTCTTCGCTAGACCTCTGTGACCTGGGCTGTTGGACACGAGTTTGAAACTTTGTCAATGAGAAAAGACTGTAAACCCCCCAGTTGCATCGCTTCAGCATCCACTCGCCCGTTATCTCTCATCCATTCAACAAATCTCATTACGGACAGCGGTTTGAATAATGTTGTTGCATCGTTGGGGGTTACGGGAAAGACATCAAGAAGAAAGCCTCACGATTCTTGAGTGAACTTCAGCAGCGCGTGACCGAAGCGTGTGAAGCGATCACAGCCCAGAGGTCGGCGGGCACCAGGGAGGTCCCTCTCCGCCACGGCAGACTCGTGGACGGCTTCAGGGACGAGGGACTCGGCTGATAAAATATTTGTGCTGACAAATGCGCACGCGCGCGCTTGTGTGTGCGTGTGCGTGCGTGGAGTTTTATCCCGGGGAAGCGGTGCCGCAGTGGGTAGCGCACTGCGCTACGAACCTGGTGACCCGGATTCGATTCACGGTTAGCATAGGTGATGACTTTCTCAACCAGTCCGGGGCCTCCCCGAGGTGGACTCAGCCTTATTTGAGTATCTGTTGTGGTGTGTAAAATATCAGCATTTGGGAGGCAAAGACTGGCCGGGCGTGATTGTGGCCACGTCACCCCGTCACGCGTCATGTCGGCCTTCATGTGCTTGCTAACAGCACTTCCCCTGACAGTCTGTGAAAAGCTATGTGGGGGATCTTTGTCTTTGTAATTTTATTGACTCAGCTGGAGTTGCTGGCTTAATTATAATTGTTTAATAATAGGATGATATCTTGCTGTGAGCTCACAGCATTGCTGCTGGCTGTGATTGAAAGTACTTTATGTTTTTTATTAACGAAGTTTGACAACCTGAGACCGAGCTTAGGGAACCCAGCAGCAAAATAACTTCTCGATTGTTGGGTTTGCGTTAATCTCTCTTCCTTAAATCTGCATGTTCTAGGGTTTTTTTGCCGATTACATTCCGACTGGACTTTTGGTCACGTCACCAAAGGGGAATACACATTACATCCACAACTCTCACGGGCTCCAGGGCGCCGCACCACACGGTGTCTGAGCACAGACCCTGGAAGTCGACTTCATAGAGCTACTTCTGCATTTCCTTCAATAGGCCTCTCTCTATCCACACTAGTGGGGAAATGTGCTGTATGTCCTGCAAAGGGCATTCGTTGTGTGGAAATAATGACAGCATTTGTAATACTCGGTGCTTATGTTTTGCCAAATTAAGTGAACAACCAAATTTGAGAGGATGTTTGGTTTATTTGGTGGCAGCCATTGGTGACCAGGGATGAGACCATCGACTCGGCTCACTTGATGACCCGTTTCAATCAGATCCCCACCCGGACTTTATCTGTGCCGGTAAGGGAGGCCCAGTGAACTCGGCAGCACTTGTACAAGGACAGCAAACGATTGAGACCCGGATTTAAATCCAAGGTCCTGGCATCTCTGACAACGGTTCTAGCCCCCCCACCCACCCCTCCCCCCTCCCCCCGGCCACCTCTCGGTCTTCGTGGTTTGGTTGTTCACGGTGCTCATTGTTGTTGTCATTGTTGTGGCCGTGCGCAGAAATCTCCTCTCTTGTTACACTACCGGCCGAAGATGGAGCTGCTGTGAGGGCAAGGGACATGCCTCGTCGTCGTCGCAGCAGCAAGCTCGCGTCTGGCCGGTCGTTTGTTTGTATGTACAATGTACGGAGTGACTGTGTGAATAGGTATGCGTGTGTTTGCGTTTGTATGATTGGGCATGGGGGGGAGTGTGTGTGTGTGTGTGCGCGCGTACTTTCGTTCCGGTTATATATTTCTTTGCACGCGTGCCTGCGCGTGAACGTGAACAACAATCCAGCATTGCCCTCCTTCCACGGTGCTCACAGATACCAAATGACGCTCGCTGTGTTCGCCTCCCCTCTCTCGTCCGCCTTTCCGACACGTCCACGGCCGCTCTCGTGGCATCCATCGCGGCGTCCCGTTTTTATTTTATTTTGATCCTCGCGATCATTCGTTTGCGTTTTCAAGTACTGTGACTGGGGGGAGGGTGGGGGTGGATTCCCTTGGTGCGTACGTTTATACGCTGCTGCTGCTGTTGCTGTGCCGTTTGTTATCTTGTGATATTCACAAAACGCAAAAAAACGCGCGAGAGTCCGGGGTTTGTTTGAATGTGGATGTCAGAACCCCCAACACTACTTACTACTACTACGACTACAGCGGAACCTGGGTGGGTGCGCAGCGGTGACTCGTCACGCGCGGGGTGCTTTCAGCTGCAGAACCGTGTGTCCCCCGACTCAAAAAGAGCACAAATGTTTTGGGGAAATGTTTATTATCTCTCGTTCTTTTATTTAGCAAATGAGGCGGCACGCTGCGATCGTCGACAGGCGTGGGGGGGGGGTTTGAGAACGCTGTAGGGATAATTACTCACAGCGACTGGCAATTTCTTGTCACACCTAAAACTGTTCGGTCCTATGAAAATAATTTTCTAAAAAAACTTACAGTAACAAAAAATAGCCCCCCCCCCCTACCTAATATTTCATGTTCACATTTTTCTATTTAAAGGTCGGGGGGCCGGGGAGGGGTGAGGGGGGGATCTAACTACGAAGCAGTGTTTTTGCGAAGCGGCGCGCGTCTTCCCCAGTTGCGGCAACGAATGTCCTTCAGCCACGGCTACAAAGGTGGGAGGGAGGGGGGGGCAGGCGGGGGGGGGCGGGTGCAGGAGGACAGCGCTGGCAGCAGCAACTCCCGCCGGACGGAGTTCGCGATTGAGTCTCCTTACCCGTGCTTCTTCCCAAGCAATGGCGATGACGCTCGTGGAACGTACGGCCCTGATGTGGCCCGGGGTAGCCCCGGACCACACTATCAGAGCACACGTGGCCGGCGAGGCTTGAGCTGCTTGCTCTGAGCCCCGTACGCCCGGCAGAGTCGGCCATCACATCTTCAGAATTTAAATGTCTCGGCCAGATCACCGATGGCCGTACGGAAATCCAGTCCTGGAAATTAATCAGGCAAGTAATGATTTCCCCACCCCCCCCCTCCACCCGGCACGTGATGAATTAGTACTGGTGCGGCAACGTGATTCAAAACAAGAATCGATCTCTTTTCGTTTATATTGCGATGCACACCGTATCTGACATACAGCGTATGTACGAATTTTAATTAAGTGATTATTCTTGCATGCACAATTCGCCGCGTGTTTTGCGAGCATAATAACTTATTTCAGTTGACGGTTTGACGCATCGTTGCGTACTTGCCGAAAACGTCCTTAATCACCGTTGAATTGGTTCCTGTGCAACACACCTGATCCAGACCGAGACGCTGCTCACTGGCGAGATACGGTACACACCGCGATTCAGAAACTGTAAAGAGTCTCACCACGACTGCATCTCGGGACCTCGGGACATTCGACGGCGGAAGCGGGAGTTGAGATGTCCGGCTGTCGCGGGGATTGCATTATGCGACAGGGAAACTGTCACCGCCCACCGCTCTCTCGTCCCCGTCCGCGCTGATAGCACGGTCGCGATGCACGGTGACTCGCGAGTGCATTAGCGGTCAAAGAGCACATCTCTTCCTGTTGCGTCATCGCCACCAGTTTGTCGGCTAGCGTTCACGGGCGTCTCGGGCAACGCCTACGCCGCCCGCAATGCACAACGCGGTACTGCGGGAGGCACCGCGGAAAAGTTTTCTCATCCCAAGTCTGCCTGATGGCTCTCGCCCACCGTGAAATTTGCTCGCCGCTGTATTTTATTTGGGCAGCCACGCACAATGAGCCACCTCGTCTCGGGAGAATGTGAAACTGGAGCCGCTCGGCACCGGGTGAAGGGGGTCACCGCATCGTCGTTGGAACAAGGCAAGGCGCTCCTCTCCGCCCGTCGTCCGTTCCCTTTAAAGTGAGCGGCACCTGTGGTCACGGTGGGCAAACCCCTTGGGCGTCACGCAGAACTTGTGTTAGTGGGGAGTCCGCCCGCGCCCGCAGGGAGCACTGCGTGATAGTTGGTTCTGCTCACTGAAATGTTTCAGCGCAAATCAGATCTCAGCATTATGCGCCACGTTCACCGTCCAGTCTCATCGCTCTCTGTCCTAGGAATGGAGGAGCTTTTCTATTGGCACTGACTGCTGTTGCTGCCTCGGTGGTTGGAGATGATAATTAGGTGGACGAGTGGGAATGGCATAGGGTGGAGGTTGACGACAGCTTAAAGTGTAGATTACCGCTTTCCCTCTTCTCGATCTGTTCTCAAGCGCCTTCTCTGCCCCCCCTCCCCCCCCTTGTGTGTCACAATTCCCCCATGCCTGCAGCCCATTAACTGTCCGCTCGTACTTGAGATACAAACATCTCGACGGGTCCCGTCAGGGCTGTGTGTTTATAACACTATTTTACGCTCGCATTAACGGAAGAGACACTTCGTGTTCGCACTAACTCTGCTCGTTTCCAAACAGTCCCAGACGTCTCTCCATCTCACTCGGGATCGCCCCCTCTTCACGATTAATCGCGAGGGCTTCGCGTGAGCCGAATAACTGGGAGAGCCGTCTCTCGGGGCCGATATAAACCAGCTGTGATGTTTGCACTATCGTTCAACTCGGCCCCACTCCTGGCTCCCCGCAGTATTGCGCCGTGTCGTCTTCTCTCGGTGTTAATGGTGCATTGTGAAATTAGAGGGGGAAATGTATTGGGGGAAAACGTTTGATTTTTGTACAGACCCACATAGTATATAAATATGTATATTCTGACCTTTGGCTTTCTGCAAAAATGCCATTTGTATCATGGGAGTATTCAGGTTTGGAAACCTTTTATTTTTAGTTTATATACAAAGTGCTTCATACCAACTCGAGAACCACGCTAAGAATGAACATTTCAGGCAGCCACCGCTTGCGATCTATTTATTTGATGGAACACGCGATGACTGGAATTCGTGACCATTTACCCGCGTATTGACTGCGGACGGATTAATGATAATGTCAACAGTATTCAGCTGACCGCCGCAGCAATTCCACGGCGCCCAGAGGGCAGCAGGCTTTTATCATTTGCTCATAATTGCCCATAATTGCGTGAACAGCACCACGGCTTGATCGCGCTGGTGCCGGTACGGATTTAAAAGGACGGGCGATCGCAAGCCAGCGGTTTCGCCCACTGATCTCCGGGGCTTGTGACGAGACGAAGCGGCGTCGATGCGCCGATATCCTGTCGATAGAATTGGATTTTTCTCTGCGCTCACTGGTGCTCGTAACTGACGAATGAGCGTGGGAGAAGGGTAACCAGCATGGAAGAGAGCGAGCGGGGGGGGGGGGGGTCGCGCTGCACGCGGTAGTCAGGGCTCTCGGCGCTAGCCAGGGCTTGTGTGACGAGGTGGTGGCTCCCCTGTCGCTACTTCATCCGTAGCCGTGTGTCCAGGTATTGTGTGCCCCCAACTTCTCCTTCAGTGTAACCGCTGCCAACTTTAAAGGAAGATGCAGCCCAAAAAACATGTACTCACAGCTCTTCTTTCGTAGATGCACACCTGGACCGTGCATCTCGGGCAGTCCGGCGTGAACTTGAAGCTTCGTTGATCCGTCAGCTTGTCATCTGAGCGACCTAAACGCTTTTGTGCTGTTCATAAATAAATAAATAATCTCTACATCTCGCTGACCCCATGGGGGTCTTGCCGATGAGGGCGCCGGCTCACCGATCCGTGAGCCAATTGCGTGGCGGCTGCCCAGGCTCCGGTGACCCCTGACCCTGAGTGGACCCTGCTCATCGCCCTCAATCGCACACGTGATCTTTGGGGCAGCACCCAGTGAGCTAACGATTTGAGCCGGATTTCTCTTGATTGAAACAAAAAAATTAAAACCTAAATAAAAAAAAAGGAACAACAAAACAAAGCAAAAAGCACATCATGAATTCATACCCATCATTTTTACTTTTTTTTGTTACTTTCGTGCTCCGCCATGGCATGGTTTACGAGGTTCTGGTCACGGGCGTTTGCCGCGGCAGCTTATTCGTCCGCATTTCCGAGCGAGAGAGAGCGAACGAGCGAGAAACATCCTGCCCCACCACCCGTGGTGCCGGGTGCACGCCTCCCCCGCCGATGCGATCATTCCACCTAATAGAATTCGCACTGGGCTACCGCAAACCACGAGATGCCTTTCGTACCCCTTGTTGGGATCCTATTTGTGCATCGACTAAACATGCCGGGGCTGTTGGCTGCCTGATTTCAGAGCGTCGCGTGCGGGGGGCTGTGTGTGGAGCCTCTTTTGGCGAGGGCATTGCCGCCACTCGGTGTTGGTTCGCTGTACCGCGGGGCGCGTGTATGCAAAAGTTGAACGTCGATCGGCAGCACCCCCCCCCCCGCCGCCTTGCGTCTTGAGCCCGGAGCAGCAAGCATCAAGGTCCCCTTCGCGTCAGATTGCAGGTGGTGCATGCCAGGTGTTGTAAATTTGTACGTTATTTAATTTTAAAATTGTCTGTAGCTGATACCTCAATCAGAAGTTTTTTTGTAATATACATATTAGTGAGATTGCACTATTGAATGATTTCCCAAACTTATGATTTTTATGTTAAAGTCAAAAATATAATATAAATAGGAGATACTTGTGAAAGATCTTATAAGGTGGTGGTATATAACGGTGAGGTATATGCGATAAAATAAAAACACATCTTGGTGCTGCATTCAGGCTCCCTCCGTTTTGTAACTCTGGGCTTTTATTTTGGAGGGGGAGCACATCATTAACGATGGTTAATCTCATTTCTGGTGACTCCCTTATACGAAAAAATACCGCATGAGTTCTCTCACTCTGCCTCTGTCAACGAAAACCCTCGTTAAGGCCGCTGGGTAATTGAGTACCCATCGTGACGTATGAGAAACGAGGCTGCTCCTACTTCCTCTTGACCCAGAATTCCCAGAATCCTCTCTTTCTTCTCCCGCGATATTTGCTCCTTTGTTTCCTCTTGGCAGCCGCCAACAGCAACACAAGAAGATGTCACGTTATTTTTCACGACTTCAACTTTTTCTACTTGCAAACTGTGTGTGTTCAGGGAACAAAGTCTGATCAATAAAAATAAAACACTCGTGCTTTTATTTGCTCTGATATCGATCTGAAAAAATAATTGCAAAGAATATGTATAAATGTCTTGGAGCATCATTGACTACAATTAAAAAAGGAATGAGAATTATGTAATAACAAAAATAAATAACTATTTTACACTGTTTTACGAATATATTTCTGGTTTCATTTTTGAAATCATTTTCTCAAGTTTTTGTATTCTTTGGTTTTATGTCGGGCGGAGGGGAGATGATGCGTGAACAATTTACATGGCCAAAGCCATTTCTGCAGTCTCTCTCGCTCCGTTGCGAGCTCAACTTTTATACCAGCCGGCAATTCCTTACGCAGCGTTGACGTCCTTTTCCTGCAGTGGGGTCTCGGCCACGTGCGTGCGTGCGACGCTACGTGGGAGACCACGCGTGTGTGCGTGTGTGCGATGCTACGTGGGAGACCATGCATGTGTGCGTGTGTGCGATGCTACGTGGGAGACCACGTGTGTGTACGTGCGTGCGACGCTACGTGGGAGACCGCGCGTGTG